ATCCTTCTGGCGCCAGACCGGCATCGGCGTCTGCCTGCGCCCCGCTACCCTCCCTCCGCGCCCGCACCGGCCAACTCGAAATAGATGCACGGTGATTTACGCCTCGGGCGTATGAGTAAATATGTTGCTTGCCTGCCTGCCTTGGCACGTCCGCCCGCCCCCGCCGCTGCGTGCCGATCTCCGTCCCATCTCACTCACCGAACCTTCCAACGCCCGTCACATTTGACGATGAGGTGAGCATAGCATTGTGTGCCGTGTGCGCGGATCAACATCATAAATAGATAAGACAAAATACTTCAAATCTTGACTAATTTTATTGAGATCGGGCCGCGTAGTATGTTTCGTAAATGATATTTGTCTCATTGAACGTAATATATATTAATTACTCCACACACGCAGATACCACAGCTTTAAATAGGTTATGTTAGTTTCTAGGAATTTATTCCGTTCATGTTTTATTTGGTAAATTAAATAATGACTTCCATACTAGTAGGTATTTATGAATTGTACCTTACCTGCCTAACTATTATTTCTAATCCGCCTTTGGTTTGTAGGTACTTATATAACTTGTAAAATACCTTACCTACTTTCTCTTAAATCTTCTTTTTATTTTTGCTTTCTTAAAATTTTCCAAATTTGTGGGTAGATAAATGTGAAAACTTGTTCTGGATGAGCTTATATGTGTACAAGTTACATACATTAAATAATAGACATTTCGCTTGCAATTGCCAATTTCCATTCATTGGGAATATGGTAAGCGTTGCGAGTGGCCCAGCGGGCGGCGTCAACTGGCCGGGCAAAAAGCGTCGCCATGCGACCGGTCCCACAGGTTGCCACCGCCATGCGCCAGCACCGTCTCTTGCAATTGGTTCTCATTCAATATATTGTTACACTTCATACACCTTGCTATGAAATAATATTGCTATATAATTTTGGTCTCATATCACCTATCATATCTATTACTAACTACATACACAGTATGATTTCATACTTCTTAGAATGAACAGCTATGTCCGTTTAGTATAAAATAGTGACTAAATTCTAAAAGTATAAGTACATTTAATTATTCAATTAAGGTGGTTGATCATTAAACAAAAATAGACAAGAAATACTTACTAGATGACGCTGGAATCGAACTTGTGGTTTTTGTTGATTATTTTGTATTAAAGATTTTTTTTATTTAGAAAATTTGCGTCAAGTTATCTTTAATTACAAAATAATAAACAAGTATTTTGTGTCCAATATATTGAGGTTTATTTATGTTACTTTTAAAATAGAACTTATTTCTTTTTCTGTCAATTAATATTTTGTTATTGGAGAACATCATTTTTAAATATCGCTATTATTGTACTACAATAAATATATCTTTATTCGCTATTTTCTATTTTATTGTTCTATACAACGAACCCTTCATAAATAATTATATAGTGACTAAGCACATTAAAAGCAGAATAACATTTATTAATTACACTTATTAACGTAATAATATTTATAATTAAATATAAAAGTGAATTGTTCTCTCTTGGTTGCCATAACAACATAACCAATCATCATGAAATTTTGGCATATACGTAGTGTGGATGAGATGGAAAAGGATTATACACTAGGTACTTATCTTTGAAATCATTCATACGTTCAGGTCACGCGGAGGAAGTGACAGGCATAGCTTATATTAAAATAAATATAATACAGTTTCGCATACGTTTTATTAGAGTCATATTAATTTTATTTCTATGACTATTGTAATTATTATAATTAGTTATTAAATGCCACCTATCTAATTGTTTATCATACGTCAATGGTTATCTGTTATAAAATTAGCAATCAATAGTTCGATTGTTTGTTTCAAAATCTTTATCATTAAAAATCATAATAAGTAAATGTAATTATAATTGCGGACTAATCATACAAAAGAGTCTTCCAGAAAGTGAATACGTATACTTACATATACTTAGTTTATTATATTTTAACATTGGAAATTATTAATTTAATTCCAATTTATAAGACTACAATACTTATAATAAGCTATACATAACAAAAAGACTTATACATAATATAATATGTATACATTTTGCGTCACTGGCGACCATGCGCAGGTGCAGGTGCATTCAAGCCAGCCTGAACCTACTGGTTTAGTGACTTCTGCAAGCCACAAAGTAAACGCGTCCTTTTTTCTTTGTTACCATTCAATTTTTTTTTATATATATCATTTGTATAAGACAATTCCAATAATTGGAATTGTTAGCGCAATGCCCATAATGATAAATTAATTGTAACTTTAGAGTTTGTTAATTGAAAGTTTTTTTTCCATATTTTACTAAATAGCTTGAATTTTTTTTTAATTTGTAAACATCCACTGGGATACGGATAAGAGTGATGTATATTTTGTGATTTCCATGGTGTTTATAGGAGATAGTTACCATTTTCTATTATTGTGGCTTTGTGTTTGTTCTATATGTAATTTATTAAGATGAAGGCAGTTTACAATATTACTTAGTATATTTAAATTAACATTTTAAAAGATGGATGGATAGATGGAATGTGTGTACTTATATGTACGGCATATATATATATATATATATATATATATATATATATATATATATATATATATATATATATATACTAATACGAGGTAATAAAATGACGACATTAATTACTATCGGGTTTTTTATAACCTAGCTACTTACTTATTTTTGACAAACTGTTTCTCCGACTTTGCAAGTTCTCGATCTATAATTATTTTCTGTTCAAGTTGAAATTTTGAGAAATTTCTTAATATAATAGATAAAAAAAATAGTGCTCACCTGAAACATGATATATTCGGAATATTATATAATAAAGCTTAAGAGTTTGTTTTTGAACTACTTGTTGTATTTTAAAATTTATTTTTACTTTTGATAGTCCATTTCTTGAGAAAAGAGTTTTATTCAGTATCATTATATGATTACAGGTGTAACCGCGTTTAACAACTAGTTCTGTGCATTTTCTTACTTTTAGAAGACGTATTGGTTTGGATTGTGCATTGTAATGGTCAGTGTTTGTATTTTCTAAGTATTGTAACATCTATTAATGTAGTAAATATTGTACAGTATAAGTTTACTAGTATTTTACACATAATTATTACTAACAAGTTTTTTTCCTGCGATTTCGTCCGCGTTACCAGGATGTGCTCACTGATCGGGATAAAAAGTAGCCTGTATATATGTATACTAAATTTCATTTGGTTACTGATTGGTGATTGATTAAGCTGTTAAGCCGCTAAGAGGTAACAAACAAATAAACGTACTTTTATATTTATAATATTATATTTTTTGTTATTTCAACCGTTAACTGTCCATTGCTGGATATAAGTCTTCCCCATAAGGTAGTTTTGCCAGTAGTTGCCACGCTTGGCAGGCGGGTTGGCAACCGCAGTTAGGCTTTTAGAGATGTTTTAAGAGCAACACCGCTGTTCATTCCTACCCTGCCTACTATTGCCTACTTTTACATATGTATATAATACTTATATACATATGTAAAAGTGATAAGTAATATATATTTTCCATGTGTTGCAACATAGTAAGTATACCTACATAAAAACGATTAATATGTAAGTGTCGCAGGGGTCAGTGGTAACACAATGCGGGAGACCTTTAGTTAATTTTATAAATATGCTATACGCAGTCCTCGTTTTGGTAACAGTGCTGAAGTTCATCATATTCAGTGCATGTTTTCATATACCTTGATAATTAATAACATCGTGTTGAAATGTTTTGAAATTAGATTTTCGAAAACATGCTTTTATAAAATCAATAAAATGAAGTGTAGAGTTTCATTTAATACTTGTATACTTTATTGAGTAATAAATATCTTAATACCTTAATTTTTTTCGTCAGTAAATAACTTTTTCTCAGAAACTTTGATAACTTTGGGGTCATAAGAGTCGTAATTCTTACTAATATTACAAATGTGAAATTGAGTGTTTGTTATCTCATAGCGCCTTAACGGCTTAACAAATCACTATAAAAGATGGTATACATGTACTATATGAGATGAAGAAGGACGTAGGATACTTTTTATATTGATCAGTGAATACTTTTCCGGTCACGCGGACGACGTCGCGACTAAAAGTTAGTAGTAAATAAATAGATTACGATGCTCTTAATTAACACTAAATTACCTACTGATAAGTCATATGGATACCTATTGATGGACTGTTTATTTAATGTTTAAAATAAGTTATTTTTTTCGCAGCAAATAGAAAACTGAATACATACTAAAGATTCCTAATTCTTATGCACCTATTTTTTGATTCATTCGTTTTCAGAACTTTTATCATAGCTAATTCCGAACGGTGAAATATGTATTCATATTAAAATTTTATGTGCTAGATCGTAGGCATACAAGTGTAAGTGGATGTTTTGAACTATAATTCAACGGCTGACGTAGAACAATTGATGAACCTTTAGCAAAATAAAAAAGTTATGACGTTAAGACCCTTACAAATAAAAAAAATCCATAAAGGTAAAGGTAGACCGGGGAAGTTTCCTGGAAATAATGGAACCGTAAATATGAAAAAGCTTAGCTAGAGGACCAACGGCGCGTGCCTACGCCTCTTCCGAGAATCGTATTCCGACCAACAACAGCTAATAAGCAGTAAATATAAGTAGCAGCAGGTAGCTGGGATAGTAATAACCAGTTGAACTTTAACGGACATCTGACAAACTGAATTAAAGATGACCATAAGGGAAAAAGTGGTGTAATTATACCGGTAATTACCAAAGTTGCCCAATTAAATAAATAAATTTGTCTACTACTTAGTTACTAAAATGCTTGGTATAAGAATAAATAAATTCCTTATTTTTTGTTGATAACTGGATGATATTTATCATTTAACAAATAGCCAAAGTAAAACGAGTAAGAACTGATTTTAAGTACATTTTTACTATAAACTATTATGGTTTAACACCACTTATTTGAGTAAGTTGTGTACATATGTTGTTAAGTGAAAAACAGTATAACGGTAGCTATATTTATTGCACTTATTTATATCACACCACAGTTAGTTTTGTTATAAACTCAGATAAATAACTGTGTAAACAATTCAACCCTAATCTTTGAATCTGTCCAATCACTACTCACCTTTAATTTTTTATCTTTCTTGCACTGAGTTGACCTTTTTGTTATCAATTTTCAAGCTGTGTAAGTGTGTACCTACACTCGAGAGCAATGAATGCGGGTCACCTAAAGAAATCTATAAATCTTGGAAACTAAGAATGCTAGCTTAATAAAATAAACGGTGTTTAATATACAATATAATACCCCTTAAATGAAAGTAATAAAATTTATAAGTCACTGCATTTTATTTATTAAAAATTACATAAAGAAAAAAAAAAACTGCTGATCTTGCCTTAAAACAAAAATAGGTAAAGTCACTTTTGTACAACAATATGATTTTCTTGAATTTTAATACCTAATAATTTGTATTGCCTCCGCGTGCTTCTATTACTGCGTTTAAGCGGGTTTGGCATACTATACACCAAGTTTTTTATACGATTTTGGCAAATATTCTCCCATTCCTCTGTGAGAGCAATTTTGAGCTCACGAAACGTGATTTGGGGAGGGTTTCGTGGTTTTACGATATCTCCCTAACTTGTCTTATGCAAGCTCGATCGGGTTGATATCCGGGCTGCTTGATGTCCACTCCATACGAGTAATGTTCATCTCTTGTAGGTAGTCATTCACAATGAAACCTGTATGAGGTCGGGCATTGTTATGGATAAAAATAGCATCGTCACCCAAATTGACCATAAATGGCCCAACGTGTTCTCTCTTCTACATATTTTATGATATTTGATGCTAGTTAAAGAGTCGTTTTCTATAAACACCAGTTCTGTGCGACTCTCAGATGAAATTCTGGCCCATACAAGTACAGATCCACCACCGTAGGCTACTTTTTCTTTTATGCATGCTTGCTTGAGTATTTCCCCTGGTCTCTATACACTCTATGTCTTCCATTGTGTTTGTAGTGCATAAATTTTGATTCGTCGGAGAATATAATTTTCGACCAATCTTCAATAAATTCTAGGCATATTGTAGTCTTGAAATACGATCACCACGCTCCAGTTTAGGTCTATTTGCAGGTCTAAGTGGTTTCAAGTTAGCTTTAGCAAGTCGTTGTCTTACTGTCCCTGCGCTTAGCTTACTTCCTCTGAGGCGTCGGAACTGATATATAAGTTCAGTTCCTGTGAGAAAGCGATTACGAAACATGGTGTTCACCAAGTATCGACCTTCTCGTGCTGTGGTACACCTAGTTCTGCCTGTTCCTGGTCTACGTAGATTAGAGCCAGTTTCCTCGTAACGTCGGAGAACTCTTTGTACTGTTGACAGCGTTACACCGACAGTCCTGATTGTATCGCGCTGACTCCGGCCGGCTTCCAGCATTGTGAGGATTTTGGTGCATTCTTCAGTTGTAAGTGACAGGATTACAGGTTGAATAATAAATATTGAACACTATCAACATGGTTTATATATCCTAAGTGTGTATATAAACCATGTTGGTAATGACAAATTAGAAACAAAATCAAAATCAAATGCAGTAATTTCGTAGATCCATCTTCGAAAGTCTCACTTTTTCAAGTTTGATTTTTTTTATGACATAATTTTGCAGTAACTAAGAAGTAAACTAAACACAATTTATTTCATTAAGCTAGCATTTTTATTTTCCGAGATTTATAGGTTTTTTAAGTGACCCGGATTCATTGCTCTCGTGTGTATATCCCGATATTATATATACATAATGTAGGTTATGTATGAGTATTATTGGATATAATATATAGAGTAATTAATTAAAGACACATTATGTTACGTAAATTTAAGACCTATATTTTTTTATAACAATATGTTAAGGTACTTGTATGAGTAACTAGTATTTAATACTCTTGTTACGCAAGTTAACTTTTAATTATATCAGAGGAAATGGCAGTGCCCCCGCCGAGTCCGGCACTGCTGTACCATACTTTTCTCTAAGCGACTCAAGGTACTTTTGACCTCCTCCCCACTTCATTGTGGATAAAGCATTTTTTTAAATTTACACAGACAATATACCATATAGTTTATGAAATATTGCTAATTAAATTTTGTTTAATTTTGTCACTAAAACACACACACACAACGATCAACAAAATCCTAAGGTACTTTTAGCAATCTTTCAAACTTCATATTTTGTATTTTAATTAGCATTTAGCCTATAAAGGAAGAAAAAAATAATCCTGAAATTTCATTATTTATTTTCATTAAATGAATAATAATTATTATTAAAAATTACGTTCACTTGTTCAAAAAACGCATCGCGCTTGTAGCTGACGTATAATATATATGAAAAAAAGAAAAAAGGAGAATGACCTACAAAAAGAACTGAGATCCCATCAAAAATATAAAATGGAAAAAATGCCAAATCCCGTAACGCAAAAAAAGTTCATTAGACACAAGTACAGTCACTTTATTAAAAAGTTAAGTTGAATTTTGAGTGATCAGCAACGGCGTGTGCTATAAATATTAGTAATTTCTAATATTTGTATAGAAATGAGTAAATGTTTGTATGTCCAGTGTTTATTATAAATTTATAGAGATTATAATAAAGATTTATAGAAGATAATTTTTTGACAATTATCCTATTAATATGCAGTGTTGAAATTACATAAAGTGTTGAACGGATTCGTTCACAAAAAAAGTTGTGAGACCTCATGTAAAACCCAGTTAGTTACTTTAATTAATGCTTATCTAAGCATCTATTCAACAAAATTGTTACCTAAACAATTACCTATCAACATTTATAGCGACCGTATCAATATTAGAAAAATTTTATTTCTATAAGAATTATAATGATCTATTATTTCTATTATTAATTAAATCTAAACAGTGCATTTAAGAACAAAAAATTTTATGAACAGAATATGTTACCAATTGCCATGCCATATAATTATTATAGAAATGAAATGTAACAATTTATAACAAAGTTGTTAAACGGGTGCTTCCATAGATACTAACTATAACTGACTTGGTTTTATATGACATTTCGTAACTTTTTGTAGTGGAAGAACTATGTAACGAGACTTGGCATTTTTTACTTTTTATGTCAATGATGGGATATGTTTTTTGATTAACAGGCTTGCATTCAATTTTTTGTTTGTATTTTATTTTAATAGAACGGGTAATCATTTGGCCGGATACTGTACAGCTTGGCCAAAAGTATTTGCTACATTAGAAAATTACAATTAACTTAAAAAAATACCTAATGTTTGGACGGGAATAGAAAACCATATACTTAAAAAACCTTTGTAAATGTTAATAATGCTACAATTATATTTACATTTCGTTTTGAAATCCTTAACTTTAATTACAGCATTTCTTCTTTTGGGTAAAGAGGAAATTAAATTTTTACATTCTTCTGGAGTTATGGCATTCTACTTCTGTACCTAACAATTCTTTAAACTTTCTTTGGAAGCAATTGAATGTTCCTTTATTTTGCGCTTTAAAATCGACCATTAATGTTCAGAAGGGTTAAGATCCGGTGACTGAGGGGGCCAACTTAGAAGCTGTAAACAATTTTTCTCAAACTAACTTATTTTGGTTCAGGACTAATGGCATGGAGACAAGATAATGCATCTTGTTGAAATCGGTTGCCATCTAGATTGGTATCACCGAACATTTTTTTTATACAACTTAGAATGGCAAACAAGCTGACGACCCACCTGATGGAAAGTGGTAACCGTCGCCTATAGACATGAGCAGTACCATGGACATAATAGAGTATACTATTTCGCTCATGATACCCCCCATGCGTTGCTATTCCTGAGGACTCAGGTGTTATTCCTCCGTACCCAGTAAATTCACGCCATATCCTACTCTTCAAACCGAAACACAGCCATGCAAACAACTGCTTTACGGTTGAGCGCTGTTTTCGACATCTCGATATATTTTTTCGAATTTATTCGGCCTTCACATATGACCATTTATCTAATTTCTAAGGAAGACTCTGAGAACATAACACTGCCTCTGCCGTGTTTTACAGTAGGCGCCACACTCTCCGGTATGAATTCTTCGCCAACTCTGCGTCTCACGTTGGTGGCACCTACAGTACCAAATACCTGAAAGGTAATAAAATAATAAGATTTTTGAAAATACGTTTGTTAATGAACCATTAATTTCAATACATCTCAAACGTCTTTATTTAATGTTTAATCGTTTAAATAGCATACCTTAAATTTGGATTCATCCGACCAAATGATATTCGCCCAATCTTCCTCGTTGTAATATTGATGTTCTAAATACTACTGCAACCGTAGGTTCTTGTTCTTCTCAGACAACCATGGCTTCTTCCTTGCCTTGCAACCCTTGGGCCCAGCATCCTGGAGCCTTCTTCTAGCAGTTCTAGCATAAAGTTTTTTCCTAAGCGTTTAGCTTGATTCAGCAAATAATTCAGAAGTTTTTTTTTTATGATTTTTCAAAGTTCGCATTAACTGTCTGTCTTCTCTTGCACATGTAATTCTTTTCCTTCCACTTCGTTTCCAGTTTCCGTGTTTTGCAATCATCTTGTACCGATTTAGATATACCTTACGGTACTATAAGGACATTTCATAATCTTGGCAATTTCACTTTTATTTTTGCCGTCTTCAGACAACAACTGGATTTTTAATCGTTCCTCGTTACTTAATTTACAACTCTGAGGCATTTTTCTAGTTTTTTTTATGAAATTTTTTTTTAGTAATTTGTCGACAGTTCTTCACGCTATGATGAATCACAGTAATCTAAAAATTTCTCTAAAATTCGACTTAGCTGGAAATAAATCATCTCTATTGTGTTTATAGTTTTATGACACGGTGCGTTGTTTTGATTGGTTTATTTTACCCTTTAGACGTGTACGATGCAACAATAGACCCAGTACAGGTTAGAAGATAAAAAAAATTCTAAGGATTTTTAGGGTGGAAAATACTTTTGACCAAGGCTGTGTTATCCGCGAACGGTTTATTACAAAAAATATGAATACGCCATAGTCACTCATCCTAGAGACAAGTTGATTCCATGTTGCTAAACCTCGTAGATAAATTAATTTGGAATGTTTAGTGTTAAAATAGCTATTTGTATATTTTTGCAATGGTAAATACTGAAATATAACAATAGTATTTTTGCGATTTTTATTAAAATGATAATTTTATACCTGCCGTTTATGGTATATGACGTCAAGATGGCGACATAATAGTGTAAATGCAAAAATAAAACCTAATAGGTTTCATGACATCAGCTGTTAAATGTCCACTGCTGAACGTAGGCCTCTTCGTAAAGGGGTTTTGCTAGTTGTTGGCACGCTTAGCGGGCGGTTTAAGGAGGCAAATTTTGGCGATTTTTTTATACCACTGAATGGCAATCAAGCATACGGCCCATCTGATGGTAAGTGGTTATCGAAGCTTATGAACGCCTGCAATACCAGGGGTATTACGCGTACATTGCCGACCCTAAAGAAACTTTTTTACCCCTTTTTGAAGTACCCCATGCTGTAGTCTCTTTTGGGAAAACCTCGGCAGGGAGCTCATCCCATAACCTGAGTGCTCGTGGGAAACATCTGAAATCGCGTTGTACGCGACTATTTAGGCTGTAGGACTCCCTGTTGATGGCGAGCCGTACGATGGTAGAAAGTGGCCGTGGATATCGAACAATTTCTCTGAGCACAATCCGTTGTACAAACGGTAGAACACGTAGAGTTAGGCAAAATCTCTCCTAAGACTTAAGAATTCGATACCGCTTGTAAGCCCGGGATTATCGACAATTCTCATAGCTCGTCATTGCACCGAGTCGAAAGGTTCAGCAATAATACAGCATAAGTGACAGCAATACTTCATGTGAGGCTTGATTTGCGATTGTAGAGCATTAATCGCATATTAATCGATGTTTTAAGAGGGACTCTGCTGCCCATATCTCAACCATTTAGTTCCCATAGTCGCCTCCTACGATACCTACGGAAAAGGAAGGGGTGGACAATTCTATGCTGGGACTACACAACGGCCTAATAGACTTATTAAGCGTTTATGGATAATATACTTGTATGTTATTTGATGTTAATCTTCTAATTTTTCAATGATTTGGAATCTTTCATTGTAAGTAATTTTATAATAGTATAAATATTTTATGATTTGTTGAGATACCTATTTGATTACAAAATTATTACTTGTTACAGGTAGGAAGATTGACTGTCATATCACAGAATATCTAATAGTACTACGTAGTACTACTTGTGTGTCTAACGCGGGATGATCACATGATAAGAGTCAATGTCACAGACTACACATTTTTTTAATTCTATGACAGGTAAGATTAATATTTGTATAATTAAACAGAAATCCTATAACTAAAGTGCTTAGATAAAAACATAATATTTCGTAAAGAAAAATCGCAGCTTCAATAATGGTAAAATTAATAAATAAGATCAACACGAGAATAATCCCTATTAGTTGCAAAAATAGATAAGATACTCTTTATTGTTTCCTTCATAAGATTACAATAGTAAACTTATTATAAATACAAACAATTACAAGAAAAAAAAATACATTAAGAAAACAATGGGCGGTCTTATCGCTAAGAGCGATTTCTTCCAGGCAACCTTTGAATGGAAAAGAGTAAACAGTTTGACTGATGGCACGAAACTGTTCGTTTTTTAAATACATATAGGGATATACATATGTACAATAATGTGAATATATAAATGTATATTTTAAGTTACTAATACATACTTAAATAAATCCATTTATACATATATATACTGAAATATATATACATACATATATAATTACTTCTTCTTGTTCCCAAAAAAAACATAAATGAGATAAAAAAAAAATGAGAAAAAAAGAATTTAAGTGGAAACGGCGTTGTACATTATGTCAGATACAAATTGATTTACCTGAATAATTGTAAAATAAAATTTTTAAAAAATATGACAACATTGTTCATGTGAATATATAAATGTATATTTTAAGTTACTAATACATACTTAAATAAATCCATTTATACATATATATACAAATATATATACATACATATATAATTACAAAACAAAAAATAAAAAGAATTTAAGTATGCTAGTCAGATACAAATTGCGAATATGACAACTTGTTCAGATAGAATTTCTTAAATTTTGTTTTAAAGCTTGGTAAAGGTACTGTATAGTCTGAATAGAAGTTTGTAGACTACTTAATAATCGAATACCTTGCACAGTAAACGATTTATCATAAAAACTTCTGTAATGTATTAGTGTCTTAAGCTGGAGGCTCCCAGACGACCTCGGATTAAGAGAATGAACAGTATAGAAGAAGTCAAACCGCTCTTTTAGATAGCAAGAAAAAGGATATTTTAAATAAATAAATATCTTATATATAAAAATCATTATTAATCGGTCTAAAATCGACGATGCCTTATCGTATATAAGATTGCCATAAGAGAAAAAAAAAGGTATATTTCAGAATCTCTTCCTTTCGGAAGCGGCTTGTTAAATGTTTAATGGTATTAGTTACTCTTCATTATCTATTGAAACAGATTGTACATAAAAATATAGATTTTACATAGCTAGTGTACGATTTATGATGATTTTAAATGACGTATTGTTACTATAGATGATGTATTGTTGAAATGTGATATCATACATACATAACAATAACTGATATCGTTTATCACATTTTTTAAATTCGATTCTCTTAGGTGGGCCGTCAGCTTGTTTACCATTTTAGTTTGCATAAAAAATCGAACATCAAATCTGTAATATATATTTATTTTTAAATGGTAGGCAAGCCACCTATACATTACGTTTTTTTTTAAAGTTCATGCCAATTAATATACTCGTAGTAGCCAAATTCCATTCCTAAAATACGTACATAAGATATACTTATTCACTGACATCGGTTTGTCTTTTACGTGAAAAATAAATATGCGTAGGAACAGCAAAGGCACATTGGAAATAATCCAAGTCAGTTTCAGCGGTTACTTTCTATTATATGTATAATATTATTATATACTTAATATAATGATAGTATATACCTACATAGATATAATGAAAGGATACTGTTATTGACGCTTATTAGTCAGTCTGCGCCGTGTATCTATTGCTTGTTACAACAATAGTAAAACAAATGACGCTAATGTTACTGCCAGTAAGTAGGAACGCTTAATCCGCAGAAAGTACAAAAGCAAAGGAATACTTTTATAAAATATTTGAATGCAGAATCGCAATGAACACAGTCGAGGAAAGACCGCGACAATGAATAGGTAGGTAGTTGTTTATTTGGTCAAGTGGCACCCAACTACGGATGACTCACCAGTATTACTGTCACATTCATACTTACATATGGTGTATTTTGGTTGTTGATACGCGCTGAATTCGCGGAGAATGACGCAATTCTCTTGATATAAGCATTCTACTTAGGTATGCATAGGTATTATATTAATTAACGATACATATAGTGCTAGTAACTCGGAGCATTATCAAAATTATATACTACTGCACATAGAGAATGTTTTAGTACACAAGAAAGTACTGAAAATTTAGATTTATATACGTCTATTTTCTAGACAGAGTAAGACGGATTTTCGAAAAAAAATCTAAGGTTTTGGAACATCATCCATAAGGAAGTGAAAATAGGAATATATTACTTTTGAGATCCTAAAGTTCACTAATACTATATTACATGATATAATGTAAGCTGTAGATCGGAGAGGGATAGTTAGTTATGGGGTCCACAGGAGTAAACAGCTCCATTGCTATCAATATACTCTATCAGATTTATCAGATGGGATAACCGACCTGTTTTCATGTTCGCCTATTATCTCTCATTGATGCTCTGTCAGTGCATACTGATAGTGCAGGCGGAGTCACTATTCCATCGTCACCCATTAAAAAAGTAAAAAAATGTAAGCTATGTTATTTCTAAGCAGTGATTAACAATAATTAATACAAGGTTTCATATACGCTCTACCTAATTTGCAGGGCTAATGTCTTTAAATGCTGGCATTATGTAGGTACAACTTTTTACAATAATAATTTTAGCAATTCTTTGCCTACTGCTGAACAAGCCTCTCCAAAAGTTGGCCACATGAATCAACTCTGATTCACCTGCACTCATAGACATCTTGTAACACATTTGATGACATTATGGATTATGATCGGTCAATGAGGGCTCGTCTTTCTTTTTTCTTCATCAGTTATTTGAGCTAAGTGGTTGGGCCACTGACACTTAGATTCTAGATTTCGTATATATCGTCATTTCCAATTATAACAGATAGGAAACCAATTCTTCATAGATCGTTGAAGAATTTGGATCTTCCTCATATAGTTAACATTCTATTATGTTTTGTTTTAAGAATAGTTTTGAAAATATTTAAATTGAGTAGTTCAGTATCATATTCGTACAATTACACCTCGATTAGACGCAATTATATCACTTCTTTGATTCAGTCGATCATTCCAGACAATCTTCTGGAAAAGACCGTTATTTACCAATAAAACCCCAAATTGTTCTTGCTTCTTGTACTTGTCTATTTTGTAGTACTGTTTTCTTTCTATCACTTTTAACTTGAAGAATATATTATTCATTATTCTTTTACATTATATTGCATGACGTCGTTATTTCCTTTCCCTTCATCTGAATTTTAAAAATTTGGTATATCCCTGTTAAGAATATAACGCGTGTATTCTATCATCTATATACTAGTTAATCAGATAGTAGTCCGCAATATCATGTCAGTCTCAATTTTAATTGCATTATAACATTGTTATGAAAAAAAGCAACTACGACATTTTTTTCGCGTATCAATTTTTTCATTAATTTATCGTTTGTGTTTAGGTTAATCAAACGATTATATGATCCTAGAATACAGTGACTAGTAATTTCCCAACAGACTTAGATACTTTATATTCTTAATTGTACAAGGAAGTACTTTTTTCTACCTTTATTTTGGTTTTTGTTTTCTGGATCTATAAGTATATGAGAAATTTTACTTTAAAATATTACATTAGCATATTTCGATAAGAACACTTTACTATGCATGGATTCATCCACATCGCGGTTAAAAACAGCGAGTTCGAATGCCATCCTGCTTCTGCAAATTTATTTCTGGCAAAAGAGAACACCTACATGAATAACGTGAAGGTCGGAATCTCTACACGAACGAGTTTCCCGTATTTTGGGCGACAGTTTACGGTGGTCCAAATGGCCAATGAACTTGTGTATTTAGTTGTTACGTTCCTATTTTATTTCTAATATTTAGATACTTCAATTTATATTTCTTACTTATTTAAGAACATTGTCTCAATCCATTTATTCAAATGCAAAATAAACATCCGGCTCGTGTTCGTGGTATGTACTCATAAGTTTACGTAACTGTGGAGTTTCTCGAGTATTGGTAGTTATTTTCTTAATATTATTGCTTACATAGAGAACTTCAACACAATGAAATTGTTAAATAAAATTTTTAGTGAGTTTTTATATTTTTACTTTATAGATTTGTAGTATTACGAAACAGTAACTCATCTGTAGAACACTAATCTTTTCACGTTTACAACTCAACGAATATTTTGACGTGCGATTCAATAGTTTCACTAAATACCTTTGCGTTTGCGTGCCATTTTGTTTGCTATCGATTAGCTGAATATAAATAAGTAGGCGTTACGTGGTTAGTCTACAGAAAGCCTAACATGGAGATTGGTGGCTGGACGGGTGCGGCCTGTCTCGGTAACGAGTAAGCATAGCGGTCAGGCTAGCCAGCCGCTGACCTGGTTCCGAGGGAAGCCCGACTAAGGTGGGGACGGCGGACGCGACTCAATGATGGTACTTGTATTATTGTGAGTTACGATCGCAATTGCGATTGTTTTCCTTGAATCTTGTTTGTTTTTAAATTCAACTTAGTACCCTTTCAGATAACCTTTCATCTATATTAATTATAATTTATAAGTAGATTTATAATTATTATAAAAATATAACATAGGCAACTTAAATATTTCTATATTTGGAAAAGAAAAATCCAATTTTATAATTACACACGGTTAAAATATTCATCGCGCTAGGTACTTAGTAATGTTTGCTACTAAGACGGGTTTCCCGCCCACGCGACATCATGGCGCCCGTCCGTGCGTTTGGAGTTCGGATTGACTCTGATCAACCCAATCTATTTACCATATCAAAAGTATCCATGAATATAGCGTTTAGAAGAAAAAAAGGTATACTGTTTGTCTTATCTAGGTAGGTGCTTAGGAAAATTGATAATACACGATGGAACCATTTATAGAAAATCAATTAAAAATGTGATTATAGAAAGGGTAACAGATATTTATTCCAAAATTAATGATGTATATGGTGTATCTTAAGTGGTTGTTACGTTGGTTGATGCCAAAGAGACAGAAAGAGCTGCCGCGTGGCTCAAGGTCGTGGCGTGACGTCGAAGCTCGCAACAGGCGAGTGCGCCAACCAAACAACGCAACAAGTGCCCCGCGCCCCCGCGCCTCACATACAATTCGCGAAACAGCTGTCATAGCATCGCACTATCTGCTATTTTATATGGTATTAACATAGTAGCTCATAATCGTGAATATGAAAAATAATTATTAGTGTTGAATGATAATATTTTTATCACAAATTTATGAGTACTAATGTCACATAGGGTTATAGATTAGATGGAGATAGTTTTACTATTTCAAATACGAGGATTCTCAATCATAGACTTTTTACATAAAAACTGATAATAAGTAAGTATAATTCAAAAATCAATAGTAGTTTAGACTGGAAGATACGACATCGTAATCTAAACAAATTCAAGAGTAGTACTATATTATATGTATCGTGTGATACCAATACAGTGGTCGCCGCCGTGAGGAGTACCTAAGCTGGTATCGGTGAACACGGATGGCGTGCCGTATAGTTGCGCGGTGCGGTGCGGTGCGGTGCGGCGGGTCAGTGTATATCGGTGCTTCCTGGCAAGTTGCTCACAATTGAACGACTGCGTGCTATCAGCAGAGCGCGTGCGTCATCAGCTCCGCGCCAGTGATAAGCGCCTACCAATTATCATTGCAAATATAATGTGTTTATGTATTCATATCTAGCAGAGTGCCGAGGAGTTTCCATTTTTATCATTACAAGCTCAACAGTGAACGTAGATTAATTTTCATAATGACGACTAGCTTATTTGTCTGTGGGTAATAATTATGAAGAATTTCGATAAAGAGGTCTTACTGATAGTGAGTTCACGAGATAAGTTATAAATATAGGAAAGTGCCCACTGAACGATATAACTACATTAGGTATATTGCTACAATACACCTAAGGGTGCCTTTACTTATAATTTAAAATTTTTGTACTATGTGTAATGAGAGATAAATATAAATTATTTAAACACTGATATAAGATTGACATATTTTAACTATGTACCTACCCGTAGTATGAATTAGAGAATGTTGAATAGAAGGCGGCATACAAAGCCAATAACCGTTCTACTCGAACGCAACCGTTACGAAATCAGTGCTGCATAAAAATTACAGTGTCGCTTGATAGAACAAAATATTATAGGTACTTACTTAATTACATATCTAATTAGTTCTTAGGCTGACTCTTTGTAGAGGACCTGTCTGTGTAATTGCCTAAATATAACATTAAAAGTTTACGCGTTATGTGAGCTTTGAACATTCCAATAGGTAAATATACCTGCATACCTAAATATGAAGTAATTGTAATCATTTGCAAAAGCACTTATACAATAAAATAATTTAGCTGAAGATGGCAGTAAAATCGCGGTGTTAAAGTCCGTGCATAGATACGTATAAATAGATTACGAAGAACAACCGGTCCGGTTGCGGTGAAGGAGAGAGATAGATAAAACGCGACATGAATCACTACTCACAACGAATGCAGAGTCAGGACGGTGAGCGGGTAGTGCGCGGGTGGTGCGGGGAGTTCAGGCTATAAGCCGAACGGAACGAAACGAACCAACGATTGCTACAAACAGTTGTACAGTCATCCACGGTGTGGCAACTAGCATCGTTCCTTGCGGGGACATACCATCTATTGAGAACATCTGACGCCTTTTTCACGGAATATAATATTAGTTGTACCCAGAAATCTTTTGTGAAAAGAAACCGACGTCATTTCCGATAGCAAAGTGAGATTTAAACATGATATACAGGTGTATTAAATGTGTTGATGTGTGTGTTGTGTGGCGTGGATCGTCGCGCAATTATTAACGATGATTCACTTGTGCGCGGGTGAAATGCAGCCTATGGTACTTGTTGACACTTATTCTGGAAACGTAAACAAATGACATCGTGTCAGCATTTTATGATATAAAATATAATGGTCGACTGATTCATTGCACCGCGGTAAGATTATCTGTTTAATTAGTTTTTATTTTAAGGACTCCAGTTATTTTATATTCACAGATATTTCTTTTTTGAAATTCATGTCTTTAGATTAAATGTCAATAGGTAATTACATTTTTCAAAATATAAAAAAATTATGTGTTATTGTTTATGATCTATCTATAAGGTGAACTTATTATCAGTAGTTCTTGAATTCTGAAGTAATTGTTACTTTTTAAATATTTTTAATGTAAAAATAAGCTATTATAATTGTTTTCTATATAAGACACAACAGATTACGTTGATTTTGATAAATAAACATTAATACCTGTCTACCTACCTATAAGTATCTATTAGAATTAAACATTGTCTTATCACATTGTCGTAATAAATTTCATCGCGAATAAAAATTGGCGAAATGTAAGAATTGAATTTAATAACTATAATTTTTTCTATTTTACAGTTATGTAATTAACGAATTGTACAAAATACTAATAGGTACTTGGTTTTATTTGCTAAAAGACAGTTACTTGTAGTCATCGTAATGTTAATCAATAAATTTGTAATGTATTTTACCAATATGAAAAAAGAAAAGAAATCCTATCTGAATGTCTAAATATGAGAAAATAATACCATATATTTTTTTATATATATAACTTTGCTGTACCTACCATTCCAAATCAAAATTATTCTGCTTACATATCTAAGTGCTTAAATTTTTAATTATGCAAGAAAGTAAAATCCAATTACTTATTTAATTATATTTTTGTAATCTAATAGAGCTCAAATCTGTGTTAAATAAAAAGATAAAAGTAGGTGGATACCTACATAATTATAAAAGTAGTCCACATAATGCAAATTGTATTCGCGGGGAGAGCCGGTCTGACTTTAAGCAGTATGAAGTATATGCAATGTAGGCTGGCGGCGTGCTGGCGGCCGACACAGGCGTCGCCAGGGCCGCCTGGCTTGGCGCCAGGCCGGCGGGCGGCGGCCAACCGCCGGGATTCCTTTGTGTCATTACAACACTAACTTGTATTTCATGCCATTCGCCTCTTGACTCTCCTATTATTTATAAAACAAGAAATTAAAATTATTAATGAATACCACCTTCTAAAGTTTGTATAGCGTTATTATACAGTGCGCTTGTGCGTACTGTACGTATTATTTGCCGGTTTGTTCTTAGCGAGCGGAGCTGTTAACTTGTCTCCGGTTCTCAGAAATTGTAACGCCTTCTCAGAACGCACCAACGCAGTCGTCCACAAATGAGTGAGCGCAAGGCGAGGTCAACAGCGCACTACTACATATGTATTTTAATTTTATATAGATAAACACCTACACTTTCAACTATTCTATCCCCTCAATAAAAAAGAAACGACAGTTATAGAGTTAACTATCTTTGAGTACAATTGTTTATTATTAACATACATGATGAGAAGTATATTGAACATCTTAAAATGAGGGATATCCTCGTCTGTTAGCACAAGTTTGTGTCTACGTAATGATGATGTCACACTACTCACTAGTAGAAATAGCAGGACACATGCGCATTGCGTCAGCTCTCTCGCCGCAATGCTCTGGTGTGTTGTTTGTATTCATAAATACGCTTTATCATTATCTTAATTCAATGCTATATTTTAAAGGTAAAAAAATAATAGGGAAATCTAATGTTACTTAATCGATAGTAGGTACTTCGATGACTAACATAATATCTTAGGTGTAATGAAATCAAACTATCATGAGAGTTACATCAATTCATTGTATACCTTTAATAGAAAAAAAAATGTAATAAAAGTGTATTAAAAAAATAAATATACTAAGATAAAGATAGATAGGAGTTAATAATAAAATAATACTCACACGCTCTCTTACTTCTGAGGTTGTAAGTCTACATAATGTCACTCAAAGAATACATCGATGGACGGAGAGATATTTAATAAATATAATATATAAAAGTAATTTGAAATGCTGTTGTGTACAAAGTAGTATTTTGTTCCGCAAAGAAAAAACGGCGGCTTCAATTATGACAAAATATGGGACCGCGTAAATATATCTATGGAATCTAAAAATAAAATTATACGATATGTTCGACAATTCTGAACTGAACACAGTTCAGAATTGACGAAAATATTGCCTGACGTACATCTTTTTGAAAGTCGCTTAAAACACGAAATATTTTTTTCAGTAAAAAAACAAATACATGAATGAATGAATGAATATACTTTATTTGCATTATACAATATAGGAAATAAGCAAGATAATTAATAAATATAACGATACAATTGTGTAAATCCTTAACACTGACTGTAACATAATTTTAATTTTCAGGCCAAACAATCGCGGATACGATGCCACTAACACAAGAAAAACGCCTGGATAGTAACTTTTCTAACAACAATGATCAAAGTTATCTTCATAAGAAGTTTAAGAAAATGGCATCAACCATTGCGGTTTTTCCCACAAATCAAATAAGGGGCGGGGAAACCAGACATAAAGAAACCGACGTAGTACAGTCTGATTGTAATACTTCAATTTCGAATGGAAGCATCGCAGCAGCGCATCCGGAAATAGAAAAGATAAAAGTGAAACTAGATACAAATATTATAGATGTTCATGATGAAAAGAAAAATGTACAAACTATTTATAATGATGAAAATTTTAGGTTAAGTAATGTAAATAATAATGTTCAAGTAACTGGTCAGACTAGTTACGCTGATGAATTTTCTAATAAGACTGAGAACATTGAAAATGATTTTATCAGGGATGCCTACAACGGGGGCATAGGTGGCCGTTATATATGCCCTTACTGTAAATTATCTTGTGCCAAGCCTTCTGTTCTTCAAAAACATATCAGAGCTCATACGAATGAGAGACCTTATCCTTGTGTACCTTGTGGATTTGCTTTTAAAACAAAGTCTAATTTATATAAACATCGAAGATCTAGAACACACGCTTTAAGATTGCAAGGATCAGATGCGCCTGCTACTATTAATGAAGATGATTTGTCAGGTGGTTCGGAAAGTGATACGTCTCTACCACCGACATCAATTTCTGATGCTGGATCTGATTCGTCTGTTGCTCGCACTGAACATTTCAAATTCAATGATATATCATTACAAGAATTCACTGATTATGCATCACAAAGCACAAATTTATCTCTAAACGATAATGCTAAATCAAGGACAATTTATAAGCCTAAGTTCAGAGGAGCATGTTATCAAGAAACAGACGAAAAAGATAAATTAAAGAAAACAATGTCATCAAATGCTGATTTTCTTACTGAACATATCTCTAAAATTATATCAGATAATGAAGCCATTGTTGACGTCATAGATACACCTTTGCAAAAAAAGTATGGTAAAATTAAACAAATAGCAGAAAGTAAACAACTTTTACATGATTATATAGAAACTAAACCAGAATCATCTCCATTAAACTTAACAAAGAACAGCAATGATAGTGAGAATTCATTTAGAAAAAGATCACATTCAGAGAGTTTTACAAATATTGATAATCAAAAACATCCTTTAAATCCAGAGAGGTCTATAATAAAAGATCTGCTTCTAAAAACAAAATCTAATTGTTTATCATCAATTACAGGCGAAATGATTGAGGGATTGGGACCATTATTTGTTTGCCCTCTGTGTCAGATAATTTATCGAAGTGCAGATAACTTGGAGATACACAGAACATATTACTGTAAAGGAAGTACTGTGGGTTCTAACAGTAACGTATCTCTTAATTCTACGCAAAAAGATGTAAAACTTGTAAGACCAGAAAATATATTTGTAAGAAGCAACTCTGTTAATGTCCGATTGCCTGAAACGCTATCTAATTCTTCTCCAAAATCCTCAGGTATAAAAAATAAACCAGAGAACCTTAATATTACAAAACTAGAGTCCAACGATATTGCAGCTCCATTACCATCGCCTGGGCCTTTGTTAGGTAGCACACGACTTGTAGATACTAGGACACCCACCGAATATAGAAAAACAGAAAATTTGAAAATAAAACCTCTTAGTCCGAAAAGAAGAATCGATAGCAGATCCGATACATACAGTCCAAGATTAACGGAAAATATATCCCCTCGAACAGAAATGTATTCGCAATCAAAAATTAGATGTATTGATGGAAATTCCGTAGCCTTAAGATATTTAGAAGAAATGTCACAGCATATGAGAAGTAATTCGACATCTCTTCAGATGTTTGGAGGTGAAGTAAAAATATTGGACCACGCAGGCGGTACAACGACTTTGCGAATAGAACCAAGTAAAAATCAGTTATCCCCTATATTAGTACAACAAAATCTTTCTCCATCAAAACTCGGCAATGATACAGAAGCGAGTAGCGTTGTAGTTAGATCAGGACTTCATTCTGGTGGAACTATGGTTCACAAACCTCCAACTCCAAAAGAAATTATAAATACTCCACAACCGCAAACTCCTAGAATTACAATATCAACTGCATCTGGCAATTTACCAAACATTCACGACATCACACATTTTCAATTTCCACCCCTTAGTGCAATTACGGCTTTTAATCCTTTGACTTTACCGCCACTTAGTCCGAGTTCTTCTCCTAATGGTGCAACGACAATTTTACATGGCGGAAAATTAATACCCCATGTCCCAGGGATACCTGGACCAAATACACCAGGTGCGTTTACAGAAAATTCTTTATTGCAAGTAAAAAGTGTACATGGCGACGTTTTAAAATCTCCTGTGAAATCCCCTAGAGATGATACTTATGTTAGTGTCGTTCAATCTATTAAAGGAAATGGTAATAAATATGACAGTTTACGAAACGCAAGAAGCCCCAGTATAAGAACAAGTTCCATAGAAATAGAAAAGAATAATCAAGACCATTTAAATAACGATACAACCCATTATGTAACAACAATACCGGCTATTAGGATAAAAAATGTTGATGACCAGCAAAACAAACCATTATTATCTGTCGGAAAAAGTTCAATAGGGAGACCAGAAGGAGTTTTTAAGAGAAATTCTGACAGTTTGTCTAAGACTCCTGTTCTTAAGGAAAATAATTATCCACCAAACAAACTGAAGATAAAAGATAAAATTACTTCTACTTGCAGTAAAAATAATGACATTCAAATTGACAACAAAATTAGAAGCTTCAATTTTGAGAACTTAATCACCAAGGTAGAAATATTTAATAATCAAATACCAAGTTCTTCTGAAGTGCAAAAGAATACAAATGCTCAAGAAACAAGTACTGTGTCGATTTCAAATGAACGATCAGAAACTTCATATTTTCAAAAAAATGTCACATCTAGAAATACTGCAGAAGAAAGAAAACCAAAATTTTTAAGACCATCTACATTGCCGTTGAAACCTGGTACGTTCACGCCTAAAAGACATCATGGTATCACTCCTAATGCAAATACAATGCCCTTGGTGTCACCTGAAACTCCTCGACCTGCTAAAGCTTACGGACAACTCTATTTAAATGGAAATGCATATACATATTTAGGCCTAAAATGCTCAACTAAAGTTTTCTACTGCACAATCAATCGACCGCAGCCTACATATGTGCCTAATCAGCATTTCCTGTCTATGTACAGCAATTGGCAGGTAATTATTCATAAAATAATAATTATATAGATTTACATATCAATTACGTAGTTTTAATGCTATAATATATTAATTTATACACATGATATATGGATTCAGATCAGCAAAATAAAATAAAATTTTAATATGTAATTTATACTCGTATAAAGTACAAAGACCATTACTATAAAATCACATTAATTTTTAACATTTGTGAACCATTTAACAAAACAAAAGAATGGAGTGTTAGAGATTACACCAAAATTTAACATCTTTTGTAAACAAAATAATCAATCTTATTCAAAAAGGTATTTTAATTAAATAATTATATAGGTATTTATTGCAGTTTACAAAATGATTGCTTCAAATTTCATAAGAGAAATTGATATCAGTTTTATTCTTGATAGCATTTACTAATACATCAGAAACGTAATAGATAATGAAGCTATATCTGTGACAGATAATTTATGTATTTATTTCGAATTTACATATATGATGTATACAAACTATATATATATATTTCAGTTACTATCCGAGCTGACTCCAGATCCATTGGGATTATCAGCATCTAGTACTATGTCTTTATATGACTCCCGTCATCGACCGCAAAACGTAACAGTTGCAGTGGTAAAACAGGACCTCATATTAACACATTCATCAAAGTGGAATAAAAATTCAAAGGAATATAAACAGGTCAGTGTAAAGATTATTATGTTTTATTTATATTAATTATCATCATGTCGATGCTGGAAAGGCAAAAGTATTAAATGCCGTTTAGTGAATTGTACAGATGAGCAAAAATAGAAGAAAAAATAAATAAGTAGCGAAATCGAAAAGGCAAAACGATGTCAAACACTGTAAAACAGTTAACATATATTTTAAATAATATATTAATAAAAAAAATGGAAAACTAAAAGTTGTGAAGTGTAAACCAAAGACAAATTTCTATGGTTGTATTTTGTAATTTGGCTAATTATTTTATTAATCGAAGCACGTTTGATGTAAAAAAACTAAACTTAATTAATATCTAGAACTATCAGTTGGATTTGTTTTTTTTTTCATATGATAGCTCATTTCTCAAAGAAGATTATATATATATAATTCAAAATGCGCTTTATGCTCTTTGTCTTTCTAGTGTCGATAAATTAAGTATATTTTAGATATAAAAAAGAGACATCTCTTTAAATTTTTAGTTTGAAAGTTATAAAATTGAATAGTCTCAAAAATAGATGGATAGTTTACATTTTTATAAATAGCTAATATAGAAAATCGTAGCATTCACTGCAATGCTATTTTTTTAAATTACCTAATATTAATATTACAGGTCGCGACATCTGTTGACTCTAAAAAATCAGATGAAAGCAAACTTCAAATATCTGATAGTAACATAACTCCAAAAAAAGAATTAACGGGCGGTTTTGAAAGTAATGAAGAATATACATACGTGCGCGGCAGGGGTAGAGGTCGATATGTTTGTTCAGAATGTGGTATACGTTGCAAAAAGCCCTCGATGCTAAAGAAACATATCCGTACCCACACCGATGTTAGACCATATACATGTACACATTGTGCCTTCAGGTACGTAATCTTACCAATTATATTAACAAACTAAAAGACAAAATAATGAAACATATAAATAAATCTGTAAATATAGCGACCATATTAATTTTAGACATCTTTATAACAAATATAAAGACTTGAAAATTGCACGGCTCCATAACTATAAAAGAATAATCTAATACAAAATCTACTATTTAGATTACTAAGTAAATTTAAACAGTGCATTGAAGAATACAGTATTTTATTAGTAAAATATGTTATTTATTGTCATGCCATTATAATTATTATAGAAATAAAGTTGTCTAATATTGATATGGTCGCTATAAATGTTGATAAGTAATTGTTTAGATAACAATTTATAAAAAATTTTTTGAATTCCATGTTTTTGATGGTATATATATAATTTTTATTGTTGGTCGCTAAGACTAAAGAAATTAAGTTACTTTTATCGTTTTGATACGTTTAGACAGATACAACCTAATAATGGATGATACATTCTCGTAGCATAACATAGATTACAAAAATGTACAATTAGTTCGATTATTATTAGAAATATTATTAAACAATATAAAGTTTATTATGTAATATAATATTATATTTTTCAGTTTCAAGACGAAGGGTAATTTAACGAAACATATGAAAAGTAAGGCACATTACAAAAAATGTTGCGAGTTAGGGATAAACCCAAATGAAGGCAATGATATTGAAGGCGGGGAGATGACTCAATGCTCAGGAGAAACAGACGATGACACTGACTCCGAAGGTGATGAAGGAAATGAAGGAGAAACAGAATCTAGTGGTAAGTACCTAATTTTTTAAGACAACACTTATTTATATTTACAATTTTCCATTCAAGTCTCATTTTTGAACTCTATGAGTGCAATAAGTTTCTTCTCATTAGACAATGATGTATATACAAAATGCCTACAAACTATCACATAAGCGGCTTGGTATAGATATTTGAGTTTGCCTGCTTTTGCTAGGGTATATTTATGGTGTGTGTAGCAGTGTGCATTTTCTATACTATACGGAACTACTATACTTACTGCATATGTATTTATTATTTTCAGACACAGAAGTCTGCAAATCAAGATTGCCAGAGCATGAAGCTGCACATTGTTTATTGTCTTTGGGGAGTTCTAGACCTACTACATCAGCCACACCTGGTTTGATAACAAGTGCTCGACCTTCTACTTATCCGTATACTCCAACAGGTTTAGAAAGTATGAACGAAACTTCAGAAAAGATACTTCCTGTCAGTTCAGTGGATTCAGGAATTGATGTGGAAAATGAGCCTATGGATCTTAGTAAAAGTGATACGAAACCAGTTTCTAATATTCCTGAAATACCAACTGCAAGAGAATCGAGTGTTCTTGCATCATTAGCTTCAAACACTGCGAAGCTACCTCAACATCAAACTCAATGGGCTAACGGAGAACCAATGCTCCATACATATTTGACAGAACGAGCTCTATTAGACTCCAAGATAAAACAAAGCCAACTGACGTGCAATTTAACTAAATTAAGAAAAATTGATTTAGAACAATCTGCATTTACGGACACAAACAATAGTAGTGATAATGATAGTATTAATATAGTGGTAACATCAGTTAGGAATCTTGTCACGATGCCCAATATGTCGCCAAAAAATGCTAATACGTTAAAAACGACAACGAATGAAAACGATAACGTGACATCTCTATCTGCAATTACAGATAATAATACTACTGATAGAGTAAAGGATGCTTCTGTTCCTTTAAATACTGAAACAAAAATTGTTCGCACAATGAATCAAACAAATGCAGAAAATGCAAAACACGTAGTTTCTGAATATTTAAAACAAGCAAGAATAAATCTTAATCTTGTAAAGATACAAGAAGATTTGCAGAATCAAACTGATAATTCTAGTGACGACAGCAATAATTTAAAACTCAATACAGAAGATAATATGCAAATTCAAGACAAAGGCAATAAATCAGAACCTGATTCTGTTAAAATGACATCTGTGGAACACGATCCTATTGCAAGAAAAGTGGTTATAGGTGTAGGAGGTGTAGCATTTAAAGTGACTAAGGGAAAAGGATTTGAAAGTACATCTTTTCCACCTGGTCGACTTATGGAAGATGGCCGTAGAGTATGTGATTTTTGTAATAAAACTTTTATAAAACCATCGCAACTGCGATTGCATCTCAATATACACTACATGGAGAGGCCATTCAGATGCAGCGTGTGTGCTGTGAGTTTCCGAACAAGAGGGCATCTTCAGAAACACGAACGATCAGGTTCGCATCATAATAAAGTTTCTATGACATCCACATTTGGCGCAGCGACGACTTTTAACCCGCGCCCATTCCGATGTTCAGACTGCAACATAGCTTTTAGAATACATGGTCATTTAGCCAAACATCTTAGAAGTAAAATGCATGTAATGCGACTTGAGTGTCTCTTCAAATTGCCTTTCGGGACATTTACAGAAATTGAGCGAGCTGGTGTTAGTTTAACGGACATTGATACAACAGATTGTGCGAGTTCTCTTGCTAGTTTACAGTCACTCGCTCAGAAATTACATGAGAAAGATCCTACGAAATTAGAATATCGTGAACCCAATGGGATGGTTATGGCATCTCTGCCTCTGGGTAGAGAATCATCTGAGGATGAAGATGCAGTTCTAGCGGGAGAAAAGATATGTGACAGTGAAAAAAGTAGTGAGATGAAGACTATTAATAATAGTGAAGGACAGGACGTAGAAGCGACAGTTAATTATAGTGCCACAGATAATTAGTGCCAAAATTATATTAAGTAGGATATTTTAATGTGCAATTTTGTTTTGTTGTTAATTTAAGGTGTAATTATTCATACTGGGGTTTCACTCAGACGTGTGAAAACAAAATGATGCGCTTTAATTATACATATTTGTATTTTGTTTCAATGTAATTGCATTGTCTTGTAAATATCTCATACTGAAGTAATTTTAATATTGTTAAATTTGCTTCCATTGTAAGGCTTACGTAATTTGTTATTATTATTAGTAATTTAAATGTAATAACAAAAAAAAAATAGAATTTAAAAAAAAATAAAATTCTTAAATTCTATTGAAAAAACAAGAAACTTAAAGAACACTTAAACTCCCTTTAGAGGTCCATGTTCCAGGTGAATAACGCTTGAAATATCAATGATACATATTACAACTATAAATTTAGTCAAGTTTATCTTGATAAGTACCATAATTACGTCTTTTGTATGTATTTTTATAAAATATATACCACAATGTATTTATACTGTACAATATCTACTTCCAAAATGCATTATCTTTAAAATGATTGGCATATCAACTTCCATAAACAAAATTTAGATGTACATACATAAAATCCTTGAAGAGTCTTCCATATCAAAAAAGTTCTTGTGCGCTAGGTATTTCTTCGTAATACTAGTTACTCTCCATTTGGGTGAATATTTGACGAGTATGAGTTCTGAAAGGGTTCCCTTCATTTATTAACAAGCAGAATTAATTGTATTATAATTAATCTCAATGTGAAATATTGTCGCTTTATCTTGTTATGATATAAAAAACAACCATTTATTGAATTATTGATATATATACGTGTGTGCATGCTTTCCGTAAGCCTAGTAATTTTTGTCTGTTATTATGACAGAACTGAAAATTATATCATTATGGTTAAGCTACTTTACCTACTTATTATATACGTAATTGAAAAGAAAAAATATTTTTTAAAATAAGTACTTATACCTACAATTTTATATTAGCTATTTGAAATAATGTAATTTTAGATATTTTCAAAGCCTAACTAAACTGGAATGTATGTATATATTTATACAAGTAAAATAAAACATAATTTGGGGACTTACAGGATCTTTACTTAAAGTTTTACTTTAGGCGTTAACACTACCGTTAGGTGTAGAAAGTGAAACATTTTTGTTTTATGTTTCACAAATTCTAACCCAATACAACAATCTCAATAACCATAATCATAAAAATGTGATGATTGTTATTAACCATAGATTGTTCAATTACTGTTAATTTAATGGTGTTTTCCTTATATAAAAGTTCAAACTTCTCTATTCAGCTAAAATTTATAATTGAACTGTGCATTAGTGCGACAAAATTAATATAGAAACAATATGGAAATAAAATTTATAGATTATAAAAGAATTAACAGAATCGGTTCAGACTAGTGAAATTATGGCGTAACACACGTATGAAAATAAACGATTTCAGAACATTTTTGAAGTTCCTTAAAAATAATGTATTTTATTAGTGTTTTTTAATAACTCGGTATGGATTTTAATGGATGTCTTTGGAATCGAATAAGTTGTGCGAGTGCTCTAGCCTAGATAGGCCTATATGAAGACAGGATAAAATTAAAACGGTGTTCATTGAAGTTTCGTTCAAATTTATACATAATCGAATCCATTTCTAACGATTTACAATATTAATAGTTTTTTACATAATGAGTGAAATTATGTAATTAAAGTTTAAGCGTGCCTTGTTAGAAGTTGCAACGCAGACAGTCCTTATTGTAAAATTTTGCTTTTTCATTACTATCATTGATTATAATATGTATATAATGTTTATATATAACCTTTATACGCTGAATCAGCGTGAAGATATCGGCCCCGATTCTGAGGCACCGTTTACCTAACTTTTCTTTTTAACTAATATTTTAATTCGATTAATTTTATAGAAACTTTTGTTTTATGGATCGTTACAGACAAAAATTATCATAATGTTGAGTTAAATCTATTAGAAAATTAACTCTTACTGTTCTTTAGAATAATGATTTCGCTGTAATATCAAATTTAAGTTTTAGAGATAGGTTTAGAAAAACAGCGCTTCAGAATTCACTCTATTAGGATCATTTAGGCATATCGAAGCTTACCGAAGAATGGCAAGGCAACGTTGAAAACGTTGCCTTGCCATTCTTCAACGTCAGTTTTCAAAAACCAATAAAATTGAATATTCTGATTAATAAGTTAAAAAGTTAAGCATGTAATCTTATTGAACTCTAACTGAAAATTTGGATTTACATGGCACTTTATATACAACATATTCTACGATTAACGTTTTAGTTTTCAATGACAGCAACTTTTTAAATAAACAATCAGAAATATTGAAAATTGTTTTCGAAAATTGACATATTATTGCTATGTTGTCACATTTTGGTTAGTTTTGAGTTATTAAGCATGTGTGTATCATCAATCGTGAAGTAAAATTGTTGCCGTATAAGGCAATCGCAAACAACTATTTTTTGTCTCTGTATAATAAAAATTACTTAAATAATATTTTAACGTAACATTGGAGGATATTGTTTTCATGTAAAATTAAATCGTAATCTTGTAAAGATTCAAATGATAGTAATGAAAACCACAAAATATGACTGAGGGCAAACATTTTTCGATGAAAAAATTCATGTAAGTAGGTACCTAAATCTTTTGTTACTTACAAAGAAATTATGTACTTACTTTATTTGTAAATTAAGCCAGCATTCAGTTGTTTTTAAAATATTTAACTATTGGCTACAACAGTATCTGATATCATTTTGTGCAATTTTATTTATGACAGAGCAGACCATATCTTCATAACAACATTCTGTGGGATGAAAGAAATAATTTTTATTATTGAGTGTTGTAAACACAGACATGTATTTATGTTTATGGTTTTGACTCAGGTTTGTTATACAATTGAATTAAATATATTAATTAAGTTGCCTGTTTCAATTTAATGTATAGTAAGATGGTATAAGAAAATAGTAAGGAAGAAGAAATATGTAATGTAATAAATTTTCTTAAAGTAGGTAATTTTTATGTTGTGTAAGCGGCCACGTTGTTATAAGAAATGTTTTCATTTTGCTTGAAAAGATTTTATATTTTGTATATATCGGATAAAAATAAAACACAAACTTGTCAAATATTTACTCATTTATTGTTTATTATACATTATATGGATGGATATTTTATAATGATAAGAATAATAAACTAAATGTAAAATATGAATCTTGTCGTATTTGTTCTTCTGCGTCAGCGAGCATCGAATACCACCACTGAGGAATATGTTCAGGAAAAAAAAGATAAAAATCTTGTACACATATACAAGTTCATACACTGACATACCTTCAACAAAATAATCGGGCTATTAACAACCTAGAAGAGAAACTAATCAAACAATTTGAAATTAGAAAATATCACACGGTCATATGCCCCTGCCCTTAGAAATCAGGCCAGCTTTAATTAATTTAAGCAATGTGCTTCAAGAATCGCTTACCTTTAACATTTGGCAGGGTGGGGGTGGGGGGAAGGGACTGTTAGTAATCATATTAATTTTCCGTCACGGATTTCACTCGTAACTTGCCTCCTCATCTAGGTTTCCAGTTTAACAATTAACAAAGATACGAATTATAATAGCCCCCATAAATAAAAACACTTTCAAATAGTTGATTTAATCAAAAATTTAAAAGTACTTAGTACAAAATAAACTATTGTTTTTTTTTTTTATGACTAAACTATTTTTTTTTAGATAACCTTAACCGTCTACCGGATACATGTGGCACATTTCCCGTGTTGGTTGCCGTTTATACATGCCTTTTATATGTTTAGGAGATGTATTCAATATCCAAGCTTTATCTTCATTTAAAGCTTCAAAAATAGCAATCACTTCTACTAGAGTTAATTTTGATGGGGAGCAAATTAGGAGTCGAGTAAAAATCTGCGAAGGAATATGAGAATGTCTGTTACTTTGCAAATCTGATTCGGAAGATTGGCGACAAATGTTATTATTTATCATGCAGTGAAATCACAAAATGAAAAATAAATGAACAATACTTACTTGCAAATTTTCATAGTCTATACACACATATAATATTAGGCACATATAAAATTCACAATCATGCTCATAGATATTAAATAATAATACACATATAAGCTTCTACGACACACATACATTTTTCTGTTAGTGTAAATTTAATGTATTTTGCAGAATGAATATGAGGAGCAATAGAAAAAAATTGCCATTTACTAAAAAAAAAAAATAGTATAAACTAACATACAGTTTGAGGGTCTAAATCAAGGTTCAAAAATCAAATCAAAAAAAAGGAGAAAATCTTTAGAAAAGTTTTACTGTTAAGGTTTTTTCATTTTAATAAAAAAAGTTCTAGAAAGGTCTCAAAGACTGCAAAAATTATTATTATCAAATCAAATATCATAGCTGTCGCATAACATTAAAAAAAAAACAGATGAAATAAGAATGTTCATTTTTTAATTCACTCACAAATTACTATTTTATGCTCATGAGTTTGAAATAATTCAAATCAGTAATAATTTGTGAATTATTCAGTTTAAATTCTTATGAAAATTGAATTATTTGTAATAGTTGTTGAGGAGCTATAATATATTTATGAGTTCTGAATTATTATAAAACAATTTTGAAAATTTAACTTTGGCTCAGCATCTCATTGACTTTTCGTCATCTTTTAATAAGTACTTTGATGTTGCTATCTATATATTGCATTTTAAATTATTTTACTTTAGTTATTTTAGTTTATTTAAATGGGACAGCAAAATATAATATGTAAAGCTTTGTAATTCTTCTGGTTTAGTCAGGTGGAGACATTTTTATTTAAATTTAAATATTAGTTTAATGGGCCTAAAATATTCAGAATTGTCATAAATTTGTAAACTTCATAAACATAAATTTAAATGAAATCAGTATTAAATCAATCTCATCAATAGACAATACTCAGCATAGCTGATAAGTTTGTTAATACTGCAGGTTAAAAAATAGCACACACCACATGCCACAAGACTATCTTATAATATTTTAAAAGGATACATCTTTTTGTTCTTTTCTTGTACATAATTCTGTAACCACATTCTCTGCATCGTATAGGGTCTTTCGTTTTTATTTCATTTTCTCTATGGCATTCTGAAATAAAAAAAATATATATAATGATATACACTTGTGGTCAAACTGATAAGTATAAATTGGGTTACTAGGTAGCCTTAGCTCTAGCCGTAGGCAGAAATGATTTAGTTATTTAGTTTATTATGCAAGTGCAGTATACACACCAATATTTAACATAATAATTACTTTTTGAGTTTATCAAGGTAAGTAATAATTTATTAAAATAGGTAATTTTGATTATAGATTAATAATAATTAATTTAAAACACAAAGGAAGAGGTTTAATCAACAATAATTATATTGTGATAAAATAATTTAAAAAATAAATTTATAAAAAATATTGACTCTTACGCCAACCATTTAATTAAGTTACATGTAAGTATATTCACCTACATATGGTTACATTTATATTTTAGAGTCCAATAATCCAAATTTGTCTCATTGATCTGTTTTCAAATTTAAGTTACAAAAGTATGGTTTGTATATTAAATTGTGATGACCTACAGCAATTTATCTGTATAAATATAACTGATATATTATATCACAAAACTAATACCTAGTGTATCAATGTTATGTAGGTACATATTATATAACTTTAATTCATCATAATACATCTTATTTTACAAATACAATATAAATTTCATATAGAGAAAAAAACCCCTTCATAATGAATATAACAAATTATTTCTTCATGTAACTTAACTACACTCTTAACAGTAAAACAGAACATCATCTCATTTAACAACACACATTTGTAGGTTTCATAAATGATTGTTTATGTATGTATGTTCTCTGTTTATTTCTATTGATTGTTTATGATTGAAACATGGTTAACTGTGTAATAGCTTCATAATAATCATATTCAAGGAAAGTTATAGGTCATATAATCTATATTAATACGTATAATAAAGTCGTAAGTGATCACTTATGAACTCAAAACAATGATTTTTAGAATTCTTGTTTTTTTTTCTGATTTGTTTAACTAATTTTAATAAGGTTTTCACTAATGAGTTGCGGTTTGCTCCATTTTACATTTAGTGTTTATTTTATTTTAATTGGTTCATAAATAAAAAAGTTATATCAATCTAAAGAATCACATAAAATGCTATAAAATAACCAATCAGTTGAATTTGCTGAAACTTTATGAAGTATATAATTATCATTTAAGTATATAATACAACATAAGACCGGATTCATGAATGGAAATGATATATGGCAACTAAATAGTCAGAAGTGTACAACGCCATTGGAAACAGCTAGTATATGATAAAACTGTAGAGGTTGAATGTCTGTACATAGAAAAAAAAAACATTAAAAACTAAATTAGGGGGATGTTAGAAATGAAATAGAACACTTGCATATATTGAAATTTTTTTGTTTTGTTGTCTATATGGGCTAATCTCCAAAATTGTTGGACGGATTTAAATAAAATTTTGCATGGTGGTACCTTACAACCGTGGTCAACTTTTTAAATACTTTTAATCATGGAAAATTAAAAAGTTAAAAACTATAGTAACTTATACAGCTTAGTATACAACCTACTTAAGTAATTTTGATCTAAGGCAAGAGTGAGAAAGGCACATGATTTGTTAATTTTGGTCCAGTATTCTAGGATATAAATAGGTATCACGCGAACAAAGTCGCGAGTATAAGCTGGTAATAGTAGTTGTTTAATATATTGGCTTTTAGACTAAGATTGGCTTATATGGGTATTTAAAGTTGCCTTAAATTAAATAAACATTTATACTTTTTATTATAGAATAATAGAATCAGGCACCCATTAGTATTTAGAGAAGAGTACAATTGTATAGCGAATAGGATCATCGTAAAAGTAGTATTTGTTGTATTTAAAAAAAAATATTTTGGTTAAACTTACCTCCACATACATATATCATGGGAACCTTTGTGGTGGATTGTTCTTTATTGCTTGTATCAGCCATAATTATTATTAACAAATATACGCTGTAAAATGAAGTATATCAATTAGTAATTTTATCTCTTGCACGTTATGTAGCATGGCATTTTAGAATGTTTTTTTTGCAATTCAGACGAAAAAGCTACAATACCTTTTAAATTATAATGTTTGTTTTAACCAACAGAAGCATAAAATTTACATAGGTTTAAGATAAATGTTTTATTCTTAGCATTAGGTATCTATAAACAAAATATTTGTAGATATAGCCTAGAATTAGGCATTACGAATTTACGATATGAAAATATTAGGGATGTTTAATAATAATCGATTTTTATTTAAATAGATTATTACTTCCTAATAATCGATTTTGTATAATCGTTTTTCATAGTAATATTAATCGACTTTTAATAAATCGATTTTATAAATTACGTGTTTAAATCGATTTTCATAAAAAGCGTTATCTACGCGACGGATGAAAAAGAACTTGAAGTTTTATAAACAACGCTATAATGTTAAGTAAGCAACCATTATTCAAGTAACTTTTATTTGTTTTAAGTAATTATTACAAAAACTAAATACTTCCTTTTTTTACGTTTGTTCCGTTGTGGAACAGGCAAAGGTCGGAGACCATGCTGCCTAGTCTTCAATCCTAAAGACTTCCATGTTGCATTGATAACCTTGAATGACTGACTTACAAAGACTGATTGACATAGACAAAGCTATTATAGATTAACTATGTAAACCCATTACATCCCCCTCACATTTCAAGAATTTTAATTAGTAATATATCTACTACATAATTTTGAAGATAGACTGGTTTCTTCATAGACCTACCAGATCTGCTATACAACCCATGATTATTTTTACCGATCCTACTTTCCAATCGTTCCCGAGGATGATTTTTTGGACTCTGTGACCTAGTACAGGAATCATCAACATTAATATTAGAATTTTTACCTCATGCACTTTCTCTGTTTTGTCTATCAGTCACCACTCTATCCTCAACCTCATTACTATTATTATCTATAGGAACAATTTACAACTTTTCCTGATTTCTGCTCTTAATTAAGTATCTTCTATTTCTGTCTAATATTTGTCCTTTATCTGTAAATATTTTATAAGAATTAGGTCTTATATCTCTTAACATTACCTGTGCATATTAATTAGGTTTCTTATTATTTTGATCTAATAATACAACTTTTTGTCCCATTTCCAAACAATTTAAGTTTCTACAATTTCTGTCATAGTAACTCTTCTGTTTTGCATACAATGATTTTTGTACTCTTAAATTTTCAATATTAGGTTTACAAATCAATGGAAGCAATTCTTGAATTTTCTTATCCATTAACAATTCACATTAATTTTTATAATAACTACTAAGTATTTATCATAAGTATATTATAAATATTATAAATAAGTACTAAGTATTTATCTTTACTTCGCTATCTGCTTTCCTAAACAAATTTTTAACTGTTTGTATATATCTTTCTGCCAAGCCATTAGACTGAGCATGTGTATTATTGGAATAGGAAAAGTATAGAGATTTTTAAATAATAGAAAAATCGTTATTGTCGCATATCTCGGTTATTCTTTTTTTTATTATTATTTATTTAAGGACAACCAACAAAGCATACATTTATATCTACTTAAAATACATTATAATAAGGTTACATTATAAAATACTGTCTCAATTAAAGGCCGTCACGACATGCGTATTAATAATATATATATAACTATTAGGTTGAAAAATGATAATTATTTTAAATAAAATCGTTTGTTGACAAATCAATTAATATTAAATAAAGAAAAATCTATTTTTATTTAATCAATTATTTTACATTATTCTCACATTCTTAGAAAAACTTCTTCTTTCTCTTCTTCTTCTTTCTTATTTCTTCTTTCTTAATTCCTCATATTTTTAATGATCCTCCAATGACATAAAAGTGATAGAAGTAATAACATCAATTTCTATTTCAGACAAATTATCATACTGAAGACTAGGCAGCATGGTCTCCGACCTTAGTCTGTTCCATAACGGAATAAACGTACTAAAAAAAATATCAATTTATCTACAATGGGAAAGGCAACGAAACGAAGTTATACAGCTGATCTTCAGTAGAAAGTTTGTATTTTAAGACAAAAAAAATATTAGTTGTTATTTTTCTCAATTCATAGCAGGTTAGTGCATAGAAAATGTTTAATATGTCAATATTTGTCACTGACAAATTTTACATTACTAGATTATATATTCGACACCGTTTATATAGAAAGTATGCAAACAGGTTGTAGGATTATATGCCGTATAACGTTTTCTATACACTAATCTGTTATGAATTAAAAAAAAAAATAGCAACTAATGGTGGATCTTTTATCTTTTTTCTACTAATTATATTTGCATAAAAACCATATGATTTATAATTTGTATTTTATCATTCCTTCTATGTAATTCCTTGTTCTTTAGTATAATGTACTTTGTGGTGATAGTAAATGGATAATATTTATTTTATTTATTGGGCTTTGGCTAGAAGTGATTGCTATATGTATATACTAGTATAGAGATCTAGATTATTATTTTTAGAGTTCTTGAGACATAGAGAATAATATCTGTTCTGTATTTTCGTTAACAAGTTATTTATCTGTGATACCATTCAATATTGTCAGTCAGATCTGTCCGTCAGTGTAGTCATTTATTGTTGTCATGTATTTTTTTGTTTATCTAACAAATAATATATTTATCCATTAGTCTTTTTAAAAATAATTTATTAAATTTACTTTACCTACTGGTTTTATAATTTTGATCAGTAAATATATATTTAGATAAAAGGACTAGTTATTTTAAAATTTTAATATTGGTAATAGCTGTGATAATGAAGGACAGAAATAGCGTTCATTTCCTTGATAATTTTGACCCGGAAACTTCAGCACGCGAGAGACGCAAGTTAAATCGCAAAAGTTATTTTATAAAGTAAAGCTATCTCATTATATCTTTAAGTAGTAATAGTAACATACCTACATATTTATTAATAAAACCAACTTGCAGTAAATGAATGTGATATTTTGAAATATACTCTATATTGATCTGCTTTTTGTTCTAGCCGTAAAAGTAAAAGCATTTATAATGAAAGAGGGCAAATTGCTGCTACAGGCAAAGATTTGTGCGATTGTTTAGATGAGACTTGTCCAGGTTGTCACTTTCCATGCCCAAAATGCAATTCATTAAAATGTGGCCATGAATGCAGGTAGGTACATTGTATTAAAAAATAAATTTAAAGCGTAACAAGATTTAGAAATACTAAAAATTGTTTGTTTTTGAAATATTGCCAGACTTAAGAATTTTCATAGAGACACTTAAGACTTAGACTGTTGTTTTTGTATGGGGCAGCTCTTGACCCCTTGGAGTGTGGGTTGTTGGGTGCTGGATCAGGCTGGAGAGAAACGATTTGTATTCCTATTGAAGCTCCTGGTTTCGCTCGGAAGAGTTTTTCCCTAGTTCCTTGTCGGACTGGGAGTGCATGCTGCACAACGGTAGGCGGCTTATATTTATACCCCACTGCACGATAACGAGTACTAACTCACACTGGTGAGTCTGTGCGAGCGGGACGGGGCGAGTGTGAGAGGGATGCGCGACCCTTCTGAGCAGCACCATTCGGCATCTATTTATTTATGATTTAAATATCCTTATTACAAATATTATACAATTTTTCCTTATTTCTATCGTGGATAATAAGGACTCCACATAATAAATGTTTTATTTCCCTTACAAACTATACATTCTATAAATAACTATAAAGGTAACAATTTAAATGATTAAATACTAATAAGTTATGCTAACAATTAGTACATAGAGATAACTATAAAATATCACTATAATTACAGAAATAAATTATAATGTTGCTAACAGTTTTAGTAGAAGAAGTTCATCATAAAAAGTTCTTTCTTTTTATGAAATTAGCCAAATGCTTTCCCCTAGAATTTTGTTGCCCAATAACAAAGTTTTCTATTTTCATCTCATCATCTTTCTTTTTGCCTATTTTAATGTGGAAGTCTACCATCAATACTGTGTATTGAGTACTAGAGGAATGTATGGTTCTTAAATTGTCCTCACACTTTGATTCCACATTTATTATCAGAGTGTGTTATATTCAGTGCATATACCTGTGTAACTTTCAGCAAATATCTATTGGTAATTCTGAATACCAAGTATTTGTATAGGTAAGGGTTGTCCCTTACCAACACATTCTTTATTTTTATGATATTATTAATGAGAAACTTGCAAACAATGAACCTACTACCACCACAGGATGGATGGATTCCCTTCTGGTGGAGGACAAGTTACCAGATTCAAGGATCATCATATCTTCTGCCTGTCCTTGGGTTTCAGATAATTCTATAATGTCCCAGTGTAATTTCTTCACCTCTTCTTCCAGTTCCACAATCTTCTGATCGGTCCTCAAAATTCATGCATTATAAATTGCCAGGTCTAGTTGTTTTTGTTGGTAACCAAATTTCTGTACACCCTCTGTTTCACCATTACCATGACTGTTAACTTGTTCTTTTTTTTTTATACAATGTAAAATGGCAAACAAGCTGATGAAAAGTGGTAACCGTTGTTCAGGATTAGCCACCAGGGAATGGAAGTCATTTTTGGTGTTTACTATTGAGCGGGTTTTGCCAATATTTGGCACACTTGGCAGGTGGGTTAGCTACCACAGTTCGGCTTTATGTGATGTTTTAAGAGGGATGCTGCTGCCGATCTCTCCACCATAAGTTTCCCTAGTTGCATCTTACGGCACCCACAGAAAAGAAAAGAGTGGCATATTATATGTTGGGACCAAAACTGAGTTTATAAATGTATATTTATTTATTAGTGCATTAAAAAAATTTAAATATTTTTGTATTAGAAAGTTGAATGATTGATGACTCCTTTGACTGTGGTAAATCGCTAAACTTATTACATTAAGCCCCTGCTACTGAAATCTGTGGGTATAAGGTTTTTAATGAACCTTGGTTTAAAATAATGATGAGCAGAAATATAATACGGGTACAATGAACTTGGGTTGCCTGCTCTAAGCAATAAAAAAAATGGGGTCTAAAATATAAATTTCTCAGAAACTTAATTTTTTCATATTTTTAATATAATTTGAAATTAAATTATGGATAACAAAATTGACACAATAATAATAAATAATTTATCATTTTTATAATCTATACAATATTCGTATATATAATGGTTACCTTTGGTAATAATTTTATGCCATAGTTGCAACCTTATTGCGATAATTAATTGTTAGCAAGATTTTTTATTTATTTGCAAAATAGCAATGTCAAAATTTTTTAAAAACACTTTTTATTGATTACAGGGTAAACAGGAAATGGATGTATGATAAAATTGAAATAGAAGGAAATGATTTTGTTATCAAAAATGAATATAAAGCTAAATAAATATTAAAGAGGAATAATTTTACTGTATGTATAAAATAGAAATTCATCATATTATGAAATTATAGTAAAGAATTGAAATAAACAACACTTCAATCTCACAAATATTTTTTATTTTTGTCAAATGAAATATAATCCATTTTTTTATATTTTTATTGAAATTTAAAACAGGCTAAAAATTATAAGTTTTTTGATGATGGATGGATGTTTGTTACTTTTTTATGCAAAATTTCTGAATGGATTTGAATAAAATTTGCTTAGATTATATACTGCAGATACAAATACAGACAGAGCCTCGAGCTTGAAAAACTTCAACTTTTTATCAGCCAATTGTCAAATTAGCTGACTTTTTTATTAGTGTTCTATATACTTAAAAAAATACAATTACAACGTATATTAACGTCTCTGTGTTTAAGTAAAATGAGTTACTGCATACTAAAATAGAGTAAAAATTATAAGACGAAAAATATAATTAATAAAAAAAATAATTTATAACTGGTAAATATCTTCAATTTTAAGCATAAATATAATTATAAATATCACCATTTTTTTTTATGAATTCGGGATATTTTTAGTAAGTATGCGAAAAAATCCCTACAAATGAGATAAAATTCCCGAAATAAGGTGGATTTATTTCAATAAGAAATAAATTATTTTTAATTATTATTCTTATTATGTGCTATTTTTTCCCATATTATAAATATAATATTTACGTAGATACATATATACATACAGATATTATTGAATAGGTATTATGCAGACTTTGTCATTTGACCGTCAAAATCCAAATCTAAAGACTTGTATACGTATATATATGGACTGGGTGGGCCGTGCCCATCCTAGAAATGTTTAGTGCTCACCCTGGGATCAGGCGCGGAGTTTGTTAGCTATGACCAAATATGTTTAAGAGTGCATATGCGTCTTTTTTAAAGGGTCAGGCCCCCTAGAAAATGATCTTAAATACGCTATTGTAAATGCCTAATCAGAATCTACTAATCATTGGCTAAAAGTTTAAAAAAATACTCTACTTCTAGTTCGCCATCTTCAGGAAGATCTGTGCAGTGCACTGCGTTATGAATAATATTCTTTCCATATTGTGCTCTGATTGAATCTGGATAGAGCTGTCGACACACATCCTGTCAACAAATATAGCGAGCCGTTATTAAATATATGTATTTGGTCTTCAATAATTGATATAAGGTAGATAATTGAACTAGGCATAAATGTTACATCTATGCCAGTATTTGTAAAAGACGAAAGGAAATTTAGATACCTACCACTTTGTATATAAGAAAGGTACATATTTGACGATTTCAATAATAATTAACTACGATGGTATCCAGGGCAAATTGCGAGGTGGTTCCTTTTAATACTACTATGGTGGCAAACAAGCAGACAGTTCGTCTAATGGTAAATGAGGTTGCCGTAGTAACGTCTATGGATGCCTGTAACACCAGAGATGGCACGCGCGCGTTGCCGACCTTTAAGAAACCTTAATACGCCTCTTTTTCAAGAACTTTTTTTCAGTTGACCTGATAGTTAGTTTCTTCTCCACTTATTTGGTTTAGTTACTCCATATATAAACTCACGTGATGTTATAACTACGTGTGTGATTACAAATTAAACAATTTAGTCGTAAATATGTAGGTATTTATAACTAGTCAGTTTCTCATAATTATTTTCTTTTTTTTATGAAAACATGGAAAGGTAAGTAAGTTAATGGCTCATCTGATAAGAAGTATTACCATTTATGTGTTGCAATTCCTGACTCTACAGGACTACATTGTGCTTCAATTTCAAATTTTTTCAAATCGAAAGACAGTCATGCATGCTAGAGTAGCAGCTTAGTGGTAAAAACATAAATAAAAAATGTATATATCTATGTTTTCAACATATCAGAATTTTCTAATTATTTTTTTACGGTTAACCATAGCAGAAGAATAAGCGTGTTTTAATCGATTATTTTAAAGAGTCCTTTATATACTTATCTGATAAAAATAGTTGATGCTCGCCACTGTAGTGATACATGTACCTAATAATAACTTTCTTCAAGTAGGGTTTACCTTATGTATGATAAAGATGTTATTAAAATCGTTTCAGAATTGTCAAACATACATAAATACGCAACATATGAGTACAAAGAAGTTTAGTGGCTTTTGTTTTATTACGTTACTAAAAAATATGTACTTAGTATTAAAGCATCCTTTATCTATATAATTAAAATCAAATTACTTCAAATATGCTGGATGCAATATATAAAAAAATAATACTTGTCGTACTAGCGACCTGCCAGTACAGGTCTAAGGGGGCGCGTGGTTGGGCATCGCTTGGAGGCGCTAAAGTCCGAAAGAGCTGTCGAGTAATGTTATAAGAGGTAAAAGAGGCGCGGGTCCGGTGAGGGCAATATTGTTCCCGGAATTTCCGACATCGAAATTGATGACGACTTTTTCGGAAAGTCCCTTGACGCGGCTTTTCCTTTAATTACTTGTCCAGGAGGGCCAGGGACTAAGGCTCTCCTTGCGACCTGTTAAATTATGTAAGCAAAAAACATACTGGATCTCTTGGTCCGCATAGTTTTCTAAATTCGCAGACACAGTTCATGTTGGGGTCTACGCATTTAATTTCCAATGAGATGCATTTTCCTTCTGCCATATGAATACACATAGCCTGAAAGTACATCGGAACTCATATAAACAATCTAAATTATTAGATAGCAGTATAAAAATCTTCATATGGGATCCCGCCTGAAGACAGTATGAAATATTTTTTAAGTTATTTCCATTGCAATAAATATTGGCCAACAATATCAAAAACTATTCCAAATTTCAAATCGATAGCATTAGTAATTGTTGATATTAAGTGCTGCGATAGACAGACGGATGGACGGACAAACAAAATCACACTAAAGGGGTTTTTTGTGCCTTTTTGGTATGGAACTCTAAAAAGCAATTGATTTTTTAAATAGATACAAATAAAACAGTGACTCTGATTTTAGATATTGATTGACACTATCGGGGTATTAGCGAGTGATAATGTTTGAGGATAAAGTCAGGTTAGTTCAGTTCATTGTAACGAATTCACCTTACCAGGATACGAACGAACGTGATCAGATACGGTATTTCAATAAAGCAGTAAGTAGTAGTTAATGTAATTAAATAAACAGTAACCTCGTATTCGGGGAGAACTCCTTTGTATATTTCATAAAATTCTTCTGCATTTGCTAATTTTACAGAAAACATTGCCATAGCCGAAATATAAAACTTTCCAGATGTTGATATCTGTTCAAGAATCGCGCCCACATTTCCATCGAGCACAGCATGCGGTTTTATAACACAACAGGTGCAATCTTTGAATGTTGCTCGGAATGGAATACGTGGTATACCTTGATCGTTACCAAAAAATAATTCCAGCATCTATAATAATGAGGTATTCAATGTAGTTTTTTGTAAGTTTATATTTAAATATAGTTATCCATTTTTCATTAAAGCATTAAAAAATATTTAATAAACTTGAACTTCAGTTTGTATGCAGTTTATAGTTATTTTTTTAATGGATGGTTGGAATGGTAACCCCACCAGCTATTATCAGTGAAGGATGATAGGTGAGGATGAAGTAGGTCAGTTAGCCCATCGTGCCGAATCAACAAGAATTGTTTTTTTAATGGATGATAATGGCAATGTGGCTGTCAAACTCCCTTACAATCCCTTTCCCCCTGCCGTTTATGGTTAGGTACATGTAAAGTAATAAGTAGGTAGATATAAGATACGCGCAGATGAATCGAAATGAACGATGTAATGTGAAGGATAAACAAGTTGAAGTGTTAATGTAATGGCCAAAGATGTCGAAACGCTGATAATCCTTGGTTTTTCAGCCTGTATCATAAAGGTTTTCGCGTGGCGATCTCGTACAGGAAAATGTAGTGTCGTTGTACCAGTTTTTTTTTAATAGATGAACATGAATTGGTAACCCCGCCTGCGCTATCGGTATACACCAACGAGGCACCAGTGAAAGATGATAGGTGAGAATGAATGCAGGTCAGTTGGCTCACCGTGATGAATTCGACAAGAATTAAACATGTTGGTTTCCAGGGGGAACCGCCTGGAGGTACCCCTGAGAGGGTCAATTGCTAGCAACGGGGCTATTAGACCTCATTACTAACAATCCTTTTTCCCTCCGCATCTTAATTGTATTGCCGGGATTCAGCGGGTGCAAGCAGAAACTATATAGAAATGATAATGTATGATGCAGGTAACTTACACCTTATGAGGGAGGCCTAATATTTATATTTAGCATTGACAATTAACGGCTTATAAAAATATCAGATAATTTAAAATTACAAAGATATTTTTTACACCTGTGACGCCTCTTCTAGTGTGTTACAACCATGGGCAACATTTCTAAGTTTGTTTTCGCCATAGAGATGCCGCAAAGTACCCGGTGCAGCATCTTGCGGATCTGTGGCGCCCAGGCAACTTCTCCATTTTTTTACTGCATCGGTAGCCACCAGTTCCAAACCGATCACTTCGCCCGTAGTTACATAGTCTATGATAATCCTGTATATTTAACAACGAATTTATGACAAAAAATCTAAATATGTATTTCTGACTCTAGCTTTTCCCTCGCTATTTCATTCATACACGTGGATTTCAGAAGTAGGAAAATTAATGAAATATACTTTTAGATATGTATCAAGATAAAACATATCTCAGATTTTAAGTTAAATCTTCAGGAATAGAACTGTGAAAATAGCATTTAATTTGATGCAATAGTTTATGTGTGATGCGCAAACAATGAACAAACATACAGACAGTCAGACAAATAAAAAAAAATGTTTTTATTAATATTGCTTTTATTAAGAGCATTTATATTATTTTTCCTTAAATGTCTATAATGTAAAGATATTATCTAGTTACAATTGTGTTATACTAATTGATCCCGCGAACTTCGTATCGCCTAACAGTAGATTCTTTAATTTTTTACTTTATTAATATTTATTCTGCTATTAGGGATGCCGGATAAAAAAGCTAACAGCTAGTAAGATAAAAAAGAAAAAAGAAGGTAATAAGTTAACAATTACATTATGTCAAAAAATAAAAATTATAAAACAGCCTAGTCAAAGAACTTCTCCACTAACACAATTTTATGGTAAAAAAGTTCAAAAAGAATCATTTGTATGGGAGTATAGAAGTGTTTTTATACATTTTCAGGCAATTTTTTAAAATTTTCTGTCCGTAAGAACCATCTTCGTACGTCAAGGAATATTCTAAAAAAAGAATTAGTGAAATCGATTCAGCTGTTCTCGAGATTTGCGCTTAGCAACACATTCAACGTTTCATTTTTATATTATAGATTAATAAGATTAGAAAATTGGATGGGTATTGCTAGAATGTCGACTCCCCGAGATAATTTTTAAACTGTAAAAATATTCTGGTAATTTTTTTGAATCTTTATTATTATGTCTTATCTAAGGTCTGAATTTAACAATTGGATTATAAATATTTTACGTACGGCAACATATTATTTCCAGCAATACTTTTATACAATTCCATTGCAAAATTTTTGCTGATTTTGCCATTTTTCATACGAACTATTCGGAATCCTTTTTTCATGATGAATGTGATTATTTTGCCATGTGCACTTGAAGGAACAGGTTTGATGAGCGCGAATGTACTGAAATAATTGAGTATTGTATAGGAACAAAAATATGTTTTTCTAAAAGCGGAGGCTTTTTTATTAGTATGGAGTAATGTGATTCTACACACGACACTAGTAAATCGAATAAAGTTCTAATATTTATCATTATTATTATTTTCAGCAGTTATAGTTGTCTCTTGCTAAATAAACGAAGACTTGCGTAAGGAACGATTTTCCAGATTGTTCGCAATCTGCAACCACTGTCATCTGCAATATATTTTAGACTACCTACATTAGTGGTGTAGCGATTTAGTAATTTCGAATTTAGCACAATAGTAATTTCTATTCATGAAAATTATATAAGGTAATCTAAGATTACATTATATAATACTCATAAATAGAAATTACTAGTATATTTTGTATATTATGTATTTACAAAAATCTATCTGTCAGTTAATTATTAATTACTTAGTGTGAGATTATTTGTAAATGCTGTGTGAAAATAATATAACCTCCAAAGTTTTTATTTATTAAAACTTGAATGTCTCACCTTTGTACATTATTAAATAAAGTTCTACGTGTAGCCGGCGCACAATCTTTAATATGAAGTAATTTAGAGAATATGTTTACTATGTTACCAATTTGTAACATTTCTATTTTTAGTGGTGGCAGTTGCACTCTTTTCAGTAAATTTTTGCCTTTTTTAGAATTTATAATTTGTACTGAATTATCAAAAGGGAAAAAATTTAAGACTAGATCCACTACTTCGTCTGCATCTGCGTCGTACATTTCACATAAGAATGTGTACTTGTCAAAGTAATCGAACACCTGAAAATACTTTAGATCTGAATGTAATTCTAATTCAGATTTACAAAGATGACTGCAAAATTCTCTCAATGACTGCAAAAAAACTGCAAAATTTTTCATTCGTCTTTGTGTAACTAGATTCTTATTAAACTATTCCTTTACCAACTTTGATATAAGTATTTCCGAAATTGTCATATACCATGACGATGGATGATAATGAAACGGTACCCCGCCTGCACTATCGATATATGCTGACGTGACACCAAAGATAGATAGGTGAAGATTAAAACAGGTCAGTCAATTACCTTGGGTCATAATCGTGACAAGTTTATTACGATGGGTTTTATTCCAATTTCGAGAGTAGCTACGTGTCGGTTGAGTGGAATATAAGCCTCCGTTCATTACTAAAAAACAGCAGGTCTTAAGAGGTGAAGAGACTCAAGGTAAGCCTCGAAGTTCAAGAAAGGCACTAAGATCTAAGGAGAAATCATAGAGGGATCACGTTCATGTTCCTTTTTCACTGTCAAAAAATTGTTCATTTTAATAAAGAATTCGTTAACATTTGTTCTTATCTGGTGCTTGTCAGGCACCGTTAAATCGTTACATCAGAGGTAAATCAGTAAAATGTGACGTGTGGGAATTCTTTTTTATTTTTGTTGGGGCACTATAGAGTCATAATAAGTGTGGATGAAGTTAGATCAGTCGGCTTTGTTGTGATTAATTTACTAGGTATAAATCACCATGGTTTCTAGGAGGAATTAGGTGAAAGTCGACCTGACAGGGTAATTGCTACCAATGAGGACATTAGTGCCCATTCTAGGCTACTTCTATCCATGAAGCGATGACTTCAGAAATTGCATGCAGTCAATGGAAGAGATCAGATTTGATTGAGATTACAAGTGTCAATTGAATGGTAGAAATCACGAAAAACTATGTATTATATCTCTACTTAATAAAAAACAAACCGACTTACCATTGTTAAAATTGAATGTATTTCTCCAGTATACCTAAAAAGAAATTTCTGTTTATTATACCTAATTATTATTTATTTTATTATTTCAGCCGTTAACTATCCACTGCTGGATATAAACCTTCTCCATACGGGGGTTTGGCAGTAGTTGCCATGCTTGGGCAAGGTTAGGCTTTTAGAGATGTTTTAGGAGGAACGCTACTATCCATCCTTCGCCCTTCCTTAGTCGCTTCTTAAGACATCCACGGGAAAGGTACTTATTATAATTTAGTTTAATGGAGACAAATCATTTATTTAAGTATTATCATTATTAATAAATACCCTTAAAATATTTTAAGTTACTTTCTTTACTTGCTTTTTACTGTGACACTTTTATATTTCTATAATGGCCATCATTTACGATTGCTTGCCAGTGTCCGTCGGACTCAAAGAGTAAGTAATATACATAGTAATTACTTTTGGCATGAAATATACCTACTGTACTATTGGCGCCCAACGTGGGTCGGAAAGCGCAACTGCAGGTCTAATTTTGAATATCAATCCAATTTATTGACAAGGACCATTTTATACTGCACTTATGAAATAACGGTTACGAATTAAGTTATAATTGGGATCGGTTTACAATAGTTTGTATTGGCAAGTTACACAAAAAAAAATATGCATCTATCAGAACAATATAGAACCATTATGTCGCTAGTATTACAATTCGAGAGTGTAAAACGTCTCAATTTCAATATCAATTTATTGGAATTTATTTTTAAAGTAACCCCACTGGTTTCAACAAGAATTACTTCAAACCGAAATTTACTAGTTTATCATGTAGCGGCTTAGTTATTCGGGCAGTATTCTATTTAAAAACTTGTTGGTTACACTGTACACATTTATTTAACTGAAGCAACAAATTGATAAACTGGGTTAAACTTAGATGAAGTTAGATAAGTGAGAAAATGCAGAATGGAGAAGAATACAGTTTTTTTAATTAAAAAATCAATAAAGAAAACGAAATCTCTGTATGATTTTTCTTTACAGGATACGTCATCAACAATTTCTATTAGAATTTTGCTTAAGGTTTCTGAAGGTTTCCGTATGCAGCGTCCCGTACTACCGTACCATTTGGCCATAATCAGGTACACATCTGAGCACAATTTGCAGACACTTCTTCTCGAACAAAATCGACCCTTCGTCCCTCGACGGGGGTTGAAGTGCAATGGCCTAAGCCGAGGTCCGAGCTGCTCTGCCGTTCTTGGGTGTACGTCGCAGTTCATCGGTAAGAGTTGATACTTCGCCGCTCCCCTCTCACGGGCTTGGAGTGCCAACTACATTTGTCCTTGCACGCGCCCATTGAAGCTATAAATTGAAAGACTACATTTCACCCATCTGGGAAGAATTCCAATGCAGAGACCTGGGGATAGCTGCCCCAGGCCGGGACAGAGGAGACTGCCCCGAGGCCTTCATTTAACCCTCCTACCAGAAGGGTAAGAAGACCTTTCGTCATTGTCGTCGAAGCTATAATAATAGGCCACAGATGGCCTTTATATAATACATACATGTAAAGGCCATGGCCAACAGCATTTACAGATCGAAAAAATGTAAATAAATAAAAAAGTAAAACAAATGCACGAACTACTAAAAATAAACTAATTAATAAGTATTAAACTACGAAATATATCACGATCACTAAATATCAGAAATAAATATTTATATTACTCCAAAGTAAAGATGCGTCCGCCAAGTTTAATGTTTCTCGCCACTTTCGATTACTTTCCGAATTGTCTGGTTTGCTAGTCCTTAATATAGATTAAGGATATATTAATCAAAGACCATCTACGGTCTATGAAAAATTTAAGATTTTTAGATTTTGACATTTACGACTGACAGTAACGACAGTTAATTTGACAGTTGTTTGTTGTTGTTATTTTCAGATTCTAAATATTTGTAATTTTTTTAGTCAATTATCCGAACAATTTATTTATTTTGGACAGAAATTGTACTGACACAAATATCTCTCACTCTCTTTAGTATTTGAGATTTGTGTTTGTATTGAAGCAAAACAGAATCTGCTCTTTTTGGATATTTTTTTAATAATTTCGTTTGAATTTTCCAATGGTAAAATTTTGACCCATTTGTAATTTATTTACTTGCATTTGTTCTTCAAAGCAGAATATAATAATTAATTTTCAGGAAGGGGCTTACAAAGATAAATATTCATTTATTGGCGAATGGTATGATAACCAGGCAAGTCTTATACGCCGGTTCAACGTGTTTTATTATCCTACCGATGATACTATTGAAATGTATGACTTAAAAAATAGAAAGACTTTTGTACGAAGAGTAAAAATAAATGGAATTACTTTGGAGAATTTCTATATTGGCTGTACACTGTACATTTTGGGTCGTTTAATTAAGATTGTGGATTTTGCATGCGAAGACACTAAAAAGAAGTTGCAAAAGGATATGCAAGTGTAGGTACATCTTTTTGGATTATAAAATATAAATGTATAAGTAAATAGTTACGAAGTTTGTTAAGTTACAGTAGTAGGTTTGTGTATTATTATTTTTGCTTAGTTTATATTGTAACAAAATTTTTTTTTTTTACATTTCTAAATGTATTTGATTTTAATTTCTGTCTTATAATAAAATATGGATTATTTTGGTATAAATTTTTAGTACATTTGCTATGATCAAACCAGTACCAACAAATGTAGCTGGTAAAATATTGACACATTTCTATGATCATGGATTGCGAGTAACAAAAATGAAGAAAACAAGATTGACAGCTGATGATATCAATATAATTTACTCCACTCAAGTCACTGATTCAACATTTCCGTAAGTTAAAAACAATCATGTCAAATATCAAGGATTGATGCAAAAGATGATTTTGAATTTAAGAGTGTTAAAAAAACTAATTGTGATAATTAGGATGCCATCAAAGCATCTATAAATTAATAGAAATTAAATTAATTTACAGGGCACAGAGGAATAACATCTGAGTCCTCAGAAGTAGCAACTCATGGGGGTATCATGGGTGAAACAGTATACTCTGTTATGTCCATGGTACTGCTCATGTTTATAGGCGATGGTTACCACTTTCCATCAGATGGGCTATCAGCTTGTTTGCCATTCTAAGTTGTATAAAAAAAAATAGAAAATTAAAATTAGCAAAATTAGAATTGCTAAACACTGTGTAATATATTTCACAAAAAGAACTTATTTGATATAAATAATAAAAATACATCAGAACTTTTTTTTTTAAATTAGACAATTTTTTTTTATAAATTTATCTACATTTACAACTTATTTACATAGTTAAAAATTATTATTACAGCAATAAGTCTCACTGATGACTAGTGGTACATTGATAGATTTATATAAAGAAGTAAATAAAGAAAATAGAATTGAAATAAAGATTTTTAAATATAAAGTATTTTTTTTATATGAAACATATAAGGAATAATTTAAACAGTTTTTATGTTTTAGTTATAGTAAAAATAATATTTATAAATTGCCTTTATTTCTAGGTTTTTGTTAGATTTTCTTACAGGACAATTAGTTTATGGGTTAGAGCTAGTTGGAAAGGATGCAGTAACAGTTTGTATCAATATTTTTGGAGATAATGATCCAATGAAAGCTGCTCCAGGCACTATAAGAGCGCTGTATGGAACAGATCCTGTAAGAAATTGTATACATGTTTCATCTAATCCTGAAACTGCAATAAAGGTAGATTTTCAAAAACAATTTTTAATGTTATAGTAGTTGTACATATAGTTGTATTGATAGGAATTAATTCTGAAACATCATTTTCTATTTTTAATTTTGTTATCATAAATATTACATCTATGGCAAATTTCTTGTGATTAGATAATTTTGAGAACCTTTTGCAAATTATAGAAGTTGATTGAAAATTTCTTTTTTGTCAAAAAACTCAGCTGTTGTTTTTTAAATAAAAGATGAGTTTTAGTATAACTCAGCTTTTGTTTGAAAACAGTCATAAAATAAAAATTTAAAAAAAAAATTTGAGCTAATACATTGACCATATTAATGCTCAACTTCTTTTCATACATATATGAACTATTAGTTTTACCAGAATTGAGGAAACATAACACTTGACGACAGTTGGTTGTAATTTTTATAAATTCCAAGTCTAAGGTATTTTAAATAATTTTTTAATGATGATAAAATGAAAATATGTTTTCCTTGTTTCTAGGACATTGAATATTTTTTTCCACCTCCACCCTTACGCTCTGTGCGGCTACGATTGACAGCAACATTGTCCAATTGTACATTGTGTATAGTAAAACCACATGCAATTCGTGAAGGGAAGCTGGGAATCGCTTTGGAAATTATAGATGAAGCTGGATTTGATATTACAGCACTTAATATGTTTATTGTTGAGAATATAAATGCTGCAGAGTTCTATGAGGTGTATAAAGGAATTGTACCTGAATACAAGGTGATTATTTTTATAGGATTTGTTTTATTGAAATTTAATCATAATTTATTTTTACTTTCCTGCAAAATTATCAATTAACTTATAAACCAAGTATAATTCGAAATATACTTGTTTATAGTTTTTTAACATCCAGTTTTAGTTGTGCGTATTACAGTCTGATATCTTTAAAACTACTAAATAATTTTATAAAATAAATATAAAGGATGTCAAACTATGATCTGTGATTAATTACAAATACACATAGAATAATAATTGTGAGGTTGTAACAAACAAATATTTTGTTTCTGTAATAATAGATATACTTTATGAATTGTTACAGGGCATGGTTGAGGAGTTATCTAGTGGACCGTGTGTCGCAATGGAGATAGTTGCTAAAGATAAAAGTGTTAACACTGCTGTTGAATTTAGAAAACTAGTCGGCCCTTCGGATCCAGTAAGCTTCTGTTTGCAATTTTTTTTTTATTTAATTTGGAACCTTTCCAACACTCCTGCCACAGGGACTCTTGAGTTATTGTTATTCTTGAGTACTAGTGTGTTATGCCTCTATACACGGTAAATTCTCTACCATATTTTACCCTTAAAATTATAGTCATGCAAGCATAATTGTCGGCAATACAAATGAGACATAGGTTTGCATGATCAAAATCAGCTGCATGTGATTTTATAAAAATCTGCCTTTGGTATAAAGGATTAAAGTGGAGTCATTTTATTATAATTTTTATTTTGTTCTAGGAAATAGCGAGATTATTGAGGCCACATACATTAAGAGCAAAGCTAGGAAAAACTAAAGTTCAAAATGCAATACATTGCAGCGATTTAGCCGAAGATGGGTTACTTGAAGTTGAGTATTTTTTCAAAATATTGGACTTGTAAAGTCGATTTTAAATAACAAGACTGATTATTATCTTATTATTTTTGTATTTTTAAATTTTGAGCTGTGATCGTGGTTCTGAATAATGAGGATATAATAATAATATAATTATAAACATTTTCGTTTTTTTTTTTCATCAGTTTAATATATACCAACATAATAAATATGACCATACTCAAACTAATTTCCAGCATATCTATCTTCAAATCGACAGTAAAGACAGCTTTAAAAAAACAGCACAATACCTTTCCAAACAACTTACAACATAATTTTTCGATGTTTCGGGTGCTATGGGTGGCAGTAACCACATAGTACCAGGTGAGATGTGTATGTATGTGTGCCAAAACCAATCACTATGAAATTTGTTATACATATACTATATGCGATGAAGAAAAATATAAACTACTTTTTATCCCAGTCATTAAATATATCCTGGTTATGCAGATGAAGTCACGTCTAAAAGCTAGTATAGACTTAATATGATTTATCAACGAAACATTGGTACTATATTAAACAAGATATAGTTTTAGTAGGTACGTAGCAAAATATGTCTCACTGTTTTATTATAAGTATTAGTTATTCAAGAATATCGAAGAAAAAAAGATGAAATAAAATTGAAAACTAGTTTTGTCTTTTAAAATTAGGCATTTGTTATCTAAGAACAAGGAATAATTCGAAATCTTTTCTATTCGTGTTATGATTATCAAAATTATTCGCTAGAGGCACAGCTTCTTTTCTATCCGTTAGTAGCGCACTAGTTTTTTTTTTTATTACACAGAGGGTAAACGAGCGTGCTGCTCATCTGATGTGATTACCGCCTCCCATGAGCACCCGCAAAGCCAGAGGAACTGCAAGTTGGCTGCCGGTTTTTTAAAAAGAAATATGCTAAGTTTTCGATACAAATTATCGATGAAAACGAGGACGAGTATTTATATTTTTGTACAACTCGCACCAGGCGGCAGTCTGAAGTTTGAATGATATTTTATTTTAATAATTTACAACATTATTACGGGGACCTCAAATAATAGTTAGGATAAGGGTAGGAAGGTGATGATGATAAATTTACAACTTTTACAAGCATTTAAATTACAAGTATAATTAGCATAGCATAACATTACAAGTTATTGACATTACAATCATGTAAAATATCAATTTTCATGTCTCAGGTTAGTCGTATTCCGGTCAGTTTCTTGTCGAGATTTAGACATTATGTTGAGCTTGTACTATGTGAGTCCTGTTGTAAAAGGACCAACAATTAAAGTTTTCTTGAAAATAAGAAGTTACAGGAAAATCACGGATCTTTTTAGTAATTTGAACAATAAACAAAGGATAAACAATGGCCTTCTGTAACAGCCAGCTGTAGTATGTGTTTGGATTGTAAATATTAATATCAATACTAATATTAATAAGATGCACATGTATATAATAGCTTGATTGTTCTTAACAATAAAATTGTCCATATATACCTACATGATACAGTGATAATGCATAAATAATTTATTACTAGTGTAGGTATATTATAATTCCATTATAAAAGGGAGAAGGGATTGTTATTAATGGGGTTTAACCGACGTGCTAGCAATATATCCTAACAGATCGACCTCCACGCGGTTCACCCTGAAAAAAAAAGTGGTTAATTCTAGTGGAATTCGTTACAATGGACTAACTGACCTGTTTTCATCGTCACCTATCATTCCTCACTGGTGCCCCGCTAGCGTATACCGATAGCGCAGGAGGGGTTACCATTCCAAAAAAGAACTCCATTATAGAGGCATGATTGGACATTTTCCTATTTGATTCTGTGGCTGAAATCTTTTCGCTTTAGATTATTTAATTTGTGGCTAATTGGTTTACAATGTAAGAAGATTTCAAATAATACGTGCTTACGACTGGAAATCTCTAAATTGTTAGTCAGAGACATTTGACCTACTTTGATTTTAGTGCATCGTTGTAGAGTATTTAACACTCGAGAAGGTTTTTGAATGATGTCCTAGGTCTAAAAACGATATGTGAAACATAGAAAATTCATGATGTATGGAAATTGATACAATAAGCTTGTATCGTCGCTGATATACCATTTTACTATTCGAAAGCTTCTTTGCGTTAGCGGTTTCGCTATAGAATGCTACTTTGTCTACAGGCTCTGCTGACATGTGCATCGAAACATAAAACTGTTAATTTGCATAATATTATCTATACTTATTGTTATCTATGTCTGACGAGATTGCGGTTTTTATAGGTACCTAGGTAGGTACTGAACATAATTATTGAAAGAGATCATGTTCTGAATTTAATAAGATAAAATGTGACTAAGATTATAACTAGGTGAATAAAATTTATCACAATGTGAGGTATTTATTGCAGGGTAAATGTCAATGAATTCGATGATAGGTCGTTGTTCGTGGATTGATTTGCATAGAAAACCACAACAGACCATATTCTATCTAGGCGGTTGCCTTTCACTGCTTACGGCCGCAGTTTGTTATACCTAACAGAGAATCGTCGTATGAATGGTGTTTCGCATATGAACGGGGACGAGCACAGGGTTGCGCCAGCACCAGACGCTAGTGTCGCGCAAAACTTTCCTACTTGCGGTCGCGCATGCGTTTTACACGCGTCTAGATGTGGGCGCACCTTTGAATATATTCACGTAAAATTATCCCATAAATAAATACCATATTTATATATAGACATTGAAGTTCCAATATAATAGTATCTTAAAACTTTTGTATTTACTTTAAGAAGTGGACCAATTGTATTAAGAGCGAGCAATAAAAAATTGAAGTGAATTTTACGATAAGATTTTTTTATTTACTGTTGTGGTATGTATTTGAAATATGTTTGAACTGTGATTGTATTATTAAACAAATTATATATATATATGTAATTTTAGAGGTTTTTTTATATCTACTTAAATAATATTATATCAGGGCGGATAGATGATTAATTCAAAAGGGTATATTTATTTTAATATCTTTGAACTTTTTTTGTACGTAGAAACGTAAGTAATAGTAAAGATTATTAGAATACATTGTTTGTGTAAATTAGAATGGCAAAAATATATCTTTAAAATACCTTGTTATACTCATGTTAAATATGAATTATTAAGCAACCGTTTAATGGTTCTGTTGAGTACTAGGAACGAAGTAGGTACTTAAATCAGCAGCGAACACAAGAATAACACAAAACATTCAACATGCATGTGCAGGAAACGATAATATTTACAATATTTATAGTTTAGGTATAAAAAAATAATCTATCTTTTTTTCTGTGGAGAAGGAGATATACAGATATCTCTACACAGGCTCGTTATGTCCCGAAAACAAGTTTCGCGGTCTGACCAATTTAGAATTTGTTTCTTTTAATAAAGTGCGCAGATGGATTCTAATGTATTATTTTATCTTTATATATCTAAAACTAAAATTTCAGTTTAAAATAACAGTGATATCATATTTCTGAGGACCAGTATAAATGAAATCTTACAAATATACATTGTTTTTTTGGTGGGTGGAAATGGAATGGTAACCCCGCCTGCGCTAACCAGTGAAGGGTAATCGATGAGAATAAAAATAGGCCAGATAGCCCATCATGACGAATTCACAAGGAATTAACCATGATAGTTTCCAGGGAGAACCGCGAGGAGGTCGACCTGGCTGGGTATATTGGATTTCTAGTAATTACTGCGCTTGGCAGGCGGATTGGCATCAGCAGCAGGCTTTAGAGATGTTTTACGAGAGATGCTGCTGCCCATCCCTCCCTCTCTCTTAGTCGGCTTTTACGAGATCTATGGAAAAGGAAGGGGTGGCCTATTCTATGCTGGGACCACACGGCGTAATGAAATAGTAATTTACTAATAAAAGTAACTAACTTAAAATAACTGATTAAAATATTAGATGTGGTGGTATTTAGAGAAATGGCACCTCAGAATCAACCCCATTGTCCATAAAACTTTAAATGTGCACTGCTGAATATAAGCCTCCTCGGCTTATGTTCAGCAGTGGACAGTTAAAGGCTAATATGCTGATGATGATGACTATTTCATGGACCATCTTAAACTAAAATTATACATATTATTACTTTAATCTATTCGTTCATATTGGTCCTTACAGTAAACTTTTTGTTGAGATATCAAACTATAATTTTAAATTTAGAAATAGTTTTAGAGAAATGACGCCTCAGAATAATTTTAATTGTTTAACGTTAAGTGATATTTTATTCCATTTAATCGATGATATTTTCTGCGAAATTTTGTAACAAAGGAAATGTGTAAAGCTATATGCGCAACTTAAAAATATTATACGCTAATAATCTGTATTCATCAGTATATAGACAGACATTCCCACGGAAAATAACCACGCAGGAAAAAAATGTACTGCGGATAGCCTTGAGTACAAATCTTAAATTTAGCTAAATTTTATTAATATACTATGCTAGTGGAGAAATGTTTTATAATTTTATTGTTAGTATGTTTGTTATATTATTTGGTTTGTTAATATGTTTTTTATTTCTAGCCAGTATATATGCATAGATACTCATAATATAGAATCGTAATGTGACTTTATGGTGTAATTTTACTATTACATCTTGATTCCAATAATTGGTAGTCGGTAGTAGGCGGTAGTCACTTACCATCAAGTGAGCCGCATGCTCGTTTGCTCCCTGCGTTATATATAAAAAAAAAAGAAAGATTGACACTAAAAAAATGTGGGTGTTTACTTAATTACTGACAACTTTAAATTAAAACACCGTCAACAAAACAAAATAAATCGAGAGAGGACAATAGGTACGTTTGCCTCCTGCTATGTTAAATTCATTATATAGGTACCTACGATTATATCGTAGGTGTACTGTCTAACAGTTTCCTATTGTCTGTATAGTTTGAATAGGCTACATGAGAGTAAGATCTTGTAGGAGGCTGTTTGATTTAGCTGCCTGCATCTTGTACTATCTTTTTCTTTGTTATGCAGTAGTTTGGACCAACTTTTAATCAAGATGTTTAGTTATGAAGAGTTGAATGATCTCTTTATTAAGTATATGAGTAAAATGTTATGTACTTAGCGTTAGATATATGGAACATCAAGCAAATCGGGTCTTTTGAATAAAAAATATTTTTAATGGATATTAAAAATAAGCATGGTACAATATAAGAGCGTTTAGGTGACAGTTGCCTTTATCATGAAACCACGGATGCTATACATTCTGCTACCAGCATTACCATACACTATAGTTTGTGTAGTCAGTCCCTTTGCTGAGATTAGTCGGTTTTCGTGAGCCAGAGGTTTGTTCTACACACGATGGAATTTAAACGTTCCTATTCAGTGTTCACCTCTTCTCCTAATAGTTAAGACGACCATGTATGCATTGTAAGTTGACGCTGTATGTAATGTGGGTACGTGAACACCTATAACACTGAAAATACTCTGGAATACTTAATACGCACAGCGGTGCAACGCTGCACAACATTCGTGATTCACAAGGTTTGTTCAAATTATCACAGCTTAAAGTGTCTGTGTAAATAAACTGTTTTTTTTTATAACACAGGGGTAAACGAGCATGCGGCTCACCTGATGGTCAGTGTTGTCTGCTCACAACGTTGTAACAATGGCATAGTGTGTCATGGTTTGCCATAGAGCGTGGTGTGCACTTCTTTGTGCACCTCTTTAATTTAGAGTTAATGCCAAAATTTATATAAGTTATATTTTGGGAGGCCTTTTAGTGACGCTAAAATGAGGGTTAAAAATATTTGAAAATATTTCCAAAAATCAAATTCTCACTTCAAATAAGAATCAAAAATCACTTCTAAAGTTAAGTTTCAATTTGACGCGAAAAATTTTACCTTTTATAAAATGATAAATCTCATCATCCTAATCTACTATATATAACTTTAGAAGTAAAATTTCTTTTTCTAAAAAAAAAACCTCAAAAGATTTATACTATAAATCTTTGAGGCACGAGTCCCTTCACTGCGAAGTGACCCACGTCGTCCACGCCGTCTGCCTTGGTTGAATTGAAGGTATTGAATAGAGGCCAAAGATCATATACTATTTAGAAAAAAAAAATATAATTGAGAGAGATCGTTGCATATTCCAATCTTAGTCTTTAGAGACAGTGTCCTGTAATATTTATTCGATATTTGTTTTAAAAGTTATGTATTATACACCTACATCTGTAGTTATATAGTAACAACATAACAACTGCAATGTAAATAGATATAGAATTTGCAAAGGTGATTCTAATATAGTAAACCTGTTAATGTTTTTGTTTGGAAATCACGTACAATAGGATTATGTATATTTTAATATTGGTAGCGATAAAGTAAATATATTTTGAGCACGTTTAATACCTAATATTAGTTGAAAAAGATACATTGTATGCATAAATTTAAATCAAAGTAAATTTATATCCTAGTTTTTATTTGTAAATTTTTTGTGCACGGATTTTGGAAGTAGGTAACCACAGCTGGATGATACACAAGATAAAATGTTACACTAGAAATAAAATTGTGAAAATCGCATCCAATTTAGTGCAGTAGTTTTATGTAACATTAGTACAAAAATACTAGTTGCAGTAACAGTACGTGGATTGACAGACAGACATACATTCTACAAATCGTGCGTTTTCAAAGTACTTTCTTCCATGCACAACCACTATTTGGAATCAACTTCCAGCAACGGTATTTCCGAACCGATACGACATCATAACCTTTAGGAAAAGAGCATATTCCTTTTTAAAAGTCCGGCAATACACCTGCAATAACGTTGTTGTTGTGGGTGATCATGGGCAGCGGTAGTCACTTACCATCAGGTGAGCCGCATGCTCGTTTGCCCCCTGTGTTGTAAAAAAATATTGTTTTGGCTTCTATTGCTCTTATAATTATCTTAAGGCTTCTCATATAATTTTTCTATAAATATCTTCTATGTACAGATAAGGACAATCACAATTTTATAGTATTAGATACCATGTCTATAGAGAATTATTCCTTTCGTTTTTAAATAACTTGATTATTTAAAACAGAAGAAAAGAAAAGGAGAATTGTTTATTTCCATAACAAAATTTATACAACAAAGATATTATCAAAAAGAAGTGAAATTGGTTTGAGTCATCAGTTACTTATACCGGTATTGTTATGAGTGGACCAACTGTTAGCCATTGTTTCTGGAAACGGAAACGGTATGTAACCGTGTTTGTCTATGTATTTAACCGGTTATATGTGAGAACTCGCACAAAACATAGGTAATGAGGGTATAGTAAATATTATTCTAATGAAAGTAATTTTAAATTTATGTAACTTTCACATAAATTTATAATGTAAAATAATAAAAAAAAAAAAAGATATACAACATTTATCATAAGAGACAGAAATAAATTTAATGCAAGTAGTTTTTTATTATTTTTTAGTAGTACCTTCTATCGCTTAATTTGGATTTCAAATTTAATTGACATGAATAGATAAGAAACTCGGATGTTGATTTATTAAATCAAATAGTTTAAATATTATAAAAATTGATGGGATACAATAACTACTTATTACTTATCAAGTAAGCCGTGAAGGCGGTATAAGGTAAAAAACAATCAAATTCATTTCCACATTTATAATATTAGTAAGGATTTACAACGAGTATTCGTTCACGAGTATAATGGATTATTAGGGAGTATAATGATTCGGCTATCATGTCGCCAGCAGTCTGGATATTACAGTAAGCATGACTTGCTTCAAGACAACTGACTACGTCTCATAAATTTAATTCTATTGAAATTATATATATATATATATATATATATATATATATATATATATATATATATATATATATATATATATATATGTGTGTGTGTGAATGTGACAATCAATATATTAACCATAAAATTTGAAAGTATTTTAATAAAATTGGTTAATAAATTACTGGAATATTCCTAATTCCAATAATTTAATGACTAAATATTGTCAGCAACTACTTTATATGTATACAATCTTAATCTAATTTTAATTAGAAAGTTTAAATACTTTTTCTTTGAGTAACGTCTTGTTTTTATTGAGTGATTATATGTAATTATTAACGTTATGATTTTCTAAGTGATACTCTTAGTAAATATTTATTGCACACAAAGTTCATTCAAGATTCTATTTAGGTTATTCTATCTAGGTAGTTTATCAAATAGAATAAATTCTTAACTATTATTTTTAATGAAGTACCGAGAACGTGATTCACTATTCATCTCAAAGGTTGACTGTTAGAGAATGCTGCTAGTATTAAGCCCACCTTTTGTATCATATTTTCTTTTGGTTAATAAAGTTATTTGAATAAAAAAAAATCTTAACACGATTTACAAAAACTCGAAATATATCTAGGTATTGTATTTATAAATTTGTATTTTGCTTTTATTTTAATATTGATAATCTTGTTTCAGAAATAAAAAAATCTACAGACTTTCATGTGCCGAGTACATCAGCAAGGAAACATACATGTGGGAGGCTGGCTGAAGAACGATTTTTTCCACGTAGTACGTCATAGTCGCGTGGAAAAAACTAATTGATAATTTTTAAACTGATGTGTAAACATTTCTAATAATAATAATATAAGCCAAGATGCATTTCTTACGTTCCTTCTTTAAGCGGATCACTGATGATCTCAAGCAGAAAAAACTGATACCGCTAAAGATATTATTTTTTGTACATGCATCAAGTAAGTAGTTGCAACTTAATGTAGAAGTATATACTTACAGTGTTGATGGATCTTGATTAAAAAAAAATATAATTTCAAAATTTTAAATTCAAGATTGTCTGGAAGAGATTACTTAGCAATAAGACCGCCTTTTGTACTATACTACCTGTATGCTTATTGAAAATCCTTCAACAATTCCTGTAATTTTGGTGCAAAAAAGTGTAAAATAAATTAATAAAATTAGAAATATTTACTTAAACTTGAATGCACAAATATATAGTATAAGTAACATATAGTATAAGTAAGTAAGTACATATGGCGAACTTAACACCTAATGACATTCTCTACGAGTCAACCATTAGGTAAGCAGAACATTAAGTAGGCGATGCATTTACTACAAAAATAAGTAATAATATTAATTTCACTTGGTTGACACAGATGCACCACAATATCTTTATTAAATATCGGTGTCTACAACATTGTTTTTAATTAAAAATGTTATTGATATTTTTTACTAAGATAATTGTTGTTTATTTCAGCTTTGTTTGTGCTGTATCCTTATTTAACAATACATATGCGTGAGCTGGGCATTAATGTAGAGGAGACAGCTATAATGTCTGCTGTGACGCCAGTCATTTCAATAGTGATGCCGCCGCTTGCTGGAATGCTTGCAGACAAGATAGGAAACTTTAGGGTATGGAATACCTGCATAATATACAATTTCTCGCACAATGATAAACTATTTTTGAATAATATAAACACTCCTTCCTTTCCGGTGGGTGTCGTAAAAGGTGACTAAGGAAACTTTTGGTCGAGATATGGTCAGCAGCGTCCCTCTTAAAATATCTCCAAACGCGTTGCTGCGGTTGTTAATTCGCCTGTCAGTAGCAACTAATGGCACCCCCCAATGGTTCAGTCTCTGGCAGCTCCAATTTTTAACAATCATGGTAACGTTAAACTATTTTTGAGATTTAATTTAAGAAGATTGTGTGCGAATACATTACACTGGGATACTATAGGATTGTTTTACGATTCTTACCGTGACCATCCCTGTGTTCCGAGTGGGTGTCCTTTCTTAATAATGTCTTAAAAAGTGTGACTAAGGGTGGACCTGATACTCAGAATTTTGTATTCTTTGAGTTATATGGTCAGCAACATATTCCATCCATAAGAATGGAATGTGACCTCAAATGCATTGCAGAAGTCAGTGGATGCAAATGGCTTCCGTCCGTTCTTTGTGGCAGTCTATGAGAGAGGCATACGTTGAGCAGTGATAGATAATGGCTGATATGATGGTGATTTTTTAATGATTAAGGAATCTTTATATAAATTTAGCTAAAGACCAAGAACAACCTCTGTCCCATTCATGTTTCTACCGTGAAGCAGTTGTGTTTGCATGACTGTGTTTTGGTTTGAAGAGTGGGATACGGTAGTGAATTTATAGGGTCCAGAGGAATCACACCTGAGTTCTCAGGAATGGCAACGCATGGGTGATGACATGGGCGAAACGTATACTTTGTTAAAGAATTTCCGGCTTTCCATCAGATTTGTATTGTAAGTTGCATTGAAAAAAAAGTATATGTAAAAACTTAGATTAAAAACGGTTCAGAGATTAGAAAATCTAAAAATCAGTATATACTTGTAAACTTATAAAAATAACTTATAAGAATGCTAATATTATAACTAAAACTATATGTTTCTGTATTAAGTAGTAGATCAATAATTACGACACATAATTCAGACCTATCATATGGTCTTTAAATTAGACTTTGCAAATATGGCCGCGTGTATATGTTGGCATTGATACGCCATGATCGTACTGTAATTAGCATATTCTATTTATCTCTACTCCTCTATCGCTTATCAACCATGTTATTCCTAATTTTCATTGTATAGTGCAGAAAAAAATCTTATATATATATATATATATATATATATATATATATATATATATATATATATATATATATATATACTATAGATGGAATTATTTGAAAATTCTAAATAAGATGTCTACCAGAAAATAATTTGAATACGATTGTGATTTGCGCAATAACAAGTTTACATATAGAATTAAGCATCCACTATGCAGGCTTTGTTGTCTTTGTTAAAATTGTTGGTCGAAAACTGTAACTATTACTTTTTATTTAATTCGTAGTTTTACACATTAAATTATCATCATTTATTAATTCATTCAATAATGGTATTAATATAGGCTTGGTTGAGTTGTTAAATCATAACTCTTAGAGGCCTCTTATTATCACGCTGGTCAAGCAATTCGGTATAAGGATTAACTACACGTTTTCCTTCTCTTGTACTTATGTATTGTGCTTTGTTTTTTTTATTCGCCTCTTATTTAGTTGTTTTATCTTAATACTTTAGAGAAAATATATCTTTGTATTTAAACTTTTTTCTTCTTGACGTCGCTTAAAAATTGAAAATATGAAATGACTTCATTGCAAATTATTTAAACAAAAAAAAAGCATTTTACAAAAAAATTGCTATACGTAAATGCTAGACCAATTTTTTTTTTATTATTAATTGAATTATCTATAGTTTGTAGGAAAAGTAATCAAAGTAAAATAACATCAAAGTAAACGATTTAATTAAATAAAATGACTCGTCTAACTATATTTATGTCTGTTTCATAAAAGCATTAAATATCTATTCAGTAGTTTTAAAGTTTTTCTTTCAAATTCTATACTATTGATATAATCTAAAATTGTACTTAAGAGTAAGTCTGTTTGCATTGGTTGTGTGTTTTTTATGTCTAATACATATACATGTATTTACAAAAGAATTGAGTTGTCTAGTACCTATAAAACAAACTTCTTAGTTTGGTATGCATAGTAGTTGTTATTTCAATTCAAATTTAAAATTCGTCGACTAGAATTAATTTAGTCATCGTTCTAATTCTGCGATGAGTTTTCAAATAATTTTCTGATCATGTTTTTAACCTTCATTTCCCGTGAACGTTCCGGTTCGATTTAATCGAGCTAATGCACAACATCCGTAATGCGAATTACATCCAATCCTGGTTACAATAACCTTTACCTTGCATTGTAGTTGTCCTATTGTCATACGATCATCTATAGGACGAGTTCGTCTCGTATTGATATGCGCGCGCGTCACAAGTCCATATCTAGGCACCCGGAAACAGCGTCACAGCGCATAATATGGCTTCATGTGTTGACCACAATATGAAGATTCTTTTACGATAAATCCTCCTACCAAAAAAATAACAACTGGTCAATACAATATTCAAATGTGTGTATGACTTTTACAGTAATATAACAAAATAGCTAACGATTTAAGGGTGGATTATTCCTAGTTTCTGTTTGTTTTGTTTATTATATCAAAAAGAGAATGTAGCTTATCACTTACAATTAAATAAGGAAAGTGAACCGTTAAACTATATCAATGATTACATTTTAGATATATATGAGTGTGAAAGTGACGTGAATTATAAAACTATGACAATATTAGCTTGACCGAGGTGTTGAGATAAGTTAGAGCCTTTCTATTTATACCATACACTTAATAAAATTCTGAATAGATGAAATCTGTGGTTTTAGTATTTTTTATTATGATTTTTGCTGACTATGTAGTGTAGATATCACATGTGATACAGACTCCAAGTCAAGAACTAAAAGTCAGTAAGAAATAAAATAATTTTAAGTTCTGCTTCTATTCTTATATCTTTATTTGGGCAATTATAATAAAAACGTTTGAGTTCGTTTCGGCGAAATTCTATAGAATGTCTATATCTGCTGATCAGATGCAATGTGTATTATTTGCTCCAATTTGTGAGATAGGACAGTTTTGTAAGGAAAAAGTGGATCTGGTAAATGACAAGAAATCATTTGCTCTGTCAGCTATTTATAGCTTATAGAAAGTACACGTGAATACTCTCACTTCAATATAACATCTGATTTTTAAGGCTAAAATTCAAAAGTAATTTACTGTGTTTTTAAACTCATATAAGATGTTGATAGGTACGTTAATATAAACGAATAAACCAATCATACTTATTGTCTAAGCAAGTAACTTCATATTGTGGGATTAATTACCTTATTACATCATTTGACAATAATGTCTAGGTAATTACGTAGGCAGGTATCTACCTACACCGTCACGGGCTGTGCACCCGAACGTCTCTATTCTTGGATGACATTTGCGATGACCGAAGTTCAATTATGTAGGTACCTACCTAAAATAGCAATTTGTCCATTTTTGTCGATCATGCTTCATAAACGCCACATCCTGTTGTTTTCTCTCAATACCTGTAATTTCATCATTTGCGTGGCTACACATCTATTGTATAGCATTTCATTTTTCATGTGAATGATGTTATTGTTCATGGAAATAGTAGATATTCAAATTCTATTTTAAACTTCGATAATGTTAATCATTTTTACAATTACAAATTAGGTACAATCAATTAAAAGAGGTTAACTGTTCGTAGCTGTATTGCTGAACGAAGGCCTCCCCATAGATTGCCTTAAGGAACGGTTCTGAGCTACCTGTACCCATTGACTCGCTACAATGCATTTAAGGTCGTCATTCCATGTAGTGGGAGGGTCATCTTAAAGGAGTTTGAAAACATCTTCGAATCGGATATAACATCAACCTGTCTTATATCTTTCTGCACTGAGTTGGGTTTCGAATTTTGATTCTGTACTCAAATAGACATTGTAGCCTTATTTTGCACATCTTTCAACACTTCAATATACTTATAGTCGATCTGGCATCGCTGAACAGACTGTAATACCGCCCATGTCTCGACCAAATCAAAGGCTTTCTCTTAGTCCATAAACGCCAGACATAGTGGTAGATTATACTTTTTGGTCTTCTGTATAATTTGCCATAGCGTATGTTTGTGGTCTATGATGCTAAAACCCATTTGGAAGCCAGCTCTTGCGAATAGCTGGAAGTCGTCGAGTTTGCGCGTAAAACGATTGGTCAGGACTCTCGAAAACAGTACGTAGATGCGATTCAGAAGGGATATCGATCTATAGTTCTTCATTAGAGTATTGTTATCCTTTTTAAGAACAGGACTACAGTACTTCTGCTCCAAGCCTCGGATGTGACCCCGTTATGAATGGCGAAATTAAATAGCCTCTGAAGGACTACAAGTATCGGTTTTCCACTCGCTCTCAGAAGCTTTGCTGTAATTCCGTCCTCCCCCGGTACCTAGTCGTTTTTAAGCTATTTAAGAACTATTATAATCTCTTGCAAACACGTTTAGGTTATCATTCGCCATACCAATGTATGCGGTGTTAAAGAACGATAACAGGTAGTGCTCGTATTAAGTGATTGTAATTGTAATAATTTGATCTTTGGTAATAGCTATTCATTATTTCATTTAATCTATCTGATAAGAAAAGACAATTGTCTCGTATAATAGTACATAAGGAATATAATTGACTTGAGAAAATAATTTTCTGTTTGCGACACACTTCTTGCGTTGTTAACCTATTAACTAAGATCTCATTCTTCCTTATTACAATTACTACACTACTACTCTTGATACTTCATAGCATATATAGTAAGAGGATGTTATTTAAGTAGTTATATACTGTGAAGAAGCACTTGTTATATCTTCAGAATGCGATGGATCAAAACTCAATTAAGAGAATTAAACACGGGAATTAAGATTAGAAAGAAAACTAAATACTGTGCAGGCTAACGTGGTATTAGCAGACTATATCCTTATCTATGAAACTCATGCCCTGTAGTGGGATATTAAGGAATTGTTAACCCGGGTGAATCATATGAAATTATCAAAATTTAATGATTCTGTTGATGCTGGAGATTATTAGCACTTGTAAAATTTGCAATCCATCTTAATAAAAATATTTTCTTATTTATAAAAATAAATTGTACTGATTATTTATATGCATATACATATATTTGTATAGTTACTGCTGGCTTTATCATCGACGTTGGGTGGAGCTTCGGCGTTGCTACTGTTGGCTGTGCCCGTAGGAAGAATCACCGTCACTTTTCCGCCCAGTGTGGAGCTTCTGGCAACATGCAGTGCCGACGGACTGCATCTTCGCCATATGAATGACTATCCTTGTGTGCCATTACATCCCTATGCTTATGACATCAATGTCACGTAAGTACCTAATTCTCAAAAAGCTTTAGGCAGTAAGAAACACAACCACTACAAAACTAGAAGTCCTGTAGAGTTTTGTGGTGGTTTCATTATTATTATTTTACATTTCAAAATTTATGTTTATTATAATTAAGGAATTTTACGTTTTGTATTTTTATAGTACATAGTCATATTTATGTAGATTTTACTTCAAAGATATTTTGATATTACTTTTCATAATGGAAATAGTCATAATTTTTTCGAGATCTCTATGTTATGATGAAATAACCCTTCTCGGGTTTCTTTATATTTTTGTGCCAGGAAATTACTGAGTTGTTATTATTGGCAATTGGGCGTTCTTGCGATTTCTTACTATATTTTAGGACCAAGTAAGTAGCGGGCGAACTCTGCAACTTCTGTCCTTTGGCAGGTTTTTTTAGGGTTTTTATTAATTGGTTGTTGATAAAAGTCTTTTTTTCTATTTATATATTTGTTTAACAATCAAAAATTACACAATTACCCTTACAGTTATTGTCAAATTGCTTAGCAATAACTGGCGAATATAAACACTTATTTATTTTAAAATATGTATGTTATCGATATATATTTTTATATAAATTTCAATCGATAGTTAACTGCCCATTCCCCAATTAATACGGGCAATAAATTTCGATTCTTTCAAATATATATATTTGAAAGAATCGAAACATAGTAGTTGCTTTCAAGTTCAGTTTTGAATATATGATACAAATGAATATTTCCCTATAAAATATATTTTTTAGTACTGAAAAAGAGATAATATTGCGTAATTAAAAAAAAAAAACAAAAAACGTAAAATTACGGCTATTTTACAAAACTTGGATACTTTTTTTTTTATATGACTTTACAAATAAGCTGACGGTTTTGGTAAACACAAATGTCAGCTGGACATGTACACACATATAGATACCCTCCATATGTTGCTATTCCTGAGGACTCAGGAATACTACCTTATTATTTATGTTTTCATGAAAATTATTTATAACCACTTTTTAATTTGTATTTAAATATTTGCCACCTTATTCATAAAAACTAAAACAAATCTATTTTAACTGTTAGAGTATTTTGTTACTATCTTTTAAATTGGGAAATTAACGCAAAAGAAAAAGACAAAACATCTTGAATAGGTTTAAGAGATGTTTTATGTTTTTAGTATATTAACTGTTATAGTAATCTTACATGATAGTGATATTATAAATCTTTATTGTTTTAGTCTACTCTCTTGTGGCTTTGTTTGCGACCTACCAGATGATATAACATTGGAGGAAATAGATTCGATTGTACACACGCATTCTTACGATGTACAATTGCAGTCACCAGCTGGATCACAGCGTCTTGTATACCGACACACAGTAACATCGATGCTACCTCACAAGATGACTCCCAAAAAGGATCAAAGCACAACACGGATACTGACCAATGACCCTTACGTTAATACGACCGTTTCAAAAGTTTCTGATGATCAAATATTCTTCCCAGCACCGAAACTTTTCTTAATGGAATGTTTACATGACACTACGAATGCAACATGTTCTTTGGGAAGTGATAGTATTTTCGAGGAAATGGTAGCGCAACAAAAAGAAATGAAATATTACGTCAGGATTTCTCATGAGACACAAGAAACATCGACCGACGTTCGAGATTATTCTGTGAGAGCTGTATCGACGTGGAATACAACGGAGATTGATGAAGGTCTTAATGGCGTTACATGTACAGATAATTTAGTAAGTAAATATGCATATATGTTTATTCATATACCTATAATTATTAGTAATAATATTTGTGTAGACCATGTATGAATTAAGAAATAAATGAATTATTTGTTTTGTGACGAGTAATTTGACTTTCGGATTCCTCTGCCTTTTTAACTGCTTGACATGAAAATAGATATAATAGATATCTTAATTTAATTAATTATTATACTAATTTTCATCTGCATATTCGTCCGCCTGTCCGGTAAATATTATTTGGCCGAGATAAGATATAATCTTTGTCGTTCCTCTTTATTCCAAAGTTCATGACGATTGGGTGTGCGATTAAGCTGCCAAGAGATAACCAATAAATAAATAAAAATCTCACTTTCATATTTATGATAATAATTAGGAATATAAATGTGAAAACAGATATGTGAAGGTGTCTGTTAATTAACCACGCTTTAACGTTTATATGGATTTAAAACTTTTAATGAAACTTTTTAAGTAGATAATTCATGCGGGCAGAATATTTTAATACATTTGTTTCGTTTTGGCGTTTCATTAATCGTCATTAATCATGGCATATACATAGTATTTGAAATAGTGATAAAGGTTAATTGTTATTCCATTCGACTAACGTATCTCGGTTACATAGACCAAGTTGCAGGTACATACAAGTAATGTTTATTTTAATAAACTTTCTTCAACAGGCTCGTGATGGCGAGGGAGTGAGGGTGCAGACAGACACGATGCGGTTTGGTCGATGTGCAGCAGCGTGCGCTACTGGTGTGTCACGGAATAAACTATGCGACAATCAACAGCAACAAATAGAATTGGATCCAGCTTTCACCTTTTGGGTTTATCTTGCTGTATGTTATAATTTAAAATAGTAGTTACCTAACCCTATTAACTGAGAACTTTAATTCATAATTCACGGTTTGTGTTGCAAATTCTTGATGGAAATTCATTGTATTCATACGATGTTATTTAAAAGACTAATTATTAGTTCCACAGGTTTTATTGCAAAATTTTTAATTTTATGTAACTTAGAATGGCAAACAAGGTGACAGGCCACTTGATGGGAAGTTGTAACCATCGCTTATAGACATGATCAGTACCATGGACATGACAAAGTATACTGTTTCGCTATGTGTTTTTCATAAAACACTGTTCAAGACAGCGCACATATTAAAGCCCCTTTTTTAACCTTATTTGTGCCATTATCAATAATATCATTACTGTCATTTATTGTCTAGTGCTAAACATGAGTCTCATTCATTGACTACTTTTAGGTTTTGAATCATCTACATTCATTGATTCTCTACAACACATTGGAGGTCGTCACTTTTAGGCAAAATGAAAGGGGACCGGGTGACCCGTACTCATACCAGAATTGTCTGGTGCCCATCTTAAGAATATAAACGGGGATTTCAGCTATGAGTAAAGACATGCTTGAGAGTACATATGCTCTTTTTTTATTTTATTTTAGGCGGAACCCCTTGTTACCAAATGTTTAATACGTCACTCTTCTGACTTTTTTCATTTGACAGTTTATCCTGGTTCATCAGTTATTGGTTCTTTGAATTTGCTCTAATACTACATCAATTTTATGATTTTTCGGATTATATAAGTCACTTTACCTCTTTTGCGGATATCTTAGTCTCATATTATATTTACAGTAAAATTTCCAATTAGATAGGGTAGTATTTTGTGAAGTCAATTTCACTGTCTACCTAGATTTATGTTTGTATTATTTTGTTGAATATTGTGAATGCGCTTGCGACCATTATTTTGGACGAAAAGGCCACACATAATAAAAACTCATAGTCCTTAATCTAAGGCGACAATGGCAACTATTTTTGACAGCTGTAATCCTATGATTAATGACTGACATGAACTTGGTAAATTCCGCAACAAAACCTGTATAATAATAACACCGTTAACCGGTAGAAGTCAAATTGTTATTAGGTTTATTACCTAATTCTGGTAAAGCGTCCGAACACACATGGGAGGAGCACGTGTAACGTTAACGTAAACGTATGCAAATTGACCCACGGAACCGTTGATAGGAAGATTGTCGGCTAATAGTAACTAACTGGGTAATAACGAACTGGATATGGAGAGCGTACGACCCGGCCCATTGCCTACATTCCCATTCCGCAGTACATGTGTGTCGCCCGCTGCGCCTAGCTTTGTGCCACTATATCTTTGATGCTCCTAGCTTTTTATAACAGTTTTCTATTCACAGCCATGTGAGAAAAATGCAATAATGTCACAGATTCCGATACTTAGTTGACGATAGAAACCATTTCCAAGTATTAATCAGCATGTTTCATTTTTACTCCCACTTTGATTTGATGAACAAATTGAATTTAAGTATCTAAATAGGTATTTTGTGGTAGGTACCTGTATGCTTATATAAAATTAAGTAAATGGCACACAATTTGATCTTGACCTTCAAATTATTAATAAATGTTTTGTGATGTTGTTTATTTCAATACGGCGTTGGAAAAATACTTACAAAGTTATAAAAATAACTTATAAGAATGATAATATTATAACCAAAAACTATATGTTTCTGTATTAAGTAGTAGATTAATAATTGTGATACATTAATCAAACCTATCATATAGTCTTTAAATTAGACTTTGCAAGTATGGCCGCGTGTATAGTTTTGATACGCCATGGTCGTGCTGTGATTGGCATATTCTATTTATCTCTACTCCTCTATCGCTTATCAACCATGTTATTCCTACCTTTCATTGTATAGTGCAGAATTTTTTTTTATGTATATATATATACAAAAATTGAAATTTTTTCGTATGTTTACCACAGTAACACCAAGTTATATAATATAAAGTTATATAATTTAAAAAATATAAATTCTTTCTCATAATATTATATATATCTGTTATACTTCCTCGTTTTATAATTACATATATAGTACGAGTATATATAGGCCTTGAGTAGTTTAAGTAAGGCATCATATGACAGTTTTATCATAACAAAAATAAATAACAAACTAATTTTTTTATTAAAATAAATTGAATTTTCGATTTTTTGAGATTCGAAAATTGAGAAGCGAAATAAATATAAAAAAAAATTATAAATATTATAAAGTTAATAAAAGTTAATATAAAAAAGTTTATAAAGGTAGATATCATAAGAAAAATAGGACGATGTATCAAAAATAAATTTAGTTATGTTGTTTGGTTTTAAATAATAGTTATAGCCCAACGTAAGGGATTCCGGATTCATTTTTATTACAAGTAAACAAAAACACAAATTTCAGATTATATAATGTGCGGACCTTTTGGCGTGTAAGCTCAACTCGAACTTGACTAATTGTTTTTTAAAAGACTATTTCTCTCAACTGATTGGTGATGACCTTTACCTACATATTTAAAATGTTACAAGATAAACTTAATTACATATTACTTGTACTAAGTAAAGATACACAATATCCTTGTTCACATCAAAATTTAGCATTTATTTATTTACTAGCTACTTGCAACTTCGTTCATGTGACCGGGACATAATGTTCATTGACTAGGATGAACCGTAGTTTATGGCTTTCTCAATTCCATTTAGTATTTATATATCGCATTAATAGTAATATATTAAAACATCAAGAAGTAACAACCACAAATAAACTTATTTTAATATCTCACCTTACTAATATTAAAAAATTGTTACTAGACGATATTTGTACATGGAAAATATTAAAAAAAATGGACTTATTAAGAAAAATAGAATACAAAATAATAATTTTTAAAAATTTTGTTCGTCTGTCTCTCTATCTGTCTATATATTTATTCCATCATCACGCAAAAACTACTACATTACCATAAATACGATACAGTTCTCTCAATTGGATTCAATGAGGATGGATAAAAGTTCTAACTTAAAATGTGATCATCTTGATATGCTATCTAGAAATGGTCTGTTTTATTGGTTTTCCTACTTCTAAAATCAACCGGTACGAAGTAACGGGGAAAAGCTAGTTTACAATATTATTATAAGGATAATAATAAATATTATAAATTAATTAATGAAAGATGTTATTCAAGTTAAAATGTCCAGTAATGAACAAAAATATCAAATCGGTCCAAAATTATGTGTACAAACGAAGAGCATTTCATTTTTATTTATTGAGAAATATCTGTGGCTTTTATGAGTATCTACAGGCAATATATTATCTAAGTAGCTCTAATTCTAGATTTAAGCACCTGACGAGAATATAAGTGTTAATAATTTAGATCTTAATTAAGGTACAATTGTAAATTTATTTGAAATTTTAAGAGTAACATTTCTTGGAGCTAAGACTTATTAAATTGTAAGTATAAATTTTGCAAGTCTATGATGCTTCACTGCTTATTCGATATTTGCCATTAACTCCTTGACTATCACATCACATGTGCGGATCATATTATTGCGCAAGCATCTCGGTACGACCTTGTCCTACATGTCTTGACTGCGGTTGTAAGCTTACATATAGATTGTTTATAATTTTAACGATCTAGCTAAAGGCTTTTACACTTAAACCTTGCAATTCTAGGGGAAGGGATTGATAATAATGCGGACTATCAGCTTCATTGCTAGCAATATACCTTATTAGTTTAATCTCTTCGCACTCCCCTCTGAAAACTATCGTGTTGAATTCCAGGTGTATTCATCACGATGGGCTAATTGACTTGTCTTTTCATTCTCACCTATCATCCCTCACTGGCGCCTCGCCAGAATGTACCGTTAACGCAGACGGGGTTACAATTCCATTATCATCTATTACAAAAAAAGTATTGCTATTCTATGGCATCTGTCTTAGAACTGTTGTATAAACTTCAAGACAGATTGTGCGCTTGCTTTCAATAAAATATGGGGACGTAAAGGAGGTCTGATAAAATCTTTTCTTTTCACTAAACCTCTTCCTATAAGGAGAAGAGGAAGACCTCTCTTTTTTTCTTCAATTTATCAATGAAAAACATGTAACAAATGATACCTTATTTATGGACACCACTTAGTGATACGGCATAGGGCGGTGCTTGAAAGTCGGTCTACGAATATGTCTAATCTACTTATATTATGGGGATAATATAAAGGGTAATGTATATGGGGATAACATTCCATTATCACATCAGTATTTTTGGTTATTTACAGGTTCGGGTATCGATTGGCATCATTGGTGGGACCGCGTTCGCGATGTTTGAGGGTGCTGTTATTGCCATTGTGAGAGAACAAAAGGCTGACTACGGCCTCCAAAGAGTCTACGGCAGCATTGGAGGCATGATCTCTTCTCCTTTGTCAGGACTACTCATAGACTATGCCAGTCGTGGCAAGGGATATACGGATTTCAGGTACGGATAGGTAATAGTTGTTATTGTATCTGAACATTAAGTTATTTTTCCAAAAATGGCTGAGACATAGACGTAATACGAAAGCGTTATTGCTGCCAGCGTAGATAGGGCAGTGTAGGAGCTACTGTTATATTTTCATTTGTATAATATAGGTGCATGGGGGGAAAGGAATTGTTAGTAATGGGGTCTAATAGTACCATTGCCAGCATTACATCCTGTCAAATCGACCTCCACGCGGTTCCCCCTGGAAACCGTCGTGATTAATTCTAGTGGAATTCGTCTCAATGAGCTAACTGACCTGCCTTTTCATCTTCACCTGTTCCCTCTTTGGTGACCCACCAGCGTATACCGATAGCGCAGGCGGGGTTACCATTCCATTATCACCCATTAAAAAAATATAGATGCATACGTATTGACTTTTTTTAATGGATGATAACGGAGTAATAACCCTGCGTGCGCTATCGATATACACTAGCAGGGCATCAGTGACAGATGAATTAGGATGAGGATGAAGTGGGTCAATTAGTCCATCGTGACGAATTCAACAAAAATTAGCCACGATGGTTTCTAGAGGGAACCACGTGGAGGTCGACCTGATAGGGCATTTTGCTAGAAATGGGGCTGTCAAACCCATTACTAACAATTCCTTTCCCCCACGTATTGACGTTAGCCAGACATACTCATGTATTTACTCCACATTTTTTGCTGCTGATTTTCACCATCGTACAACCCGCTATAAACTAAAATTTCATCCCAACCATCTGGACGAGTGGCGGTCCTCCACCGTGCGTTTTTCAAGGCATTTTTTCCACAACCACTCTTTGGAATCAACTTCCAGCAGCAGTATTTCCGAACCGATACGACAACATAACCTTCAAGAAAAGAGCATATTCCTTTTTAAAAAGCCGGCAGCACACCTGCAATGCCGTAGGTGTTGTAGGTGATCATGGGCGGCGGTAGTCACTTACCATCAGGTGAGCCGCATGCTCGTTTGTCCCCTGTGTTGTAAAAAAAAACCATTTTCACCCATAATGTTCAAGGATTAAGTTTATTTGCACAAACAGGTAGGCAGTTAGATATTAATTTACTGTAATTGGTAATGATAATTGACTTAATTACAACTATTATTACGCAACCATGCAGTGTTTAATGACTATTTATTATCACAATAATTTATTCTTTTTAATTATCTATACTGATATTATAACCAAGAAAGATTTAATTTTTTGTTTGTACCTAATGAATAAACTCTGGGGGGAAAGGATTATTAGTAATGCGACCTACCAGGCCATTGCTAGCAATATACGGTAATATATATGTTAGGTCGACCTCCACGCGGTTCCCCTTGGAAACCACTGTGCTAAATTCCAGATATATTCACCACCTGCTGTTTTATTATCCACCTATCATCCCTTACCTCGCTTATAAGATAAACCCATTTCATTAGAATATACTCAGAGCGCATTAGAATATATTTCATAGAATATATGTAATTGGCGAATTAGCAGTAAGTCGATATTATGTCGGTTGTTATATAGTACCTAAATCTGTATTTAAAAGCCGTCCATTGTTTTTTCAGTGTGAACATTTCTTGTAATTGTTTGTATCTATTTATAATAAGTTTAATACTGTAGCTTTTGGAGAAAACAATAAATAGTATCTATCTCTCTGTCTAAAAGAGTCTTCAGTATATTTATTTATTTAAAATACTTTAAGAATTGTTATCCTTAGTATGAAGTAAATATGTCTATGTTAATTGTATTTTTTTTTATTTCCACAGACCTGCTTTCTACCTATATGCAGTTTTGAAAGTCGCTTCTGGTATATTAATGCTGAGTATCGACTTGGAATTTAAGCAGCCTGCACAGAACTTGCTGGAAGATGTCATATCTGTTTTCAAGAACATTGAAATTGTGGCACTTTTTATTGCTTGCTTTATTATGGGTAAAAATAGAATTTGATTGATTTAAGATGATTGTTTCTAATATCTATATAATAAACTGATCGTTTAATATTGAAATTAGGATAGATTGAATCTAATATTATGAGAAGGTAAATCTTGAAATATGTAGTAATGGAGAGATTACTAGAAAATGAAGAGTTCGGAAATTTAAATGGTTTTGATTAATGATGGTTTTGCTCGACGTACATATAATACATATGAAAGATTATAAATTTATAAACTTTTTTTAAGGTTTCTCAATGACGCTTAATGCTTGACTAGACTTCAATGAAAGATAGATACATAGATGGAGTGTATTTTAGTTCAACCTACTTATAATTATAATTCTTGTAAACCAAGTCAAACAATGGCTTGGTAGCTCATAAAATTCTTTAAAGGTTGTATTTCGCTACTGACTTCTGCAGCTACACAGTTTTTTTATAAAGCAATTCTAGCTTGCGACTAACAGAGAACAGGAAATCTTGTGTTTTGTATTATGTTTTTACTTATTTTTCATTTAAACCGAATTTGGGTATAATTAAAAATCCTTATACCTGCAAAAATCAACAGTGGGATCTTAACCTATTAATAACGTTTTCAAAGAGAAACTTCTCATTGTGGGCTAAGTAAAATTAAAAGTTAAAAATAATGTAAAATACATGGATTCGCCGTAATTAATATATTTCTTTTTTAGGTACTGCGTGGGGCTACATAGAGAGTTTCTTGTTTTGGCTTCTCCAAGACATGGGAGCGTCTCGTTCTTTGATGGGCATCACTATCACAGTGGGAGGTATTGCTGGACTTCCACTGCTGGTACTCTCTGGACCTATAATCCGAAGACTGGGGCATGCCAATGTTCTTTTCATTGGTTTCGTCTTTTATGCTATCAGGTTGCTAGGTAAGTTTATACAGATTGTAACCACATAGATATGTGTAGATAGACTGATAGATCGTATCAAGTAATTTTATTCAAAGATTTTTTTGTTATGTAAAGAAAAAAAAGACCTACAGAAAATAGGGAAGGGATTTTGATGAAATTCGTTGTAATGATAATTCTGTAGATACATGTTTTAGTGGTAATGGTCAAGCGATGGGCAGCAGCGTCCCTCTCAAAATATCTCTAAAAGCCTAACTGCGGTTGCCCTAAGCATGGCAACTACTGGTAAAACTCCCCTTATGGGGAAGGCTTATGTTCAGCAGTGGACAGTTGAGAGCTAATATAATGATGACGATGATGATGCTTTAGTAAGTAAAGTATATTAATTTGACAACTGGACGTGTCATGTTATTACAGGAGGCTAAATTTTTTTGTTGTTTTTCGATCAGATTGAAAAAACTTTAATTTGGATTTTTACCTGTGGAAAATGTAGAAAATAACAAGTCACTGTTTCGCAGGGTACTCATTAATCTACAATCCTTGGTTGTGCCTGATCTTTGAGGCTCTGGAATCTGTGACGTCATCATTGTCGTTTACGGCCGCCGTCACGTACGCGGCGCGCCTCTCCTCCACTACCACCGATACCTCCGTGCAGGGTCTGCTGGGAGGACTTTACTACGGTGTCGGTATGTTTACTGTCATTTGACTACGAACCACACAATTTAACATATCATTAGTAAAAATGCCTACCTATCGTGATTTTATTTCGGAATTTTAAACGAATGTATGAATTTGATGTCAAAATCAAAATAATACAATTTGGACAGCACATTTATTTTATGATAGAATTTATAAATGAATGAAGCATTACTAATTACATGTCTCTAATTACATGCTTGATTTCCATATGAATGTGTTTTATGGTAAATTTATTTTTAATTTTGATAATGTTCACATGTTGCGGTGTTCACTTGATTTATATACAAGGAATTATTCACACATGAATGAACGTAAGGGGCGAAAAATAAAATATTTTTGTGATGCGTCATATGGAAAAGCTTATATGCCTTGAAATAATAATAATTTTTTAATATGTTTTGTATTGCAGGTAAAGGTTCTGGGAGTCTAATCGGTGGTTATCTGATGAAATTCTTCGGCACCCGACCGACGTACCAGATTTTCGCAGCAGCAACTTTTATTACAGGATGCATTTATTATTTGTTCAATCAATTCTATATTCGTAAGAGGGTTTTGAATCATGATATCGACATCTGCAAAAAGAAACCAGATTTAGATGTGGAATGTAGAGATACGATAGTAACAGATAAAGTTAATTCAACGACAGATGTCGCCAGTAAGAACATTAGCAAGGAGCTCGATAAACCTAAGATATTAGATTTGAATCAACAAAAGTCCGTCATTGACAGCATAGATGGCGGCAGTGACTCTGGAGTTGATAATCCCGCCTACAATGACACGGAAACATTTTCGAACGATACGAGAAAAGATGATAGCAAGTCTAACGGGTAAAATTAAAGTAGATATGTATCTCTATAATAGTATATTTCTGTTACGTAAAGCTTACAAAGTAGTTTTAGCTATTATTTTATTGAATGAGAAAATAGGTACCTATTAGAGGTATTAATTATTGTAACTACAAATAAAATATTTTTATTACCTATAACGTGTTTATGTGCCATATTTCATTAGATCCTAGTATTGTGAATAAAGTAGCTTTTAAGTGGACCATTGAAACAGATATTTATTTATTTAACACTTTATTGCACCAATATTACAGGTAGATAAACTTATAAAAGATAGACTTGGAGCTAAATTCACTGAAGTAACTCATATAACCTAAAGGATAAGCCGAAATGGCAATAGGCTTGCCATGTCATAGGAGTAAAAATATAACTGATGAAGAAGGTTTTTAAATGGCGATACTAAAGAGGGAAGGAGTGTAGGACGAAAACTCAGTAGAAAGAACGATGACTTCAAATGTGTCGTAGTGAATCAAGAGTGCCATCTGCATTCTTGAGAACGTTCAGGGTCGTTTTCATGACTGTTTATGAAAGAGATTAATATGTGTTTTCAGGGTATGTTCTACTAGTGAATCTGACCCGAATATACATATAATATAAATAATTTTTAAAGATTTCGTGCGAAGAGATAACTGTCTTGAAAAAGTGCGTGATTTATTAGCTCAAAAAAGAGCAGGTTTGCTTCAATAGACAAAAAATGAAGATTTTCTGAAACATTAATTCTATAAATTATACACATTCAAGAAAATTGATATTAGGTTGTATAATAAGTAAAAAAGAAGATTATATTTTTTACTTATTTATTATTACCTCATACTTTATAATAATAGGAGTAAAATGTATATTATGAGTTTGTTAATTAAAAAAAAATTTAGAAAACTCCTCAGTTCGAATGACCGCTTGTCTTATATTTTTTCAGTAGTGGTAATAAGTATAGCACGCTGATTACCTAGTGGAAAGTTTTTTAAAAGCCTCTTTACTAGAAATATATCCACTCAGGTCGACTTTTGCTACTTCACGCGGTTCACACAAGAAACAATCGTAATAGATTATTGTGGAATACATCACGATGAGCAATGTTTTTAGTGGATAGAAATAAAGTATTATTCTACTTACTGCGCCCCTGACTGCGCTATCAGTATACGCTGGCGGGGCACCAGTGAAGGACGCCAGATGAGGATGGAAGTAATTACAAATTTTCATTACAAATAATTTATTTCCCTCCCTATGGGCCAGTTGGCCAGTTAGTTGACTGCTTTCATCCTCGTCTATCATCTCTCAGCATCCATTTAGTGAACCGTAAGCGTACCTATATTTGTTGCGAAAACGGGGTTGCGATTCCATTTTCATCTATTACATAAAGGATGGGGTAAAAAGATTTAAAATTTCTTGATTTCTTGATTTTATTATATACAATAATAAAATCAACAAAAATGATAGTCAAACTAAAAACAAGAATGCTTCCTTGTGGAATATATACCTACTGGTTTTAATATTAATAGCTTTTGCTAATCCACGTAAATTAAACAAAAGCGAAATGTATGCTATTACTCTAATTAGAATTGCAGTTGTAGCACTTTAGATATGTTTACTACACTACAGCAGGTAATTAGTCCATAATTGACTTAACAAGTTTAGTCGTAATAAAATTACTAAGCTTCGTGTTTATTAATGTCATTCAGATAATTGAATCCATGAAAAGTTTTTTATGTCTTTAACTTCCAAGTCGTATATATATATATTATATAAATATTTAGGACAATGTTTAAAAGTAAAAAGATAAAATGTAATTATATACTATGCATATTAGTATAGGAATATGTTTATAAATAAAAGAAGAATAAATAAGAGAGTCGCTGTCAAAAATTTTATTTATCGTATTATTCTGTGTTTATATTACAATAAATATGAATTTAGTGGTTAATATGTTTTATTAACTATTTGTACTATAACGATATTGACTACATAGTTTATGTGGTATTTTATTATCACACAAACTATGTATGTGTATTAGATAAAATTTGGAATACAGTTTACTTATTGTAAATTTTTAAATAAAATATATAGACTTTTCTGGTGTGGTGTAAGCACAATAACTTGTACAAATATGTAACACTTTCTTTTAACCCTACTTCGGGTGACATTAATTATCATGCTAATGAATGTAAATTGCAACTCGGGTGCAGGTCATATAGATCGTGTTTCAGCCGTGCTACATACCCATGTACCGCTAAAAATTATCACAATTTTACACTCGGTATCTGAAAACGTGAGATATTTGAATATCTATACTCTTGTTCCTCATTTTCTAGTCAGTATCCGAGTGGTTCACTCACTCAATCGGTGCAAAAGGCAAATGTAAAAACATAAATAATATATTTATATTTACTAAAAATGAAAAAAATTGCCATTGTGTTCAGTCTTTTTGTGTTATTTGAAATTAATGTTAATGGATTAAACCTTCCTGGACCATTAGTGTACGTAGTAACACCTTCGCCGCATTCACCTGGAGCTGACAAAGGAAGATCAGCGCCATTTTACTATCATAATTGGATTAAAAGGATTGATTCACCGCAAAATGTGACCACTACGATTTCTACACCGAAACTGAAGGTCAAAACTCCTGATTTGATTTTCGCTGAGTTTGAATCTGATAACAGCGATAATATGAAGAAATCAATACGAAAGCTTTTAGAAAAGGAAAAAACAGAAATTAAGACAAGTACTACAATGGGATCCATATACGTACCCGATGAAGATATAAATAGAAACTCACATAAAACTTATGAAACTACAACAGAAAAAATGGAAGAAAAATCACAATCTACTAGTAATGATATGACAGATTATTTTGCTTTGTATAATAATTTGTACAATAACGATCCCCCTGCTCCTGTATACATCTCATCTACTATGGCTTCATCATCCACTACTACAACAGCAGCACCAGCTGATGTGGAAAATGTTTGGCACATAATCGATAGTGAAAAATATAACCAGTATTCTGGTAAATGGAATGAAATACCTATTACGTCCGAAACAAATCAAGATACCATGGAAGATAGTAAAACAAATAGCAACAAAGAAACGTATCAACAAAAACAGGAGGATAATGCAGTCGATGAAAACTTTGCTTTACCTGGGTAGGTATTTTATTAATGTACTGAAATTCATTAAGTAGTTCTATTTATTAATAACCATAAAGTTTATAATGTCTATTTTGAAATTGCAGATTTGGAACTAATCCTGGAAATGGAGCAGAGAATGAATCACGAGCAATTCGAACAGAACAGAATATTCGTTTTCCATATGTCAGTTTAAAACCGTTTCAGATGAAAAACTTAAAGAAACCCCTATCCAATATTTTTACTAATAGTAAAAAGGGGAACAATAATATGTTCACTAGTTTAGATAACTTTCAAGAAATTAAAAACCCAGTTAGAGGTGAGGCTCAAGACATTGATATTGTTCGTCAACCTATTGAACGTTATAATCCAGCACAGCCATATCTACCCCATGATTATGGAAGTAAATCTAAACAATCTAGTCCAATTGCAACACCAATGAAAACAGTCGCTAACTTGGTACCACCGCCACCTCCACCTCCACCTAAATTGACTGCAGATGATTTTCCTTCACCTACAAACTACGAATCGTTTCCTCCTTATGCTGTACCAACTGCTGATTCTGTTCCAATGGTATCATCTCCAGCAGTAAAACCTACTGCTATATCGTACCAGCCTCCAGCTGAAACATCTAATGATTCCGAGTTTGATGCACCTCCCACTGATAGTGACAACGATGACATGTCAATGGCATTAGGATATCGATATAAACCTCCTGCCTTTGTACCAACACTTCCATCAGTAAAAAAACCATATGACGGTTACTCTTATGATAAGCCACTTATGGCTATGGATACTCCACCAACTATGAATACTGGAGGCTATTCCTACAATAAACCTGCAATGTCTTTAGATAGCCCTACCGTAATGAACATGGGAACTTATAATAAACCAGATCCAACCATGGATTCAATGCCTGAAGATAAGCCTGATTTTCACGGATATAATTATAATAAGCCGCCACCTGTGTCACCACCAGAAGATCATGCGCCGTTTCCTACCTACGGGTATCACGATCATGGACCACCTTCTTATCATCATGAATCTGATTACCCAGAACTGATATTTGATAAACCACATGGTGGAATGGATGACTCAAAGAATGGAGGTGATACTAAAGGCGGAGATGATACAAAAGATATAGGTATGATGCCTCCGCCGCCACAACCGCAGCAAGATATGAAACCGGACATGGATTCCAGTTCAATGGACGATCATGGTTTTCCACATGACTTTCCTGGTGATTTAAAATATCACGACTTTGATGACCATGACTTCTATCACCATCATCATCATCATCATACGACAACGACAACAACTACTACTGAAATGCCTCGTGTAAATAGGTACAGTTATTATTATTTGGGGAAAAAGTTATACTATTTACCACTGTATTTTAGTGTGTATTTCATAGTTTACGTAGGAGCATTAATAATTAAGGCCATTCTGAGACACAAAATTGTTTATCCAAATAGTTGGCGTCCTAATGATCAGACTGCTTCATTTTTCTCTAAACGATCTGTAGATTCTTGGAATTTTTCTAATGAAACTTTACACGAGGTAACAGGTAGAGTAACGAGAGCTATTGCGAAGGCAGCAGAAAAATATATGACTGAAAATACGAAAGTAGATAAATAAAATTATGACAAATACTTAAGTAGAAAGTAAGGTGTTGTGGACTGGACATATTTAATGTAAGCCGTGTAAAGTTGTTCATGTACTGAAATGTATAAATATCATTTAAATATTGTTCATTATCACAACAATGTTAATTTAGATGTAAAAAAAAAGAAATATTATTTGTAGGTGAAACTATGTGCTCAATAAATTTATAGACTTTTTATATTTATTCGTTTTATTACTCATAAAAAATGTTTCAGCTTCATTATTTAGGGCAAATAATTTTATTAATAGAGTTGATCCATTATGTTGTAAAAATTCTTAAACTTTATAACAAAAATGTAGCAACTTTAAGGACTATTATCTGTTGCATAATATTTTTCTCTGGGAGTGTAGATGTAAGCACTGTACTTATAGTTTCTATAAACGTTTGGTTCGTACGCTTAATTATTTATAAGAAAAAAATTGTTATCTCAAACTACACAACTAGCGACTTGCGGGATAGGAAATTGGTAATTGATTTGAAATCAAAATTTTATTTAAGAACGCTTATACAAATAATCTTTTAAATCATCAAGTTGTCTGATTAAATAATAATACGTAATAATATAATAAATCAGGCTTTTGAGGTCAGCAGAAATCACAGACTGCCATTTCTAACCACAAACATGCTTTTATCTTAATGTACCTTTCTAGTTTCCTCCACATTCATACATATCTTGTGCTCTAAATATATTATTTCTTCAGATGTCATTAATTTGGTCGCTATAATAGTCATAAATAGTAATTTGACAATTACTAAAAGTCAATAAAGACACACCCTATACAACTGCTTAAGATAATGGACAACCATTCGTTTGCTGTTATATACATAGTTGTAACATATTACGCTGACGTTGATAAGGGCAGGAAGATGATGGTTATGATGGCAGGTAGTGTTTGTATTAGATATCTGTTACATTTGTAGGTAATACTAGCTTTAAAATTGTCGACGGCTCTAGGGAGTTGACCTATATAAGATACTTATATCACGGTCGTTGTGATTAAAATACCTATAGATTACTGTAGCAGTTTTTATTTGGAATGCCCATTCAGAAATTATTCTGGAATCATCCATGAGTTGCCATCAGCCTGCCTACTAATGGTTGTAAACTAATATGTATATTCTATCGTGCATGAAATTTAGTTTCTTTCATAATACGTCATTTGTGTTGCTTCTATAGCGGCAGATCTATTATAAATAAAGTAGTACAAGAATGCAAACTTATTGCTAATTTTTTAATTAAATATCATAAGTCAATTATGTTACATAATCAATACCTTGTAATATGAAGTTATAAAATCATTTGTCTTGACTTACTATCAATAGATTGTCAAGACTATTGAATCTACAAAGCTATAGAATATAGGTTTGTTTTATAACAAGCATCCGCTTAGACAGGATTTTATATTATGAAATATGAACATAAAAACTAATATAACCGTGCGTTTAAACGTTCTCATTGTTACTGTAATCTATTTGAAAATTCTTATTAAATTTGTAGAAAAGATCCCAAAACGCCATTCTGTTGTTGAAGTGCCTGTGTTCAATACTAATAACTTTATCTATGTTTAAGTAAGGTCTCGTATCTGCGGTGATAGCTGGCCATTTTACAGGTATTAAATCCGTCAGCTCGGGAGTTGGATCTCTGTAAATATTATATACACATTTTAAATAACTAAAATATTAATCATATTGTGACAAAGCTATAATAATATATGACTTCTTTTCAAATAATAAACCACGTTCTAGCAAACATAACAAACTTACAGGCATGTGGCATTCTAGCTTTATAGCTAAAATAAATAAGATGATGGCATCTATTTGGCACAGGTGATTTACTTAAAATTTTATAATATAATTTAAATACTCTGTTATGCCCATAGTACTGTTCATGTCTATAGACGAAGGTTACCACTTTCCATCGGGTGGACGGTCAACTTGTTTGACATTATAAATTGCATAAAATAAAATAAAAAGTACAGATGGACCACTTGATAAATAAACAAATACTTTAGTCTCAAGTCATCGAAACAGGAAAAGCTTTGAGTGACCTTAAAATACTTATTAATGTATATTATTATTATATTATTATTATTATTATTACGTATGGACGAATAACTAAAAATAGAGAATATTTTATATTTCTCTGTGTGTAATACAAAATAACAACTGCTAATTATCTCTATACTATAAAATACAGTACAACAAAATAGTATAATAAATAGTACAAGAGAAGAAAAATTCGTAATTTACTATTAGCCTGGATGTCGAGTTAATAGTAGGCCAATATTCATTTTTTATAGGGTGAGACAATCGCTTTTAGCAATTAATAGCTTGTTACGAGTTAAGACTAGAATTTTTAATGATAAATATAATAAAATAATATTGATACCATACCCATACTTTGCAAAATTGGTCCAAAGTGTTGTGATTCGATCAATAACCAATTGATCTTCAGATGTAGGTTCCTGTTCAAATAAAGATACATCAAATAAATAACCTATCTCATCTGAATGTGCTGCGTTTCCTGTGCTAATGTTAAATATTTTCTTAGCATAATTTCTTTGTCCATTATACGAAAACAAATAGAGAAACACTTTTGTGGCTCCATTGTTAATATATTTTTGGATAGTTCTTTCAGAAGGATGAATAAATCGGAAATCAGAAGCAAAGTGTGTTATATTATCCTGGAGTTTTTCACTCATTACTTCATCGCCTAAATAAAAGTGACGGACAATTTCTTCCATTTCTTTAAGATAGACACTTTCAAAATGAAATCCAGTTTCTAGCAGTTCTTTAAACAGATTCGCATTCTTGAAAAAATTAGGCTCTTTAATTCCATACTGATAAAGCATTTCATCATTATTATAGCCTATAAGTATAGGGATATTTTTAACATTATCAGTTGTCACATGTATGGGATCTTGGCTAATGAAATTATCTGTATTGTCATAGTCGTTTTCTACGCAAACTTTATATGTATCTGTTAAATCTAATTCTATCATTGTGGAGATAACTAAGTTTGTGTCAACATTTGCTAAAAATTGTAATGCTTCATTTGTAATGTCAGTTTCGAAACCAAGGTGGGCACTTAATTTTAATAAACTATCCATATTCGGTCGTGATAATGCCCAAGGGCAGAAACTGGTACCGCTTTGTAAGATAACATTATTAAATAGTTTTTCTCGACCATATAACAAATGGTAATCAACTGATGCTCCACCAGCACTTTCGCCAAATAAAGTTATTTTATTTGAATCACCACCAAATGCGTCAATATTATTATTTATCCATTTCAATGCTAGAAGCTGATCTTTAAGACCTTGATTTCCCGGTACTTCAGGTGTGTCAAGACATGTAAAACCATAGGGTCCTAACCGATAGTTAATTGTCACTAATATAATATCATGTCTAACTAAATATTTTGGACCATAAATATATTTTCCGGCAAAACCTCTATTGAAACCACCGCCATAAAACCAAACTAGAATGGGCAGACGATTTCTAGAGCTCGCTGAGTCGGGCACATAAATGTTAAGATGTAAACAATCCAATGATCCTACTATTGTATTGTTAAATTCTTCACGTTGGGGACATATAGCCGAGTCGTCATAAGCTTCAAATATATCTATGAATCGAGGAGTCGGTATTGCTACCTAAAACAAATTAATTATGATATTACATATATAGATTGAACTTAATTAATCAGACAATAATTCAATTTAAGACTTTCTATGTTATCATACATTATCTCATATCATATAACGAACTTTCCAGGTATTATTTAGAATATCTCGAGCAATTTATATTTATATAAGTATATGGTACATAAATTATTGATACTACCACATATCTATTAGTAAATATCATGGACTGTACAGAATAATTGTATAGACTTAAGGACTAATATATTTAATATATTACCTATGTCTCTTGTATCAGAAATTGCGTTGTCTATTTTATAATTTAGATAGTGAAACACAACAGGTTTGAATTTTTGCATCAGAAAAATCAGGTAATATGATTCAGTTAACTTGAGCAAGTTTCAAAATCTTTATAACTAGTAAAATTTTTACAAATATTATTACTAAAATTATAGTAACTAAAAATCTATCTTAGAAGTTCAGTACTTTTTACTATAATTTTTATTTTAATAAAAAAAAAAAAAAACAATGAGATACACTTACCCCAAATGGATTTGCTGGGTCTACAGTAGCATATGGTATACCAAGAAACATTGAATAGTTGCCATTGTTTGCTCGTAAACCGCGGATAAGACCGATGTTGGTATCGACTAAGGGATCAATTCGTTCTGTCCCTGATGTATCACCAAACAGAAATATTAAGAAACATCCCAATATCATGTTGTTGTTAATCAATAACACCTCTTATATTTTTGTTTCAAATTCAGTGAAAGAAATGTTGTGTACTATCGAGGATTAATACTTTTATTATATATGCGTGAGAACAGTATACAAAAGATCTTACACGTTACCTTGATTGTACAATGCTAGTCACAATATAGTAATATCTGCGTAAATAAACACTATTCTAGGTGTAGGAAAGTTTATATTCGTAAACGATTTTTTTATCTCAATTGATATCTGTATCTTTTTATACAGATTTCAGATAAGAGAGGTATTTTTCAAAGTGTACGAGAGCTACTTGATCCGTCGTCCAGTGATTTGCGTCAGAGGTTTTCGTTCAAAAGTAAAATGGCTATTATTTACATCAATATCAAGTGGGGTATTAATAAGTATATCAGAGTGTTTTTTTTTTAATGGATGATAATGGAATGGTAACCCCGCCTGCGCTAACGGTATACGCTGGCGAGGCACCAGTAAGAGGTGATAGGTGAGGATGAAAAGGCAGGTCAGTTAGGCCATCGTGACGAATTCAAGAATAAATTAGTCACGATAGTTTCTAGGGGGAACCGCGTGGAGGTCGACCTGATAGGGTATATTGAGAGCAAAATATCAGTGTTAGTTTTATAAGAGTAGTTAGTTAATTAGTCATCATTCTATTGTCAATTGTCTACAGTATTTTCAATGCATCCCTTATAGATAAGGAACGGTTTTGAATAACTCGTATCTACTAAAATTGTAGTCATATAACATATTGGAAGCTCTTTAGTAAGGATCGTCTTAGACTACGTTTGCTTGTTTATATTATTATCTTCATAACAGTCAGCCCAATGTCTTGTCAGTTTGCTGATCTTTCTGAATGTGATACAATTAAGGTACTCTTTTATGAAATATTATTTACATCACTCACATTATTATATATAATTATAATAATTTAATGTATTAATGAAAAGAAAGAAACTAGCGTAATAAATAATTTCTTTTTTGGTCAGCATTTATTAAACACAAATTTCAATTATTTTTTAACCTAAAGTAAAAGCTATTATTTGTTGATCTATTTAATGCCTACATTATTACTATAAGGAATAAGAAATGAGTTTATGCATCGTTAGTGCTATATCCTTTAAGGTACTGCCTATTGAGGTCGAAGAAGAGATCTAGGAAGGTCATCCTTTCATGAAAAGGTCTTTTCTTTATGTCGATATCTCGATCAATGTTCAAGTAAAACAGTATGTCTTTTGTGCTGGCTGGCCATTTTACTGGTAATAGGTCTGTAGTCTCCGGCGTCGGGTCACTGTATGAAACAACGCAAAAAATATTTTATGTATTTAAATTTAATAAATTTTCGGGATAGGGCCCGAAAATATTAATGGTAGGAATATATTAACGTTTGTGTTGTTAGTATCATATTTTGATTTAAAGATGGCATCTAATTTATATATTTGTACTGTCGGCTACAGACATGTATCTATCGCAACGAAATGAGAATATAGATATGTCGAAATCACGTAATATATCAAATATTGTAATCTTGTGATATGAATATTATAATATTGTGATAAAGAGTATAGTGATTTCAATGAACTAAATCTAGTAAAATGATTTTTTTTTATTGTGAAACAAAATCTTAAATTATTTTATAATTACTTAACTGATATAATTAATGGATTAATTAGTAAAGATACTTACTCGAATTTAACGAAATTTGCCCATAATGTAGTCATTCGATCAATAACTAATTGATCTTCAGCTGTCGGATTGTCATCCATATAAGATATATCAAATAAGTAACCAATTTCATCTGCATGCAAAGCATTTCCTGTTGTAATATTATCTTTGTCCTTTACAAAGTTTCTGCCACCGTTGTAAGAAAACATATAATGAAATATAACAGCACCATTATTAAGATATTTTTGTAAGCTTCTAAAAGAAGGATAAATAAAGTACAAATCTGACATATAGTCAGTTATTTTAGATTTAACATTCACATTAATTTCTTCGTCTCCTATATAAAAATGTCTTACATATTTTTCCATTTGAATTAGTTGTTCATTTTCAAAATTGAAAGTCTCTGTTAAATATGTATAAAAAATTTTTGAATTATCATTAGTATCATCATATGAAGCGTGCAGTTCATCATTATTGAAACCTATGATAAGAGTTATATTATTAAAATTTCTAGGTTCTACATTATTTGGGTGTTCGGTTATTAAAATTTCATTACCGTCAATTTTTTTTTCTACACATGGTTTAAATGACAATTCTAATTCATCTGTTGCTGCAATCACCAAGGTAGTATCAATGGTTGCTAAAAATTGTAAGGCCTCGTCTGTAATATTTGTCGGATAACCCAAATAGTTAGCTAATTTTAAAGGAGCCTCTTTGTCCGGTTCTGTTATTACCCAAGGACATAATGACGTACCACTTTGCATTATTACTTTATTAAATAATTTTTCTTGAGCATACAATAGAAGCAAATCAACAGATGCGCCTCCTGCACTCTCTCCAAATGTTGTAATTTTATTAGTATCACCTGCAAATGCCTCAATATTATCGTTTATCCACCTCAATGCTGCTAGTTGATCTTTAAGTCCTTGATTTCCTGGTACTTCGGGCGTATCCAAACACATGAACCCGTATGGTCCAACACGATAGTTAACTGTCACTAAGATAATATCATGCCGAACTAAATATTTTGGTCCATATAAGTAACGTCCAGAGAATCCTATTTTAAAGATGCCACCGTATATCCACACCAGCACAGGGAGACGATTTGTAGAGCTGGCAGAGTTGGGTACGTAAATGTTTAAATGTAAACAATCAAGATCACCAACTATACTATTCTCGAACTCTTCAATTTGAGGGCATATAGCGGAATCGTTGTATGCTTCGAATACACCAGAAAATTTGGGATATGGGGAAGAGGTCTGAAAACAACAGAATTTATTAAAAGTAATAAAAGTAAATAAAAATATGTAGGTACATAACTAACATATTAACTTAACATATTTTTTTTATTTTGCATATATATATATATATATATGCAAAAATTTATTGCAATAATTATTTTCTGTTAATATTTATAATAATACAACCGGGCAAATATAAGATATATATAGTATATATATAGTATAATAAACTTACACCAAATGGGTTCGCTGAGTCGACTGTTGCGTACGGTATACCCAAAAACATGGAATATGCACCATCGGTCGCTTTCTGCCCTCGTATGAGTCCTACTTTTGTTTCGACTAATGGGTCAATACTTGATATTCCTATAACACCATGAAAAAATATGATTACATATAATGAAAATGGATTTTTGAACAAAGCCATCACTGTAGCTTTTTTCGCAATACGGTAATGTAAATTTCAATGTTGTATTTTAATCGGACTCTGAAATACTTATATCTATTACAGAATCAGCAAGACTGATTGTTGAATTTATCTTGAATGTTATCGCAATATCATATGATAGTTACCATCACTTGGTTGTACTTGACTTAATCTTTACGAGTACTTAAAATTGAAAGAAATCTACAAGTGAACACTGATAAATTTTATTTTTGTTGTAAGTAAAAATACTAGATGGCGTAACAAGATTAGCAATATACTATATTTTAAGTTAGACCTTCAGGAATTTAATCATTAAGACTGCATCCAATTTGGAGTAGTAATCCAAGGTGTAGTACCTTTTGAGAGATGTCGGAATAAACAGACAAAGAAAAATTTCTAAAAACTGTTTTAGCTTCTGTTTTTTTAAGACCTCATCTAAATCTTATATAAATTTTATTTAATATTTTCTATATATAGACATCGTTTAATTATAATTTTATCTATAGACTTGAACGTAACATGGACGTAACAGAGTATACAGTGTCGGCATAGATACCCTTCATATGTTGCCATTCTTGAGGTAAACACAGAAGTGAATATGTAAAGTACAAACAGGTAGGTACATGAGTTCACTAAATCTTTGATTTTTATTGTAAACAATTGATAGTCTGGCGTCTGGCGCTGAATATTTTTTATGTAAACGTTGTCAACTTAAAGTTTTTATTACAATTATGTTTTTAATATTCTTTGTATATACACTCAAATATTATAACGTAGTCGCGACAATTTCGATAACCAGTTAAGATTATAGTAATATAAAGTTTCTTGTTTTATTAGATAAGTAGGACGTTCTATGTACCGCATGATGCACTTAATATTAGATTTATAACGTTTCATGAAAAAAAATAGCGATGTTTGACAGTCAGGAAGAGAAATTTTCACTGAAATTTTTATGAAACAGATATTATACTATCAACATATAAGTTTAGGTTTAACATAAAGGCTCTAAGGTTAATATTGTAAAGGTATTTAGATGTTTGTTAGTCAGTCACGCATAATTGGCTAAACAGATTTGAATACAATTTACAAAGGTATTTTTTATGCTAGTACAATTAACTTGATTTAATTAGTAGTTTAAAGTTATTAAAATATATAAAATAAATAATAATTTTTCTTATATAAGTTTATTTTTATTGTCTCTCCCCCTAATAAAAAGCATTTCGTTGATATCTCAGTATGCCTATGATCAACATTTTTAGAATAAGAGAAAACATTTAAATTTTCCCTGTATATATAATAAAGTGACCTGAAAAAGTCGAGGACAAAAAATAGTGACATAAAAAATAAACTGAAATTTACATCTCATTACAAATGTTAGATCAATGGAATTCGTCGCCAGCAGATTAAAGCCCAGACTTTGAGAAAGTGTGTAAATATAAATTCATTAGATACGTTTAGATAGTGTCTGACAAAAAATGTATTCATTGTCTCTTTCCCACGATATCGATCACTTTATTCCACTACTTTGAAAAATAGACATACGCCCACAAATGATTAAAATTAAGTGAGTGAGAATATGAGTAAGGCATACCTATGTAATGGGTTTGTTTAACAATTCGCTCCCACAAACATCAAGCTTTATGGTCGTAACACATAATATGTAGGTATCTATTTACAAGAATTTTTGTCATTATCAACCGTCTTTAAAAAGTAGAAGGTTCTGAATTCGACTGAATTGAGAATCTTCTTCTTTCTGAAGTCATTTAAAAAAACAACCATTGTTTTTGCGCTTGTTACCTCATAACTCCGTCAGTTTTACATCGATTTGAATTTTTTTTTTATCTGAAAGATACATCCGTACTTACAGATTAGTCCTATAGAGATTTTATTAATATTGGTTCAATAGTTTAATTTTAAAATCAAAATAAATGAATTTACCACAATTAAAGTAGCTTTTGTTTTGTGTAATACAATTAATAATTATTGCGATGGATATTAAAGTATACAGGGGTCAATTTGTAAAAAGTATTTACTTATTACTTTGGATTTAATTTTGGAACCTTGACTGCGTGAACTAAAACGGTAGATGGATTATAATGAAATATGTTACACACTTAATGTATTGTTTAAAACATTTGGATAGGTGATTATAGATTAGGGCTAAAAAACGAAAAGGTGAAAATCGGACGATGATCCAGATACACAAGAAATATGCGTGTTAAGCTTATTATTTTGTAAATAAGGCGATAAAGTTGTCTTACAGATAATTGGGTGAGTCTTCACTTAGAGCGAGAAATCACCAATGAATTTTCGATTGTTTCAAATTTGGTAATATATAAATATTATTTTTTAAATTTGTATTCATTTTTTCCATTCAACTCGATCTCTAAAGAATTCCAGGCGAAGGTGTAAATAATTGTTGAAAATTACGAATATAATAAATACGTTCAATACTCATTCACCAATTATAGGTATGTTTAGGTATGTTTTCGTTTGTAATAGCATAGTGACAAGCTAAGCGATTTAAATGCGCTTTTACCGTAGAAACATATATATATGAGTATTTCTTTGAATGTTTTTTATTTACACTCTATTTTACTCCCACTCTATTTTCCGCGCTTAGCCTCTCATTTGGGCCGTTGTGCGTAGAATATTTCTTCGAGACAGAACAAGTTATTAGTTTACAATAAAAGTAAAGCTTAAAATAGGAGGTAAAAATAAAACAATAGATGATGAAAATGGCTAAAAACAGGACAAGTAATATTCGATATAATAAATTATATTTATTATATAAAACTTAGAATGGCAAATAAGCGTACATGAACAGTAATTTGGCCGTCATACAATATAATGCTCTGTGATGCACGTGACATTACTCATGTTATTTTTGAGAACTATGATATTGCTGCCTGTATCTCTAGATTTTAAATTTTATTGCCATATCTCATCTTCCAAACTGAAACACTATCATACAAGCACAACTACTTTACAGTAGTAAGTATTCAGACTATTTTTGTGCAGTTGCCTTCTGATAATGTATAACGTGTACCTATTTTTAGTTAGACATAAGTATTGCCGCTATCAATGAGCCTCCGCCTGTGCTTTCACTGTCAATACTGCAAATTTAATTTACACGCTACACATACAACTACATGCGAACAATATATTGACAGAATCTATATTTCAGGCGCTCCCTTTACACGGTTAACGGGACGGTGACATTTCAAATCAGTCAGTCGTTTAGCCATCGTCTGGCGGTGAAGTACTTTTTTTAAATATATACCTAGTGAAAACAAAGTGAAAAATCGTTATATTAATAATTCACATATTAGGTGATATGGTTTCGAGGGATACATTATTTTTGTCATGTCACGCGTTGGTTTGGGCGGCGGCGGCTCTAGCTCTATGGTCGGTGGGCGCGAGCGCAGCGGGGCGGTACGACACTGCTACGCCATACAGTCCGCCTTATACGAAATACAAATATATACCTTTACAGTAAGTAATTATTATATAAGATAATAATAACAATTGTACAGAACAAGAGCTTTTAGAAAAATAACAAGTATAATTATTATTAACAGCAAACCACGATTTCGTCTGTATGGTAATTTGGAAAAATATAATGTAATTATTTTATACTAATACCATTGTAGGAATTTTATAGGGACCATGAAATTAAGGGTCTGAATTAATCTATTAAAGATTCTCTACTTTTTAAGTCATATCGGATACAAATTCCAATTTACAATTCATTCCACAACAGATTTTAATAAAATATGTATACCAACTTTTAAGTTGGGCTAGCAATTAAACAACATTTTGAAAGTTCATTAGGCCATTTTCTCGTGATGTTCATGTGGAATTCTTATTATCAATAAAAAAAAAAAATACTACTTAAATTTTGAAAGAAGACGATACACTCGTATCGAAATATTTTGTTAGTGCGATTGGTATTTTTATATACACTTTCGAGACTTAACATGATGAAAAATTTGCGGATAAATTGTATCTATATATACCCGTTTCTTTAGTGCCGAGGTTTCGACATGGATTGCACTAACAATTGTCGTGGTAGCGATAGGTTCCAATAGTGTATTTAAAATATATATAAACAACGCAAACGTTTAAAATTAACTAGTATTAATTATTATTATTAATAATTTGTTTGTATAATTGGTATTACGTTGTTTATAGAGAAATTATTTATATAGTATATTACAGAATATTATCATATATATGCCCGTGTAGGTGGTATTTTTTACACCTACTATGGTATCGCAAACAAGCACATCTTATATAAGATATTATGTATATACTAAAACTACATAAGACATACATATACTAAAAGTTGCAGATAGTACAAAAATTACATTAGCTAATATATGTTCAAGACAGTTATATATCAAAAATAACTACGATTTTTTGCATGCTATTAGATACAAGTGGATTTTTAAGAGAAATCAATATAATAGATCTTCCAAATGGCATATCAAGATAAAACATTCTAAATTAGACCTGAAGGAATATTATTGTAAAAACTGCATTCTATTTGGCGTAGTAGCTTATGTGTGTTGCATCAAAATTTCTAAAAATTTTAATGTTTTATCTTGATATATTGGAAGTGGTCCCTTATATTGATTTTCCTCTCTTAAATACTTGTATGTCCCATATATAAAAATCGTATAGTTATAATTTTGATATATGCTGAAGATATATTAGCTAATGTAATTTTGTACTATCTGCAACTTTTAGTATATGTATAGTTTATGTAGTTTTAGTATATACATACATATCTTATATAAGATATGCTTGTTTGCCACCATAGTAGTGTAAAAAATACCACGGGCATAATAGAGTATTCTGTAATATCTATAGTCCTGTTCATGTCCATAGGCCACGGTTATCATTTTCAATAATATTAATTAAGTAGGCCCTCAGCTCCTTTTATTTTCTAAGTATTGGAAGAAAATGTAATAAGACCATGAAGGCACTTTATAAAAACAATCGAGTGATACATTTTAGAGTAGATATATTTTAAATATAACTCTAGTACGGTTGGTGCTAAAACTATGAAAATCCCCTAGGTAATTTATGCAGTTTATTAATTAAAATGTGCATTAAAATAATTTACAATCATCTCTTTAAGTATTTAATGTGAAGTGTATGAAAAATTTCAGTAATGGCAACACACAGACTGACAATCTATTTGAAGAACTTCCTGAGGAGTCAGAGTCGTCTAACACGCACATGCCGCCTTCTGAGCTGATCCTGGCAGGCTTGAGGACTCTCCTTGATGTTGTCAGGAATATCAATAAGAGTCGAGCCAATAACAGCCTAGCCACCGCTAAAAACTCAACAGCTGTTGTAGTAAGTAGTTTTTTGGATATCCCAAAAATATTTCGTTAATTTTTTTAATTTAGTTAATATATAAAAAATGATATCTAACTGATCCTACTAATATTTTAAACGTAAAAGTTTGTAAAGATGGCTAGACATTTGTAAAGTGGTTACTCAGTCACTATAATATGGTTGAAAAGATTTTTATTATTCTACCTTAACACATCGGATATTTAATATACTTATTTGCGAGGAAAGCCACGAGAAACAGCCAGTATAAAATAATTAAACTTGATAAGTTAAGGCAACCCCGAAATCATACTAAATGTTATCCATGAATTATTGCTAAATAAATTATATGTATGTATTTTATTAATTCGAAATATGACGATGGCAATTCTTCTTTGTAAACAACTTTTTTTTTATTTACAATTTATGATCGTCATATGTTATTTTTTATAGATATAGACAAGTGAAAGGCAAAAGTATACAGAACTACATATAATACTAATTTCGGCACAAACATTTAATTATTTGTTAGAGGTTTGGGCTAAATTATTTAAAAATATTATATAGTAATTTTTAGGGTTACAGTGTTGCTATATACAACAGTATAATCTATTAGATATCTCATATTTATCCAAGTCAGGTTAGTGATAACGGTATTACCTGAACTGGGTGACCGTGTGTACAGCGGCGCTAACTGAAGCTACACTCCTTGTTTAAATATACAATATTATAGTTCACATATATATGTAAATTTATTAATTTATGATGTATCTATAATATCATATATATAACTGTAAATTATAGTAGTACTCAAATAATATACAACTTGTGTCAAAATCAGAAACTCTAGTATATGGAATAAACGCAATATTTTAGGCGTTTATGATTTTGGTGAAATTTTACAGGGCTTATTCTTTTATTTGTTTCTTAAAATTAAAATCAGTTTCTAAAAGAAATCGATCTTATGTTATTTTTAAGAAATGAATAATTTATGGTTTTGCTTCTCAAAAATTTAGCGACTAGAAACAAGATCATGACAAAATTAACAATATGATATCGTCACGGCAATGAAGCTTATTGATTACGCATGTAAAAAATAGACGATAACAAAACTTTCCTTTCCTATTCGAAATTTATTTCGGGGACTATTTACCAATTTAAAGTAGCCAGCATGATAAGAGTTATTTATACAAAAAGAAGGTGGTAGTTTTTAATGAAATGGTAAACTCGCCCGTGCTATCGGTATACACTGGCTGGGTACTAGTGAGTGATGATAGGCGAAATCAAGTCAGTGAGTTTAACATGATTAAATCAATAAGAATTAAGCACGATAGTTTCGAGGGGGATGCTTTTTTAAACAACGAAGTGGCAAACAAACATATATCCCGTCTCATGGTAAACGGTCACTGTAGCCTATGCCTGCAACAAAAGGAGTCATGTGCTTGATCATGTGGAGATTGATCTCACAGGATAAATCATCACTACCAATAGAGCCGCCACTCTCCATCACTAACAATTGCTTCCCCTCTCCCATGTTTTGCTGTATGTATTTCAACTTTTTAGTATTTTTTGTAGCTCCGAAAATCAAACTCATTTAACACCACGTTTGGAGATAGCGGCCGAGGATTTGACGACTATTATGATGAGCACCACTACCACGACACCACGACGACGACGACTGCGAAACCTATGAAGCAAGGACGATACACGGACCCGTGGGCTGGTTACTACGACTGGATCATAAACGAAGGATCTTTCAAGTTCTGGAGCGTTTTCCAGGTAGATTTACTTTTTATTTTAACATGAGGCGTAGAGTTCTCTTCTACAAACGCTCAAATTATACAATTAACTTCCTACTGAGATTTTCGCTAGACACAACAAATACGTGACATTGTAGGCGTTCATAAACTTAAGTTTGTTCTCAGTTGGTATTTTTACGCTCTTGATCTATCTATTTTGTTTTTTCTTGTTTAGTTGTATTCCCAGATGTTCGTTTATTATCTATTTTCTCTTAATATGGAATGTTTTTATTTGAAAAGTAAGAGGGTAGCGTGGCACTTTTAAAGAAATTACGATGTCTTTTATATTTTGGTACATTCATCATACAGTATTTTAATATGTAAATTTTTCGACAAATTTTATAAGAGTGACATACTCATTTACGGAGTTGTTCTGATAGAGAATGGCTCTTGTCATGCAGAAGAAAACTATGTTACAGTATTATCGTTCCAATAATACTAGATGAAAAAAAATATGATGTTTTATATTCAAGCTGTAAAATGTAATTTGATGTAGTTGATAAATACGTACAAATAAGTATGACCTCTTGTGCAACGTAGCGCATCGTAGCGATAAAATGACGTCGTTAAATGTTGTGGCGTCCAAAAAAATTGTTGCTATACCGTCATTTTAATAATCAAAAATGCAAGAATGACGCTTATGTCATAACATTGACATAGTTTTGGTAATGTTCGAGCGACAATGTCGCGTCAAGCATGGGTGCCAACTCAGGAAAATATTTGCATTGAAGACCTTGTACGAGTCATTATGCATTTCCTACGAGTTCTATAAGTATTTTACTTTTATCATTAGAGAAAATTTGTACAATAATCGTCTACATGGTAAAGTATCTATGTTTTATTGGTACTTCTGTTCATTTTTGCATTCATTAAGAGAGCTTTTGCATGGTTGTGTTTCTATTATAAGGGTATAAAACTACAGGATACGAAGGCAAAACACCTGTCTTTTGAAATGGTAAGATACAAGGGAATAACTTTACGTGCGATATTGAATTGGAAATGCTTGAAAAAAAAAAAACTCTTTTCTTATTTATCAGTTTGTCAATTTATCTGTTTATGTCATTTTTACATGAAACAGCTGCACTGCTTATGATTATTTTTTATAGAATAGTTAAAATATGGATTAACATAATATTCCTACTGTATTATTTTATTATGTTATTTTGCCAATGATCTGACCTTTTTTTCTACATAAATTTCATGTAGAGATTCCAAATCTGTAATATTTTGACGGAATGGATATAGCAAAGTTAAAGTAACTGCATAACGTGATAGACGTGTCCTCTATATAAATCCAAGTCGATGTACTAGATAAATATGGGTCGTATTTAATCACTGTTAAAGATGATTGTATTATGGTGTTCTTTAAATTTCGCATGTAATTTACATAAACGCACGCATATTCTTTGTTAAGGTCAAACAAACAACTATTGAAAAGCATTTGAATAGTCTCATCTAATTGTGCAGTTTGTAAATTGGCGTGATTACTTTTAAGTGCTTCTCCACAGTGCTTCCGGATTTTTTTTTGTTTATATTTGATGTTTTACATAATAGTTTTATTACTAAATATTCAATTCCACTTAAAAGCCCCTGTCCGCATGCGTTCTTCTTTGTAATTATAAATTACAATGCAGATTATGCGTGATGGTGTTAGGTACCTAACCTGTTTGTAGCATAATATTTATTAAAACAAAATATACTTATTGTATTGTCTTTGTGTATTGTTATTTTTAAGTTTATAGTCATGCTAAACTTAGCATGACTTAATAACAAGTAAGAAAATAAATTATTATATTTTATTTTATATTTTTATGATACTATGTATATTTTGATCTAATGTTTTGTACCACAAAAAATTCTGATATTAATCTTTATAAAAGATCAGAATTAGCATTAGACTAGACTAACACACAATGGATAAATTAATACAATAATCATCATGATTGGCAAATACGTTGCTTACACATACATAGAAAATACATTCTAAATGAGAACCTGATGCTTTTTGAATTCTGTTTAAAATGATTAGCTATTAATAAGAGTAAAAGAGGTGGTTTACGAATAGGTATCTAAATGAAATCAATTTGAATATTAATGTCAAAATGAAATCTATTTTAACTCAGTAAGTTTCAACAGTGTAATCCATCAAGCGATTAATATTCGTATTGTCGTAAAATACGACAACATAACCTTCAAGAAAAGAGTATATTCCTTTTTAAAAGGCCGGCAGCACACCTGCAATGCCGCTGATGTTGTGGGTGATCATGGGCGGCGGTAGTCACTTACCATCAGGTGAGCCGCATGCTCGTTTGCCCACTGCGTTGTAAAAAAAAAAATAAGAATACACCGGAAACAAGTCAGCCTGAACCGAGTTTTTGATTAGTAATTTCCTGATCTTTAGAAACGTAGATTAGTATAGATAGATGCCTTGAACTGTAAATAAATTATCAAGTGGAACATTTGTATGGTTGTTGTGCATTTACAATACAGAAACGTGGTACAAAGCGCAATGGTGATTTTTCGTTTTACATTCGTGCCGTAACTTGCAAGCTTCTTGCTTCAAGCGTGCGGGTCGCGGTAATGAACTTGTTGGTTTCCCATACTACGAATGATGATCTCTTGATCATTATTGATTATACATATCGAAATAACCTTATAATTAATTGTTTTATAAATGAATTGTTTATCAAATATTTGTCTTGCTTAGAGCATCTATTTATTAAAAACAATATGATTATATCAAACCGGTTGAATTGTATCTTAAATCTGTAAATATAACAAAACTGTAAATATGGTGCACGCATTACCCATTACGCATTACTAAATAGAGAAAATATTTTATTTAGCTTCATTTAAGCATAAAATGATTTATATATAGTTAGGTATATTTATATTTTTACAAACAATATTTTCTTTTAAATTTCATCTTTAACTTTCAACTTTATAATTGAAAAATTTTTACTCACTATACATATCAATATTTGGCACATTGCTATCACTATAGATATGACGTAAGGACGGAATCGCAGTTACGAGATATTAGGATATTACGATAGAAATTTTTATATAGTTCATATTATTATAAACCCTCGGCTTTTCACCTTTAAGGCGGGTAAACGTCACATACATTTCTGAAATCTATTACTATCAACAAGATTTAGATAGGTGATCCCGCGGAAAGGAGATAAATGGCTTTTCATGACTAAACAGAATTGAATGTCGAACGAGTCAGTTTATAGCAACCTGTCTTTAGTGACGTAGAAAAATCACCTACTGTACTATATAATGATCATCCACAACGTTATATAGAGTCGATAATTTATCGTATGAACTTACCAGAGGGAGACTTTGTACAAAAGTCAATTGCTTGGGTACCTCTGTCCCATTCGTACTGGGTACAGAGGAATAACATCTGAGTCCTCAGGAATGGCAACGCATGGAGGGTATCATGGGCAAAACAGTATACTCTGTTATGTCCATGGTACTGCTCATGTCTATAGGCGACGGTTAACACTTTCCATCAGGTGGGCCGTCAGCTTGTTTGCCATTCTAAGTTGTATAAAAAAAAAAAAATCTAATTTAATCTAATCAAACTACATGGCAGTGAACCATTTCAAAGAAGATGAAATGAAGATATTGCACATTGCGTAACATGTTCACATTTTAATGAAGAAACTCTTTTTTAAGTCCAAGAAAGTTATTGCAGCTGTACTCGGATTAGATTCATTTTATTGATTACTGCTGTATGTTTTTTCACAGTTATCTGTTATAAATTGTATTTATAAACGTTATAAACAAAAACTACATTAGGACAAATCGTAAATCTTAATAAGTAGATTACACAATACGAGAATGTTCTCATGTTAAACCTACATGTTACTTTCGGACGTATAATAAACATTTTTATTATACCTAATCACGACTTTATTTCGTTTCAGCTATTCACTGCAGCTCTTCTACTGTATGCCGCATTTTCTGCCATTTATTATGCGAAATTCAACCCTATATTACCGGACTATAGTATGGAGTACGACGATTACTTCCTGGAACGCACTGTTGGCAGGAAAGCAAGGAGTCTTGACCCCTCGGAATTACCATCAGGTCTCACATGGATAAATCCTAGAACATTCCAATTTATTTTAGACGCAATTTCAAAATATTATGAAAATGAATAACTTTTTTTTTTTATTAGGGTTTTATAATTGTGGTTTATATTTCATTATTGTCAATTATTGTTGGAACAATGTACACAAATGCATTATAACAAAATCACACTCATACTTTGATCGATATTTTCGTATTGAGGTATGGATCATTAATAAATATATCATATCTCAATACCTCAATACAAAAATATTGATGATGAGTATGATTTTGTTATAATCCAAATGGGATAATAAACTAATACTAAAATCAATACAGGGCAACGACCTCATTATTTAAGTATAGTTTAAATAGTTAATGTAATATTTTAAGACAATAAAAAACACTTGTTACCCTGTATTGATTGTACTCAACATAACTTGATGTACAAAAACAAATATTAAAAGAATTTAATCAATTTCCATGTATATTTTTTTTATTTCACGTAATGTACCAATAACCGTGGTAAAGTTACAAGTTAATTTGAAATGGAATATAGTACGAATACAATCGTAGTATAAAATTCACCTTAAATAAAATTATTAAAATATACCTGTACTGACTACTGAAGAATATACTGAAAGAAACTTTGTAATATTATTGTAATATTCTCAATTATCTACAAAAAATTATACGTATGGTTAAAATTTCAATTAATATAATATAAAAAAAAATATTAAAAAACAGATTAGATTTTATTTTGTATAAAATTGTAAGCCTAAATGATGTGATTTAGTTCTTGTGTATGCTCAACATCGAATTTATTGGCTTTTTAACTTTTTAAGTGAACTGGGTGCTCAATTTTAGTTTCTAGGTAAAATTTGATTTAAAAAAATAATAAAATATATATGTTATTGTAGAAGCACGTAAATTGGTAAATCTTAGGTTTTACCAGTAAATCTCAGTATTTACCAACATGTAAGGATTTTATAAAAAACAGATCATTTATGGGACTTTTACCAAAATTAAACTAATTTATCTTTCTCACTACGGGTGACGAGCACCACGTACTGAACATGTGTTACTTTTTGTCTATTTTTTTTATATGTATTTACTATGTTATTTGTTTGATGTAAAATAAAAAAAAATAGTTTTACCATAATTTGGGGTTTTACAGTAACATATATAATATTTATATACGAGTTTCATTTACCTTTCATATATTTCATAAATAAATACTAAATATTTTATTGTGATATGTCTGGTTACTGCAAAAGAAATTTTCGATACAAAAAACCGAGCACAACTTGTATGGGTCATAAAATGTACGGGGGGCCAAAAGCCACAACGTTTTATGTGATGTAACACCCGCACTACATCTATTGGAAAATAAAGTTTCGATGGCAAAAACCTCTACTCCGTATTAAGCACCTCTCACACTAGAATAGCTAATATATAATAGAAAACAATAATTATGTCATATTATCGTTATAATATCAGTTGTCATCAACTGTCCACTGCTGAACATAGTCCTTTTCTTAATGGGGGAGGGGGGGGGGGAGGGGGGTCATACAATATGTCATATAGATTGTCATAATATAAAATAGCAAAACTATAAGAAAGTATTTAAAATAAGTAAACAGTAATAATACCTATTTCATTGGTCTGAACTTTTTACAATAAAGATTTGCAAAACAATAACTTTGTTGAAATTTCTTAATAACGAGTTACTATTTACCTACATTATAGTTACAAACAGTAGATAAGTACTTATTTGAAATTCATAATATCTTCTAATTTTGAAATTGTAAAATAATTATGTTCTGTGATTGTTTATGCTCGTAAACTATGGATCTACTGATTCACCTTTTGCTCTCATTCCAATTTTAAATTTTGTGACAGTATATTCTTTTACAATTCGGGCTTTACAGTTGAAATACGCTTCCTAAAGACGTAAGAATAATAAATTTTGTATTCAAGAAACAAATGCTTTGCAACCTCCTGAAAATATTTGTGAAGCACTCGTATTATTCTTATCCTCCTTGTATACAGTGCTTTGTTTATTTATTTTTATACGGGTTGAAGATATTTCAGTGGTTGTAATATATGTATATGGATTACATATGTACATATCTTTTCTTTGTACAGCGAACTAACTGTAGTTTTCTCAATGGCTGATCACGAGAAAAAAATATCTAAATATATAAATTATTAAATTTCAATTAATTATTTAATATTATTAATTATTTAATTGTTTTGTCATAAAATATATAAATTACATAGAAATTATTATATTAAAAATGGCCGGGTGGTTCCGGCATAAAATAGGCCACCCCTTCTTTTCTCGTAGGTGTTGTAAGAGGCGCCTAAAGAGGGCGAGGGATGGGCAGCAGCGCCCCTCTCTAAAGTCTGACTGCGGCTGCCAATTTACCTACTAAGCGTGGCAACTAATGGAAAAATCCCCCAAGGAGAAGGTTTATGTCCAGCAGTGGACAGTTAAAAGCTGATATGATGATAATGAAGAGAGAAAATAATGTAAGAGAATAATTAGAAGTTTAAAAAGTTTTACCATAACATTAGAACCTAATAGTACTAAGTTTACAGATCTCCTGCTTTTCTATTACCATCATTATGCATCTCAAAAATTATCATTCGAAAAACATTATCCTTGGTACATATATACACATTTGGTATTACACCGACTTGTAAATACATATACATATTTTGATACATATAGTAAGTATTGGAATAGAATGTGTTGTTGTTTCGTTTTGGGGTTTAAGGTCAACGGCCTGTAAGCTTATGTTAGTGCAATGTTTGAGACGAGAGATATAGCAACCTAAACCTCAGGATTAGCAATGCATGAGGCGTGCAATGGGTGGCACATTGTATTATGTATACTTGGTTTCCATATCTCATTATTATAAACATGTTTCATAATTACATAAAAAAATTCTCTTAACAAAAAAGCTAATACTGTCTAATTGTTTTAATTATTAGTTTGCTGATTGATGACTTTATTTTGAATTAACAATTTAACTCAAAAGCGAAGGACGAATCAATAACTAATAGGTTTATTCGTAGATTAAGGAATACCAAATCTTACAAAAGCATCTCTTTCTATGGATCTATTAAACATTTAATATTTGTATTAAGTTAAAAAGTGTTTTAGATAATTTAAAATTGTGTTACACAAAAAACCTATTTTAATTGTCACAAAACTAGTTATTGACATGAGTGTTTGATTTAAAAATTAAACTTATACTTAAACGATTTTGATAAAATTTCTATGAGACCAATCTGTAAGTATATCCTTTCAGATAAAAAAGAATTGTACAAATAGGTTGATGACTGTCGGAGTTATGGTAATAAATATAAAAAAAATACAACCGAATTGAGAATCTTCTCCTTTTTGATGTCGGTTAAAAGTATACACGCCTTTACCAAATATATCTATATAGTCTCTGTAATTGTCCAGTTATATATTAAAGTTTAATTAAAAAAATAATTATTTATTTATTTAGATGAATTGTTACCCAGTATACGGCGGCGATTAGAACTCGGTTGTGGCACGACGGTACACGGCGAGTCTCGGGTTCGACGTCCGGTCGCCGTGAACGCGCTTCGCTAGGATACGCTCAGCGCAGGATGTCATTATTATACTGCCTTCGCGAACCAACCTCCGTGCTCGTTTTAGATTCATTACCAAATGTTTGAGAACAAAAGCTATTAGTCTGTTTAAATACAAATATAAATTACTGAATATTATATTTATGTTTGAATTACTTCTCTCGCTCGAATTTATAGAATTAAGTTTCATGTATATTGTTTTTGTTTGAATTTGTATTTAAATACTATAATAACTTACCTACCTTCACGTCGGATTTTTTATAATTTACTTCACGAACGGAATCTATAGAATCGCACTAGGTTCTTTCCATTCTTTTGTCTATGATAGAATCTATAGATTAAGGATGTCATAGGAAATATGTGCGTAAGATTCTCTATTCTTACACACATCTTTTCTTTCTTTCATTTCCATAAATAAGACGTCTCATGCTTACACGCCGGTTTTGGATAAGTACTCTCTTTTCCTTTCAAGTATTTTACGTCTAATAAATTTATTATTAAAATAGGAGAAAGAGTAGTGTAAATATACAATTCAATTTTTAGTTATACATGTCGTATTGACTTCCATTTTCCATCTAAATATTACAACTTGTAATTTATTAATTTTGTGTCTAATAATGTGTTTAAATTTTATAAACTGAAAGAATAAAAAATAGAGTGTAGAAAATAAACATTGTTCTCTCTACATTCATCATCATCATCATATCAGTCGTATCTGTCCACTGCTGAACATAGGCTATTATGTTCCCTTAGTCGCTTCTTATAACACCCATGGGAAAGAAGAAGTGGGCCATTCTATACAGGGATTACATGACGACTGTGTCTCTACATTATCTACTCAAAAACATAAAACTAAATAATAATTACACTAATGACGGAAACCAATTAAAGGGTTCTTTAATTGTATACGCGTAAACATACATTATTATTACGTTAGTAACAAAATTTGCGGTTTGAGAGAAAACAATTAAATGGTATCTCAAAAACAGTTATATATAGCTAGATAACGTTATTATAGATATGGGTGATGTTATTCGTTGAGCGATCAATTAAACTATCTCTCGCTTAGGCCGCTGACCACAACATATTTTTTGAACTGCTTTTGCGGTTTGCTGTCCATTGCCCGCATTCGGATTTTGCGCTACAATTACTTTGGTCCAGTGTAGTCGTGTTCATTAACCGCACGTGTTGAAGAGTCGTGTAATAAGTATTGAGCGTTTGAAGTACATTGAACAACTGAGCGTGAACGGGTTGGCGCGCCAGTTCAACGATCAAGTGCAGCCCGGGCGCACACTCGACGAGGCTGTTTATGTGCGCGGGTGCGCGTACGCTTGCTCAGATGCGGCGTTCCATATTCGAATATCGAAACATACGAGAGTACTCACTGAACAAATAGTTGAACATTAATAATGAACTTTATGGCACCATCATTATTCAAGTGAACTGTGTTTGTTGTCAAGTTTCGTATTGAACCGGTACGTCCTGAAGAACACGCCGTTATTTCTAAGTGGGTCGAATAAAAAGGTATTACTATTTCTGTATAATTCAGTATACTTACTCAGTTTGTTAATAAACTACAGTTTGAAATATTTTTTTGTAAATTCGTAGAGAAATAAATATATTTATAAACTCAGCTCAGATTTACCTTTAATGTAAAACTGCGAATCTACAATCTAAAATTATTTAACTAATTAGTATTAAACCAATAATAATATCATATTATATAAATATTTACCTATTTCCATCAGGTGAGCGGTCACATATTTGTCATTCTAAGGTGAAAAAAAAAGTATTGTTACATTAATTACGCGCAAGTTTCTTCTAAAAGACATCAACGGCGCATGCGCATGCGTCACCTGATAACCACAACCATTGATAGTTTTACATTTATACTACAAAAAACGATCCGATATTGATAGCGTAATGAAAATATATACATGTGTTAGTATGTTTCTACATATTTAAAAATAATTAGACATAGGACTAAGACATGTTATGCTTAGATGCACTTATTGACTAGATAAATTTTGTATAAACTATTTGTTGCAATGTAAATTGGACTTAATTTTCCGCGCTAAGCCTCTATTTGTTGTCATAAGAAGATTATTTTCAATAGGTTTAAAAAAATGTTTTAATAAAAATACAATGTTCTATCTGAAGTAGGAGTCAAAGTCCTCAGATTGAGAAAAGAGATGTATACCCCTTTATATATTAAAGATAGATGTAACCCCGTAAGGGATTTAGCGTGAAGATAAACAGATAGAGAATAATAAATATAATAAAAATAATTTTATTATTATTACACGGTAGTAAACCAACCGCTGTTTTACGTTTATTATATGATGAATTGTGGCTGATAGTTGCTCCTTGCATACCACGAACAAATTACAATACTGATATAGTGATGATTCACAAAAGATTCTAGGAAGTCTTGGGATAAAACACTGCACGTTTATCTATATTCGAAAATTTTGTTTTGTTTTTAAAATCGTCTTTGTATTATTGTATAAATTCATTTTATTGATTGGTTTGATGACGTATTGATTACGTTAATATTTACAATATTTATTTTAATGATCATTTGTCTTCTTATAGCATTCTCTATCAGCTAATTGTTAGAATGAAACGGAAAGCGGTTCAGGGGTAGAAGTAAGAAAAAACTGCTACTTAATAGCACTTAACGAAGTGCTCAAATTATACCCAAGAATAATATGTTGTAATATTATAAAGCCGTTGGAATATTCACAACTATATTCAGTATATTTTTATATACCTAATACGTGTATCTTGTACAAATTCTATAAATACATGTCATACATATCTTTACTTCTTTGTTTATAATGAGTTAGTAAAATTTGTAGTTTAATTTAGGGTAAGGTACCGGTACCTTAAAATATAGGTATATTATTAAGTTTCAAAACTACGATGGGTTCGACATATTAATTATTAGTTAGGAACTTTGATTAACATATTAAATATAGTATAATACAATATTACAGATATAATTCTACTACTAAATTATGAATGAAGAATTCATAATATTAAATTATATTAATAAATACATAACTTGTAACTGGTTTACGTCTAACAGTAATTTTATTTAAATCAATGACCGTAAAACGATTCTATAATATGCATGTATATTAGTTACTGTAGTATCATCATATCAACGCGATAAATTATTCTAATACATTTTACTTGGATACCCTTATAATAAAATTTTTAGTAAGTAATTTAATATAGCATTACATGGTTTTAATATTATTTATATATACTAACTATATGTAATTGAGATAAATTTGTGACATTTGTGTGATCAAAAAATATGATTGGTGTTTGTAATGTTCAAAGTACCGTTAGTAATTATTATTATAATTTTCTCTGTAAAGAAATAATAAATAAAAATATTTTTTTAATGAAGTTAATATAGCAAAAGACAAATTATATTTACTTAAGCAATTTTACGTATGAAGAGAATAAGTACAACAAGTTCAACTAGATATGTTAACATCACAACTAGAATATTAATTTGTTTCAGTGTTTCAGACATAGATCAGAAAATTACTTAATTGTACTACGTGATATACATGTCACAATGAAGTACGGATCGCTAAAGTCAAGGTCATGATTTGGAAATGGGATACAAGAAATCCATCAACTAGATTTTAATAAACTTCCAAAAAGGAAGGGTTTGTCATTAATTCTGATCTAATATTTTTTAATTTCTAGAAAATGTTACTACTATAATATACTTATTATAATATTACTTACTATAACATATTATAATAATCTATATTTCTAAAGATTCAACTTAAAATATGGTGTATGTTTTATGTTGATTCGCCATTAAGAATTGATCTAATTAATTGGATTTCCTCACGAACGAAGTAGCGGACAAAAAGCTAGTATTATATATCTCTTTTTTATTTAGTAAGGATTATATGGTTTAAATATTAGCTTACATTTACGAGACCCAAGAGGAATAAGAGATTTACACACGTAATATTTGCGAAATTGAAGATAAAATATTATATAAACTGATTTAGGCACACATTCTGTGAAAGTAATTCCTTTCCCAAAGGACAAAGCGAGAATTTGAAAGTAAGGTAAATATGAATAAGGCGGATAAAACCCATATTGTAAATATGTCTTTTATTTTTATTCTCAATTTAATATTATTTATTTTTATTTATTTCATATTTTCAACTGCCTCAAAAAGAATGTTCTTTAATGTTTGTTACCTCATAACTCCATTAGTTGTAAATCGATTTGAGAAGTTCTTATTTTTTGAAAAAATATACTTGATTGATTTTAGACTGATCCTTACCTATATACTTATAAATTCACCACTTAGAAATTTTAACAAAATTGATTCATTACTTTAGTTTTATCACAACTGAAGTCGGTTTTTTATGGGATACAATTTAATTATTATTGTAATAAACTAGTTGTTACAAACGGCAAATTATCATTGATTCGCGTAACTAGAACAATAGTACATTTATTGACTCGGATAAAAAGTAGCGTATGTCCTTATATACGCTAAATATATAAGCATATGTATGCTGAATTTTAACAACCATTGATTGAACAGTTCAAGCGCCAAAAGGAATTTTATATTATGAGAAAATGAATTTATTCATTTTCTCATAATTTTTCTCATAGCTATATCTATAGCTATAATCGCGACTTTATTCGCATAACCGAAATGAAAATTCTATGTCCTTTTTATTATTAAAAATTAATTCTAATAATAAAATAAAATTTTTATTATTAGAAGAGCCCTTTTTTAGGCAGAAAAGCCTGTGATACTACGACCTTTCCATGATCTTTTGTGGTCGCCCTTTTTTTAAAGTTCACTGCTAATTCCTATTAGTGATAGGAATTTTAAGATGGTTTTCGAAGTGATGTTTTTATCTCTTCATAATATAAATGTACCTTCCGAATGAGATATATCGTTTATGTATGAGTGGGCTACAGCTACAAATTAATATGCGGCATTTCTTGCTCATTGTGATAAAATCTGCAAACACTGTTTGGGCATAAGCCTATTTGCCATTTGTTTATTTAGTTTACAGTGTCCAATGAGAGCCCTTGTTAATACACACATATTATTTTTACTAAAAATTCATTTTTTAGTGTATTTTTCTGAAAAGACTTTAACCAGGGTTTTTAGCGTCCTTAAATGGGCTAAATACTTACTATGGGTATGCAAAATTTTATAACGAACTGTTCAGGCATCAAAGTTAACAAATAAACAAAATTGGTAGTATATATATATATTGTAAACATCACTAATATTTCTTATTTCTTTTTTAACTAATTATTCTGAATAGTTTAAAAAACTGACATATAAAGACATAATTACAATTACTAAGTGGTCGTTGTAACTTGTACAAGTAACTTGTCTTACATATGTAAAGTTCACACAAAGGCCTATAAATTTTGTGAGAAAAACAAAATTTTTACCATTCTTGCAAATCCGTACAACATATGACTGTATTATTTCAATTTTATCTCGTAAGTAAACTACTATTATAACAGTCAACTTGTTTGTAACGTAGCGGGACGCCACACACAGTTGACATACTTGTCGTGTGCTATAATTTTATGCATAGACCTTAAACATTATCTCACGCGAACTTGTTTGTTTGTTAGTACCAACAATCTGCGCATTAATTACACACAAGGAACAACACTTTGTTACGCATCAGATGTAGGTATACGTAATTGGTCATATCTTTAATTGGTTATTAAAACAAATGTTTTATTGTTCAATTATAAAGGATTAAAGAATCTTCTTGTGGTGATGTATGGAGAAATAACGTGACTCTACTTCTTTTTATTCCCAGGACGTGTGAGACGTTGATTGGTTTTTATAATGTTGTTTATGAATAGAATTAAAAAGACAGTCATTTATGAAGTACTGAGTGTAATTACTTTGTCTTAAGAATAACAACACATTAGAGGTGTTATTGACGGTACAGTATGTTTATGATGACAATAACGTGTATAGACATAGATAATTACGATTATCCAGCAGATGGTGCGTAGGTTGTTTGTCACTTTTAAAGATATTTAGTTTTTTATTTCATACAATTACATATATAATGTTAAAATAGGTGCATATACCAACTAATAAGAATAGTGTCATATATAAAGTGTCGTAAATGGTTAGATAACTCACGGCGGCGTCGCGGCGTATGCAAAATATTAAAAATTACCTACAACCAATTCAGAAAAGACGTCAATATATTTTTATTTTCAAATATTTCCAAATAAACTGTTCTACAGAATCAACACCGTCAAATAACGAGTTAGTATAACGTCATTTAATCAACTAATATGTTTTTATTGTTAATGGATTTTTAATTAATATTTATTAGTCAATAATTATTGCACTACTATTTTGCGATATGCTGATAAAACACTATTACAAATAATACATTTGTTTTGATTGTAGCTGCAACGGTTAATCGAAATAAAATAACGGTTATGTTGTCGTTTCACATTTAGAAGCGTTT